TCCTTTAGCAGATGAGCGCTCAGCGATGTGGCGGCCGGTGCATACAAGATTATGCACATCTGCCAACCAATATTCGTCCTCAAAGGAGGGAGGGCGGGACTTCACCAAATCCACGTAGGCCTGACATGTCGTAGGTGTGGCCAGTTGCGGACTTGTCCTCCGGCTAGTAGGAATCGCGTCAGCAATATCTTCCAACGAAGTGTATAAGCTTCGTTTTTTGATTTTTACTTGTTGTTGCCGCATGCCGTAAAAACGGGCGATGCGGCGAAGTATCGCCGGGAAGTCCTCGTCGAGAATATCTCGCCTGTCCTCGAACATCTTTTTCTGGCAATCCTGCCGCCAAACTACGGAGACAGAGTTGCTGATAAGGATATCGATTGGACGCACGCCCTTCGGCAGCCTGATGATGGCATGAACCATCGCAGAAACGTCATCCTTGGTGAGTAGTGGATGCACACCTAGGTGAGCGCTGCGAACGATAGAGACATCGTCTCGATCATCACCGGCAGTAACAGCGTTAGAAAGACCAAAGAGAGGCGGAGCTGAGTCCTTTCCGTCCTCGTCATCAGTGAGAGCAAAGTCCGCATCAGCCTCACGAGGAGCACCCGCCGCAGCAGCGACATACGCGTGACCATGGACGGCGCTAGTAAGTGCCCTGGGCCTGGGGGCTACGCCTGTGTTTGAGGTAGTGCCGCCTTTGATGCTGCCAATGAATGACGCAACGTCGAAGCGATCGTCGCCACCAGCTTCACTCTCGGCAAGGTCAGCCTCATCCCGGTGTTCCTCGTCACCTTCGTAAGCGTCATCAGAGTCGAGGAATTCATCAGCGAGGTCGGCCTGATCGGCGTCCCACTTTTCCCACTCATTTTCTTCATCGTCTTGCCCTGCAAGCAAAGCGTTGACAACTCCGCCTCCGGGTCCGGCGGGGACGAGAGAGGCCTCGCCGTCGGTGTCTTCGCGACGTCGCTTGATACTAGATGAAGCGTCCTGGTTTTTGTACCTCTCAGCGAAGCCAGCGGCATACTGCTGATCAGGAGTTACGAGTTCGGACTGGATGCCGAGAAGATTACAGATGGCGCGGATTTGGCCGTCCACGCCCTTCTTTGGGCCACCGACTACGAGTTTCTGGCCTCTTTCGAAGTAACGGATGCAGACAGTTCCGTTGGAGGTGTTGAGGTCAGCACTGACGCCAAGCGCCTTCTTCTGACGTTCTAGAAGATAAACGCCGTCAGCGTTTGTACCCAGGAGGACTTCGACTTTTGGCCAAGTGACCCAGATGCTTCTTGCCCGTTTAGGGTCAGGACCTTCCACGAAGCCCTTCTTCTGACGTCCACGGCGCACCACAGGCGGCCTGCGAGAGAGATTGGCAGCGAAATCTGCGAAGCTTGGCATTTGTTTTTTTTAGCAGGGTGAAGGCGAACGCCACACCAGTGTAGAAAGTAGATCTGCGTGAACCACGCGCGAACACAAGATAGGCAAGGTTTGGTCTGTTGTTGTTGCAGGATTCAGAACCAAGGTTCAGAAGAGAGCAGATGTGGTCACCGTCCCCAAGTTTTGATCAATGAAGAGCAGCACAGTCGGGCAGAAAGATCGGAAATTTTTGCGTTTTTCCGCTTTTACTCCCACAGCGTTCAAGTCCGGTTCACTTTTTAGTGCAAAAATCGATAGGGTGTTAGAGTAAGATGGGGTCGATGCATCCGAATTTTTTGTCCGCCCTGGGCGAACAGGTTTTGCGGGCGCGGACTGTTTGACAAAGTCCGCTACGGGAGCGGTGGACTCGACTGTTGCCGAACCTGTGCTGTTTTGTGGTGCTCTTGTTAGGCCTGTGGCCTTTGCTTGCTGTTGTGGTCACGACTGTTGTCGAGCCTTTTTTTTTTTTGTTGTCCCCGTCGGTGCGGTGGACTGCCTCCTTGTTGTCTTGTCTATCGAGGGCAACCCGATGACTTTTAGACTGAGGAAGGCTTACGAACCTTGTTTGTGCTGTTGTGAAGATTTGAATCTTCCTTGTTGTTTTTTTTTGTGCTTTTGCTGCTACGGACGTCCTACCGTGGTCACCACGTAATATTGTAGTTTAGTGGTCTCTCGGTGTTGTCTCTCATCAAGAAACCGACTACAAGGTCAGTCCGGTGTATTCGTAGCAGCGGGCAGGAGAACAGAAACGGGCCGGATATTTTGTAACAGTAAAAAACTACTAGTGCAGGTTTTTTAGCTAAGCTAATGCAGGTTGACCGAAGTCGTTCAAGTTTTGACCGGAGTCGTTCAGGTTCGTACTTTTTCCCTGTCGGGATGATTTACATGAGACTCTATATCTCGGCTGCCATTTCTCCTGCACACATAGACAGCTAACGACGTCAAGCGCAGATATATATATCAACACTTATCGTAATACTAGATCTATGAAGTAACGATATTCCTCCTTCTAGCAGTGAAAAAATTACATTCTTCACTGTTCCGTTGTTCTTCATACTAATAATCTTCTAGTTCTTTTTCTTCTTCTCTCATCTATCTCTTAGATAGAATCTTCTCGAAGTGCAGGAATCTGCTTTGCCAGCGCATCGGCGATCTCCTTTCCATCCTTACGCTTCAAGAAAGCCGCACAGTTCTTATGCAAGGAGACGCGCTGCTTCACAATTTTAACAGCTTCGCTATGCTTGGCAATCACAGTTCCAGTGAGAGATAGGGAGCCAGTGCAGTCAGTTGCAAGAAGCGCCTGCACCTTAGCACGCTCAGCAGCAGTGACCAAACGACGATCCATAGTGTATTTGGCTGCCACCTTCACAGGCGTTTCCCCTTCCTTCTGAGATGCAACCTGATACGACTTCAGCAGCGGATCCATCTTTTCAACCAGATTCGCGTACAAGGCAGGATTCTCAAACAGCGCAGAGAGGGTCCATGTCAGCATACAAAGTGCAGCGCTCATCACAATGCGATCGTCCGATTCCATTTTCGCGAGACCCTGTTGCGCAAAAAACTGAACTCCACGGGAAGAAGCAGAACTCTGCTCGGTTTTCGCTCCGCTTGTCAGACTCTTGAAATGCGTAAGTGCAATGTCATCAGAGAGGCTTTCACGCTCTAAATTAGAACAATGAATCTGTGCGACCGAAGCTGACAGTAGAAAGGCAGCACCATAATTGTTTGCATCTCCTCCAGCAGCTGCGCATGCCTGAGCAAATGATGCTGCCGCTGGAAGAGCCAACAGTTGATCAAAACCCATCACGCTGTATGGAACGACCACTTGATCACCAGTGGTTGGAGTGCTGAGTTTCAAGATGAAAGCGCGACGCGCTGCCATGAGGGCACCATCAGCGGAGGCATCATCAGTCCAGGTAATCTTGATTAGCCCGGGCACATTTCCTTCTCCACGGCTTTTCTTGAACTCCGAGCGAATCACAAGCATGATCAAACTGACACATTTGCTAGCATCCAATTGGAGCGAGGGAAGATCCGACAAGGCGACAAACGCCTGCTCTGCGGGAGTGGTCCCCTTGACAGCAGAGAGCGTGCCGCCGCCATATTGCGTCTTCGATACCAGCACGTTGCTCATCTTTCAGGTGATGTAGCTATCGTGTGTACAGAGTAGGAGAAGTAGATAGTCTGAGTTTCGTGAAAGTCGTTGTTTTGGGTCTTGAGCGGGAAAGTGTGAAAATCATGCAAGTAAAAATAGGCCAATACTTTATACCAGTAACACCATAGAAATCAGGAAACTCATCGAGATGCATCAATTCATTTTTTCACGATTTTAAACAGCACCAGGAACAAGAAAAAGCAAAGGAATCCAATATTTTTCGAAAGATTGCCGGGGCGTGATCATCGATTTTTTATTTGGATAGAAACACGAGCAGAAACCAGAAGCATGCAGATTTTTATTTTGAACATTAAAGCACCAGGGGCATGATCGTCATCATCATATTTTTGAACTTCTAACCTTTACCATAGTAGTACCATCATCGGGAGATTTTTAAGATTGTAATTTTTTAGAACTTAAGGCATTCAAAACGCGGAAGGATCGGATTGGAAGCGAGACAGGATTTAGATCGCAAGATTCTATTACGATAAGCCGCTCTTTGATTCCTTGCGAAGTGATGCGAATGCGGTGAGCTTCGACAATGGCGTCGCAGTGAAACGAACCCAAGGTCAAAAAGGAAAATGCAAAAAAGAAGATATTAAGGATAACTTCATAGTGGTGGTGGTCATGATCGTATCATATTTCATCAAAGCTTGACATTCACTGAGTGCGCAAAGGAAGTCGACTGATGTCATGTGATGGTGCCTCTTTTATAGCAATAAGTGTCTTCTATCTACGAGGCCATTCACTGAATTATATATAGATAAATTTTACCAGTAGTAAAGAAGAAAGATGAGATCTCCTGGGTTCGATTTTCACTTCGGAAATTATAAACCATGATCGGCAAAAGAACTTTCCCGAGAGACTACACCCGTGAAGGGGGTCGTTGTGAAGAAAAAGCGGGTTGTGAAACGCTCGTCATCGTGAGGGAGGACGGACAAATAACAACAAAGCAGAAGAAATAATATTAGTTAGCACATTATTCATACAGAATGATAACACCTGAAGATTATGCAATTAAGGCAGTTAAGTACACCAAGAGGCGTTTGTTCTCTTCTTGAGAGTAAGCCCTATAACTCCCATCGCAATCCATGATCGCTCAGGGACAAGAAACAAAACAAGGGCCACTTGAGTACTCCCAGCACAGCGTCCACTCTCACTCGATCCTTCACATGGAGGACAAGACTCATAGTACCGTAGAAGTCAACGACCGAGAATCAACTACAGGAAACTGGGATTATTTTCAGGAGGGACTATCACATTGACAGTACCACCGAAACCGACTCCGACATCAGGTCAATTATATTAGGCAAACAGATTGTATTTAAAATTCGAAAGCTGTGCTCCCAATTGGAATTGGCGCTCACTACCTTCATGAAATCCCGCCACAGCCTGGCCTACCAGGCCTATCCAGGAAAACAGAGATTTTCGTACTGGCTGTTGCCCTGATCCCCAGAACGGGAGGCTGTTGAAAAAGGGTGACTACGCCATTCCGATGACGAAGTGGAGTCAAACTACAGCAAGAATGTGTGTAAATGTTCGCGCAGGAGGAAAGGAGGATCACCAAGGGGCGCATCAAGAATCTTCCAGTAGAAGTGTGTGGTTTTTACAATAGGGCGATATCTTGTTCCACTAGGATATGTTTCTTACAGCAGGCAGAATTAGTATAAGTAGTATACATCTTCCCCCTGAATTTTTACGGTTTCATCAGTAAAGGATCTCATCTTCATCGAGCACCCATGGTGGTTGGTCCAGCAACTGGCGCTCAGCGCGTTTCGCCAGCTCTGGCGTCAGACCATGAGCACTTCGAGTCCATACAAACCTCTCCTTCTCGATGGGCACCGACACCTCGTTGAACTCCGAAGAAGCTCCATCGGCTTGATTGATATCGAGTTGCAGGTCGTCGATGCAGATCCACCGCGTCTGGTTCTGAGGAAAGTGCATCTCCAAAAACGCTCGAATCGAAAATTAGAGACAAAATTCGCAAGCTAACTTGGAATTTAAGAAAGCACTCTTCTAAAACCAGTTACTTCGAAACAGCGTAGCTTTTTTACAATCGACGTCATTCTTTATCTTTGATTTTAGTGTACAGGTCAACGCCTAAACCACTGAGCCAACCGCGCAGATGGCTTTTATGAATCTTTTTCCCGTATTTCTCCTCATCTTTTCTATCTAAAATGATGACGATGATGGTAGTCGGTTCGGATTGGACCTACGACTTCCCTGAATCTTCTTTGAGTTCTACGAATAATCATCTTTTCTATAATGTTGGTGGAGCATATCTAACTAGAAAAAACAAAAACCGAAAAAAGAAAACAGAAGGAATAATCATCTTTTCTATCTATTCGATAAACTGAAATAAGCGAGTAACTACATAAAATAAGCGAGATACTGAACAAGGACAAGTAGCCCTGTCAAAGCTGCCTACCTTATTTCAGTCAGTAACTCGGTTATTTTCAGTTTTCGAGTAAAATCAAGACTAATTATAAAGACAGTGTGTTGAACAAGTTATGAAAGAAGCATAATCAAAGCATCGTGCTGTCGCAGGGTTCAAGTCATCCTCCAGTCTGTCGGTTGAGCCAATCCATGGCAACGGGAACCCGTTCACCTCCATGAAGACGTTCTTCAACACCTCTGTCCGATCCCTCGAGTGCCGCCATGCAGTAGATAGCACAATCTCCACCTCAATATCATCATCGTCTTTGGCGAAGGCTCGAAGAAGTCTGCGATCAGCGATTTCCGCATCTGACATGGAAGCGTGAGAAGCCTCTACTCCATCCTCTTTCTCAGACTTAGAATCTTCATCGCTATTAATGTCGCTTGAAGATGTGTCTTCGCTTCCACTCTTCTCGTCTGAGTCACCTTCAAGACTGCCTTTAGTCAATTGTGGTCTGCTTATGCTGCTTTTGCTTGCAGGTTTCTCCTTGAGCAGCTTTCTCCTTCGTTTTTCCCCTCCAAGGAAGGACGCCTTCCTTTGCGCGGAGGACGATGATTCGCTATCGGACGAAGTCAGCTCACCAGAAAGGACGCTGCTCACGTCAGAGAGAACGATCGGATCGTCATCAGATACTTTTCTTCGCTTACTACTTTGTTTTCCCGCCATATTTCTTGACTTCGTCGCAGCTTGTTTTACCATTTGTACACGCTTTTCGGCATTCGCAACGGCCTTGCGCTCTTGGCGGCGCGCGTTGGCAGCTTCCCCACGAGCCGCTGCCCGGCGCTTCGTGCGCGCTGACATGCGTTCACGCGCAGCAGTGATTTCGACTTTTCTGCGCTCGTTGGCGACTTTTTCCACATTGCGGATCATATCCCCCAAAAGCCGGACTTTCTCAATATGGAGATGTCGCCGATAGATGGACGCGCTCGTCTCTTCCTCCTGTCCGGTGAACTCGTCGTGCGAGCGTGAGGGCAACGGCGGAAGTGGATACGTATTGAGAACGCCATCCACGTCCAAAAATATGACGTACTGATAAAAATACGGACTCTTTGCCTCCTCTAATTTTCTCAGACGTTCCGCATTTTGCACCCCCTCTAAATCGAAGTAGTTCGCTGAAATCTCGAACCTGTTCTTGTTGTTCCTATTTCCTTTATTTCCGCCCACTCCTCCTGATCGATTAGAAGATGCTCCCGCTGAGCCGTCTCCTTGTCCACGTTGCTTGTTGATACCTCCCTGTAAGAATTGCCCAGTTCTACCAGCATGTAAGCTGTCAGTCGCTGCATTTTGTCGTTTTGCGGTGAAATCCATATCTTCCTCGTCAGCCCTCTTTACGCGACACTTTTGCTCGACAATAGTGTGAATCTCGATCAACTGTCGTAAACATTCTGGGAGTTCGCAATTTTCCCGAGGCCGTATCGTAGACCAGCAGAAGTCACGCCCAAACGTATAGTTGAAGGCTGAAGTTATAGGGCCACTGCTGTGGGGAAAACCTCCTGCTCCATTCTGTTGGACTCCTTGATGGGAGGTGGTCATCAAATTGTTGATGTGCGGAGGCTGCTGTTGCCCAAGATGAGGGGAGTTATTGTGAAGAAGAGGAGAGTTGTTTTGCTCAGGTGAGCTGTGCGCAGAGGCGCGTTCGTGATGCTTGCCGTCCGAATTGTCGACCGATAATTTCGACTGGAGCAATCCTCGACGAAACATGCCGCGAAGCTGCTTACCGTGAGAACTGCGAAATGCTTCATCGGGACTGTTGATTCTGCCGGCGCTTGGACGCCCTTGCCGCTGTCCCGGACCATAGTAGCCTTCGTAGACGTCTGGGTCTTTCGCATCGTACAGTCCTAATTTCGTGTTTTTCGGTGTGGCCATAGCATTCCCACTGATTGGAACCGTCGCCGGATGCTGCGGTCCTTGAGCATTCACACTGCCAGCAAGCTCGAACTTGTTCTTCTTGCGCAGAGTGCCGACTCTGTTAGGAGAGGTGATTGGTTCGCCGTCACGAGAAATGGGCCACGAAACCGCTACTTCCAGCTCAAATTCCCGTCGTGGACGACTCGCTATGCTCCTCTCGGGACACACAGAGGACTTGGTCACCGCTCTACTGCCTTTGCTAGTTGTACTCGATGCTTGTACAGACGACCCGTATGATCCCCCAGACGTTGTCCCACTAGTTCCACTTCCGCCAGCACCCTGCTCCACTGTTGTACTTGTAGCAACACGACCAGGACCATGTGCTGTAGTACTCATAGGACTTCTCCTGCTATCCGCACCGGTGGAAATAGAGTTAGTGCCACTGTGGTGATCATCTGCTAATGCCATGCGTTCTGCAAAGAGGTCGTCGAATCTGACTGTGAGCAGATCTCTTGGCGAAACAAGTCCGGCATGAGGTGCTGCTTCGCTTTTCTCTGTGACTGCCCAGCCTAAGAGCACACGAGGCCGTAGGAGATCCCAATTTCCGTGTCGAAACACCTTTGCTGGACGCAGCTGCCGTCGCACACATCGCACATAGGCATCACGCACCGAGGGCGCGATAAGCCCTAGGGCGCTGCCGGTTCTCCCCTGCGGGTTGTTTTGCGCCCCGCTGCTTCCCGCACCAGCATCCCCGGTTGCCTTGAAGCCGCGCAAGGGATGTAGACGGACCGCAATATGCCGATCGTCACTGTAGACCGCTAACTGGCCGAACAATACTGTTGGGGACGATGTTGAAGAACTTTCTCCTAACTTATCGTTTTTATAGGATTTCCAACCTGAACCACCAGGTGAGGAAGGTACCGAAGCTGAAGGTGAGTTCGTTATACTACCGCCATTTTTATTGCCATTCGCTGTTCCCGAGATCGCAGAACAAGGAAGGCTGAGTTCCACGAAGTCGCCTACACGGAAGCGCAGATGGCGGTCTATCTGCCGCAATCTCGAGTGCTCACTAGGATCGTTGCCCTGCAAAAGCCATTCCGGATCCGGCTCGATGTACTCCCCCGCCTGCAATGCGGTGATGTAGGCCCGCTGTCGGTTGTCGAAAAATATGATGTCCGGATGGCCTCGAGCGCAGAACACGGTACCTAGTTCGAACTTGTTTTCGCCGCTCGCCGGACAGTAGACGCGACACCTCTTTCGTCCTCGTCGAATCGGGTGGAAGGCGGTGCTTGGAAGCGAGGACGCTGACATAGGCAGCGCGTGGTGGTTCAGGTCGACCGCTGTGATGGCGCGATCCGTAATTGCAGCAAGGAAAATCAAGGCCAAAGTCGGTTTTACGACGCCGCTCTCTGACTGGAACCGCGACAAATCCTCGAGGCGTCTGCAGTCCTCTGCCTTCGCACAGACCAGCGGCAGACAATCCGGGCACAAGTTTGGGCCTCGCAACACATCGTTGCGGACATAGAGAGGGCGATCCGCGCCACACCAGACGCAACCTCCACGGTTCGGATCCAGCAGAGTGTGTGTCTCCTGCAAAATTGCTTGTGCACGCGGGTCCGCGCACGCGTGGTAGGCCACCAAGTCTCCAGCGGACCGAACGGCCGCGTCACTCTGGTGCACGCCCACTGCTCCGCCTTTTCTAGTCAATGCCCCTCCTTTCCCAGAGGATCCGGTTCCTTTGCTAGACGAAGATGAAGAAGAAGATCCGCCTCCTCCTGCTTTAATAGAAGTATTCATCTTAATATTGGTATTTTTACCCTTCTGTGCGGCCGCGGAACTCGAGACGGAGCCTTGTCCATACATCACGCGCTCATGGTAGCTGCGGTTCTTGTTGGCTACGGGCGACACAGGCTCGTAGTCGACAATGGGGAAAGCGGACCCGCGGACCCAAACTGGCAATTCTCTCCTTTTGTCGCTCTGCACTGACACCCCGAAGGGTTTCAATGCGAGGCCGAGACCACCAGTACTCATCTTCGGATAAAACACATGATATTTCTCTTAGATGAGGAACAGCAGTTGTTCTGTCTTAGAAGAAGACAGTTCCTTCGTTGTTTACTTACATTGAAGACAACAATTCGTACTTGCTTAGCGACAGTTTAAGATTATAACGAACACACAGCCGACACATGGAACTTAGAAGGTAACTAATAAATATGTATGCGCATGTTTTGACGTCATTTTGGAAGTCCATTATGCGACCGATAAAATCTAAATCGGCACTGTATGATTACTTTTTCTCTTTGTTGCGATCTATCGTTGCCTCTTGCATATATCCTACAGAAACTAACATATTTTTTCAGCAGATCAAACAGAACATGAGAATCTATCAACATCTGTGCACTCAAATGCAGATCACTCGCTGATTCAGTCCCTCGATTCACTGATTCATAGCCTTCATAGCATCTTCTAGCCACGATCATGCAGCCCCTGAATACAACTCCTGGATTGTAATTCACGCAAACACCGCAGGCAAAGATGATGCGGACTCCTTGTTTGCAGCCCACAACTTGTAGTAGTTCCGGGAATTTGTATTTCTACGAGATCTGTACCATCTTTACAAGATCTGCATCTGTCTCTACACATACGAGTGGATAGTACAGCTTCCATTCAACAAGATGAACTGAGCTATTCACATTTGCAGAGTGTTCTGTACATTTCCTTGATTCCTGTCGTGTCACTATGCAACGAAGAAGAAGTAGTAGAAAAGAAAAACTGCTCATGATTCAAAATCAAACTGTGTCTGTTTCTGTTTCTGTTTGTTAGTACTAAATAATGCTGATTCTTTTAGATTTAGTTGTCCAGTACTATAAATACATCGAAAGCAGTTTTTGGTCACTTACCGACCAACCTGCAGTGTTTAGTTGCCGGGTAGACCGACTTGCATGTCGAAGGCTTTCTCCTGTTTTGGACGATACTTGACGTTCATGTCCAGGCTAACGGAGGATTGGGTTCCATAGCTACTGCCGGTGACCACAGCCGAAGCAGGCTGTGCTGCCTTCATGAAGTAGAAAAAGGAAGCCGCATCAGGTCCGTCCCCAACGAAGCTGCCACAGACCGGTTGTGATAACGGAAGGGAATGAAAGGAGAAGTTGGTTGCAATAAGCAGTGTGGAACAAGGAAGGAGTGGTGGAAGGAAGGGGACAATGATAGAAAAGTAGGGTGGAAGAGGAAAGGAAGGGAACAATGATAGAAAAGGGTGGAAGAGGGAAGGAAGGGAACAATGATAGAAAAGGGTGGAAGAGGGAAGGAAGGGAACAATGATAGAAAAGGGTGGAAGAGGGAAGGAAGTGAGGAAAGAAAGGAGTCGTGGGTTGGGAGAATGAAACGGCGTGATGGTGATGTGGGCAAGGGGGAGTAGCTCTGAAGAACAGTTTCAGTAGAAATCATGCACATTAATGACGCGGGACTAAATTGAAGTCAAAGAGAAGAAACCACCCGTGCTACCGAACCAGCAGCTAATCAATTATACTTATAACCAAAAACAAGTTTGACGACTTTATTCATCAAGTCTAGAAGAAGTCTTCATTTCTATCTTTAGTAGTACAAGTGTCCATAAGCAATTCCATCCGCCGACGCTGGGCGTGTGATTGACTCGACGACGTCAAAAAGGGGCACTCCGGGATTCGGATCAGGCGGTGGCAGCCACTGTGATCGCAGCTGGGTCCAGCCTGCAGGATTCTTGTGGTGGTGGTAGTTATTAGCTCCAGAAAGAGAAAATGGAGTCTACTACACGATCTTCTTGAGTGGAAAAATGGATCCTCGAGTACTCATCTAGCAAGCAATTTATAGCATGATCTACTCCTACTCAACCAGACGGGGGTCCCATCAACTACAACATGTAGAAAGTACCTGCACGACTCTTCTCCGAGCCCGCATGAACGCAATGACCTTTACCCCGGACTTGACCGTGTTTGCAGAATTGGATCATCATAAAGGGCCCACAGCTCTGACACGTCGGCTCTTGGTTCAGAGCAACTAGTGGTCGGCCAACAGGCTTCAACTCATTTGTATTCCTCACAGGCACCGAAACCTCGAACACCACACGCGTATCCATGTCCTCACAAGGACCTAAATCGATTCGAGATTGGGGATAGACTTCTACGAAAGCAGGCTCGTCTTGGATCAAAAAATAGACTTCTACGAAAGCGGGCCAACATATCAAACATCTAGTTTCAGACTGGTGCTGGTCACCTGAACTGAGAAAATCTAGTATCAAGGCCTTCATCGCGACGGCCCACAAGAGAAGATGAAGTAGTAAGGAGTTATAAGGAGTACCTAAGTCGTAAACGTGTTGGGTTCGGCACAGGACCCGACGGAGGCAGAATCCACCATGAAATGCGGACATTAGTTGTCCAGAGCCGAAGAATTTGAATTCTTGTCTTGCCTTTTTCACCTGATCGTATCCCAGCGTCGTGGGTTCGGAGGATTGGGTATTAGAAGGAATATTACTGTCTAAGTTTTAGTAAGTATCGTCGGTTCGGAGGATTGGATATAGGAATTAGAGGAGAATATTATAATTCTAAAGCCTAAGCCCAAGCCTAGTATAACGAACCATGTAGTTGTATAAATCTTTCTCCATAAGACATGGCTCGAATTTCAGAGGCATAATCTATAGTTGTATAAATCTTTCTCCATAAGACATGGCTCGAATTTCAGAAGCATAATCTATAGTATAGATCTTTCTCCATAAGACATGGCTCGAATTTGAGAGGGATTCCGTTAAATTCCTCGCTCAGATCGCCTGCTTGTAAGCACTGTGCGTTGGGATTGTGTGGTGAGATCGGAAGATCAGCGGAGTAACTTCCAATCCGCTGTATGCCGAATACCATTTTCTCCTCCGTAGAATTAACGCTCTCCGTAATTCATCTTCCAGCTGCATCCTTGAAAAGTATGCCAGAGTATCGCGGCACTGGGATACTCCCCCATACGTTTCAAGGATGCAGTCGAAGATGCATTAGCTACAGCCTTAATAGAAGTTGTTGCACCATCTTGCTGTTCATCGCGTCGCTGGTCACTCTGCGTTGCAATCTGGTTTTCCGATTGCATTTGCAACAATGCTAGAAGATCATCTTCATGATCTTTTGTTGGCGCATCGGGGACGCCTGGTTTGGTGTGTTCGACCCCCGGCAATGCGCTTGACGTGTCGACGCGACGGTTGTTCAGACGCGGGCGTAACCATATTGATGTTGAGATACCATCTACCGCACGACTACAGCCCCCAACGGCGATAAGAGCTTGAGTCGCGCGCGTTGCCCCCTTCCTCATCCTGCGTTTTCTCCGTCTGCTCGGCGACATCCTCTTAGGCCTGCTTCTAGAAGACACTGAAGCAGAACTACAGGCTCTTCTTTGCGGAAAGCTAACTATAACTTCCAATTCAACATGTAAAGAGCTCGTAACATTTTTCTGCTAGTTCCTTTTGCATTGGAATTTTCTCGATAGAAGTGATCAGGTATATTTTCAGAAGCCGATTTGGAATCATTAGTGCTCTTCTGATCAGCTCAGGCCCCGATCAGTTATCAAACTCTCTCAACATCCCGCGTTTCTTCCGCGAGGATTCTTCACAGACGAGAAACACATGTGATTGTGAATTGTGCTCGTACATTGACACAGGTTACAGGGGTGTCGCCATAGGCGTGCTTGTAAATGGTGAAGTGGAGCGGGAAATGAGAGCAAAAGTTGAATAGAAGAAGGTTCGAGACAAAAGCTGAGAAAAAATTCCATATCTTTGGATCTGGTAAAAATTGTTGGTCTTGGTGCTGGACTAACTACTGAGGTATTCAGTAGCAGAAATCTTCATCGTCAGGAAATACGAATTAGGAACAACGAATCAACGATGCGCATCATATGATATAAGACAGCAGCTGCGCATGCATGATGTCATATCAGCAGTAGTATCTATTGCATCCGACAAGTATTCCTTGCAACCGACACTGTTCCTGCTATTCGCCGCGATAAAAAATGTGATTAATCCGTAATTTCAGTTATCTCTGAGGAGTCTCTTAGAGCTTTAGAACTAAATGAAGTGGGCTGAGGACTCTCTTAACAAGAGTATGAGAACAGATGAAAGGAAAAAGAACGATTTTTTTTTTTTATGCAAGTGGCTTCACCTGAAGTACAACTTCGTGATCGGAAAAAGGAGTTGATAAATCTGCTATGGATTCGAATTCGGTACGTAAAAATTGTCCCGTCTAAGTCTAACCCTCATCACAACCGTTAAAATGAATGACTCATAAAAACAATTTCAATGAGCGAGTAGGTTATCACATGACTTTATTGCCTATAACGCTCACTTAATGATGATCTGCACTTAACGCTAAACTAAGAAGGCTGCTCACGACAATGGAATACATTCACAATGCTGCGACAAGGGAATACATTCAGAAGGGAAATCATCATGCTCACAAGGGAATACATTCACAATGGCCGAATCTGTGGTGCAACTGCTGAAGCAAAGCTCGCGTCTTGCCCTTCGTTGGAACAGGAAAGCTTTCGGTGAACCACCAACTACGGAGGGGGCGGAAGGGGACGTTTATTCAGGGCTCCTCCTCCATGTTGAGGTTAAGCATTTAGTTTGCGTTTTTTGCTTTCGCGTAAGTCCTCCATTTCGTGTCGCTTATTGCAAGCAGCCAAAACCTTCAAAACTTGCGATGCTGGTAACTGCTCCTTGGCTTGCTTCAAGATCACCACAGGAGAAGGAGATGAACCACTAGTTGTGGGGCGACTACAAGACCTTGATTCGTAGGAGATTTCTACTAGTTCCCAGAAATGTCCGTCCGCGAATATTTTTTGAATCTTTCGTCGCTTCAAGGCTGTAGAACTAGAAGTGCCTGTGCCAGGAGCTGTGCTATTTTTATAGGCGCAGGTGGGAGAAGCTCCTATAGGACAGGCTCCTCCTACCTCCCTTGGACTTTCTGAAGGCGTGAGTGACGGACGAGAGAACAAGCTAGACGCGGCAGAATCCAAGCGGCGAGAGAAGATAGCTGCGCCGCGACGATCTTTCAGGTACAAAGCACTATTGGGACGATAGTCCAAAAAATCGTCTAAAGAGTACACCGTCCCAGGATCAAGGCATTGCGACTTTGAAAGCGCAGGAGTCGCACTATTGTCCAGAGCTCCTAAGCCGTCTACTCCGCTCCTTCTTGCTATCCCTGTCATATTTTGTGGATTAACACGAACACCGCCCATTATGGAAGCGCCTGCAGTTGCGCGGCCGCTCACCGGAACTTTTATTGTCGATATCGAGAGATTTTTCAGATGCTCGAACGTTATCGGCCCTAGTCCAATAGAAGAACCATGTTTTCCTTGCGTCTGAACGGTAGAAGTGGCCGGCCGTTGCATCCTTGGTGTCATGCCTCGACCCCGGGCCGCGTCTACTCCCTCTACTTGATGGTGATGATGCCCTGTTCTTTGTCCTCCTAGTTCAAAGTCTTCTCCTCGTTCTGGTCTTCTTGTTTGTACTACTACTAGCTCAGAAGCAGTTCTGTCGTTCGCGGTAGAAGAAGGCACTGTACTATTGCAATTTCGTGGGATTGATGGTTGCCGTTGATGTTGCACTACATCTCTCTGCAAACCCATTCTCCCGGAGACACTCGACGCTCTACTACGACTCGGACGAGTACTAGCCTGTGCAATGCTTGGGCGAGTAGCCTGTGCCATGCTTGGACGACCTTCTGCTACGCCCGCAGGACCATCTCCACTGCATTCATTTGCACCGGGCTGTAGTTCATCTCCAGAAACTGCATCCTCGTCATCGTTTTCGAGTCTTTTGATGTACCGTGGAGGCTTGTTGGTGTTCCTGTTGGAAGCGGTGTCAGCTCCCGAGGTGGCAGTAGAGGAACTCGTCTGGTCATTATTTTTATTGCTATTTTTCGTGATGCTCCCTCGCGCTCTTGGGGGGCTTCTCAGGATGGCGTGCGCGTGTGGTGAAGTTGAAGCTCTATTAATACTTCTACTTCTAGTTCTTAGTGCAGAAGTCTTTTGATTCTTCCGTTCTTGTTGTTCACCGCGGTCTTTTATTACTGATCGCTGAAGGAAGTCAGGATGTGGCGGTGGCGCCATTTTCTGCCTACTAGACGTGGTTCTTCCCAAACTTCTTGTTGGAGAGCGTCGTGGAGGAGAGGGGGAGCGACGACGGCCACCTGGTGCCTGAAAACTTGAGCTGTCCCAAGTGTAGTCGCCTGACTGCTGATCGTATGTTGATAATGGCACTACGCTCACGCTATTTCTACTACGAGCACGAGCACGGCTCGCTCCACGCCGTCTAGCATTGCGAACGCCCTGCTGCGGCATCGGAAACGCGGGAAAGTCGCTCTCACTTTGTTCGCCGCCTTCTCTTGTTACTTCTAGTTCGTTTGCGCTGTGCTTCGAACACAGTACTATACTGTTGTTTTTCGCGCTGCTAGAGGAGGAGGAGGAGGCCAGGTTAGCACTAGTACTCGTACTGGTACTAGTAGAATTAGCATTTTTCTTAGTGTCAGCTGTCTCCTTCTCCGTCTCCTTCTCCACTGCTAGCATTGACGGATCTCCTTCCCCAGTAGTAGCAAGAGCACTTCTGATAAGATTTTGATCGCCGATAGACTTCTTGGGTGTAGGAGATTCATCTGGTGTACTAGGGGATTCATCTGGCGAAGGCGAAGAAGCAGACATCCTCTTCGAGCTGGCAGATGAGTGTACTATTCTTCTTTTATTTGTCTTGCCCTTTTTTACCATTAGTGGCTCCTCCTGCTCATCTCCTAGTCCACCGACCAGTCCTCGTCTAGTTCGTTCCGTTCTACTGCTTGCTGTAGTTCCAACTTGTTCACCTTGTTCCGTCGACACCTGTTGATGTTGTGCAGTAGTGGCTTGTTCCGTCGACACCTGTTGATGTTGTGCAGTAGTGGCTTGTTCCTTCGACACCTGTTGATGTTGTGCACTGGAAGTACTAGAATTTAATTTTTTCTCACTTCGAAGCTTGTGTTTAGGAGGGGCTGGCGGCTCACGCGGTATAATGACTCGTTCAGAAGCATCATCTGGGTCAGTGTTCGAGCTAAAAGCGGGTTCTTGTGACCTCGCCTTGTCTTGTGAAGATACATCAACATTGTCTTTGTTTTCATTGCTCTGCTTGTTTATAACTTCGCACTTGCTCATCTGCTCGCTTATTTCGTCGTGATTCTCGTTTGCGCTTCTCTGAGCTTCTTCTGCCTCCCTCAAAACTTGTAGCCGGCACATCGCTTTGGCCTTAAGTTCCTGCATACGCTCGCCCACACAGCGCTCACCACGACTCGCAGCTTCGCACGCCAAGGTAGCTGAAAATTAAAACGCGTTGGCTTCGGTGACAAAGTGAGATCAGAAGAAAATGACGAATAGGTTGGTTAGGTTAGGTGAGGTTGTGGCTGCACATCGAGTGCCGCCGGCACCTGCTCGACTGAGAGCAGTGAATGCTCACACTCAATTATAAAATATCACCTGACATAAAAACTGTAGTAAGGAGGGAGGCGTAGGATATCAACATTCGTTATGGCGTCTTTAGTAGCAGTACCAGAATCGATACACCTAGGTTACCTATTACCACAAGATGCTCCCCGGAATTAGTAAGTACGCAAACAAAATAGTCTGTCACTCACCTGCCGCTTTCTTTGGCGTTCTTGTTTCCGTCTGATGTGGTTCGTGCTTCGGTGAGGCCTGCAAGCTTCTACTTTGCGGACGCACCACTGGTTTCATATTCAGAGTGTGAGCCTGAGGTGGAGGTAGAACACTTTCGAGGATCCGTGTGCGCAAAAGTTGTGGCACCTCAGAGGTTGCAGATGCAATTGGAGAGCCAGAAGGAGACCCAGTCGGCGACGCTTTCCTCACACCACTCGAAATCGAGCGTAAGTCTGCAAAAATAGCTTCGTTTTTGGGCGGGCGCCGCTCGACTTGATGTGAAGATAAGCTCTTTGATGACGTACTGTTGTAGGTACTTCTCGTCGTAAAAAGACTAGCAGCATTGTTATCTTCAGAGAACGGGATTATGCCTGAAGATGAAGTAGTTGGGGAAGCAGCGCGACTTCTGTGCTGGCTAGCACTGGTGAAAAGCAGCTGGCGTCTCTGGACCTCGCGAACAGTAGATGCGGGTCTGGAACTACCTCCACAAACCGCTGAATCCCCTTGATGCCACCTCTGTCCGCCGTTGCTGAATAGAGTGTGGTGCCTCGCATTAAACTCATCGTACACACTAGTTGTCCTTGTCCTCGTTGTGCCACCAGATGAAGTAGTAGTCTCAAGAGGATGGTTCATGCTTGGCTCCACCGTAGACGACGATACTGCGGATTTCTGTCGCTTGGTCAACAACGTGTTGTCAGACGCAGCACTCTTGTTGTTTCTCAACATGTTGTTGGGCTCTGGTGCTGGACGTTTCTTCGAAGAAGTAGATGGAACTTTATCTTTTAGTGTTTTCGCAAGACTACTGTTCATCATGTTCTTATGGTCCTCTTGTTCTATTGTTCTGCTGTTGGGTGGTGGTGGTGGCGGAGGTGGCGGTGGTGGTGGCTGTTTCGCCCAAGTCGCATGGTATTTAACAACCTGTGTTCGACAAGATGACGTGTTTGAAGAAGTAACCTCTAGAGGGTCTTCAACAGCTCTTTCCGACGAAGAAAAACTTCCGACGTTGACAGTGTCGACAGCAACAGCTCTTTCACGATCTGATTGTATCCTTCTAATTTCATGCGCCACGACACCTATGCCCTGTTCAGTTCTCGGATACGAGGGATGCTGCGCTCGTCCGACCTGACAAAGTTCACTTACAAGAGAAGCTGCTCGAAGATCATCGCCCTGCTGTTCTTGATCCGGAAGATTTTCTGTACCCTTAGAAGTATCAAAAACCACCTTTCCTGCCACTGCCTCTGGTTCTGAAGTGGTCTTCACGCCTTCAGTAGTGGAGAAAGTAGAGGACACAGCACTTCGAATCGCCGTACTAGCCAAACCCGAAGTAGATGCTAGTGGCATGCTCGCCGGCGCAGCAGTCTCGGCAGCTGTCACGGCTGTCCGCAGGACCTGTTCTGCCAGAGGAGGCTTGGATCCACCTTGCGCGCCCCTTTGGCGAGGCGCAAATTTCATGTTTATCTCTGGCATAGACCGCAGCAAAGTAGACTGCGGTGGCGGAGGTGCTGGAAACAACCTCAACCTATTTAGGGAAGAAGAGGCTGCAGGAATTTTCAACACACCACCTGTCGTGCTGGCCTTGTTCTCCTTCATCTGCAGTTGGAGATGTCCTCCTCCTTGTAGTTGTCCTCTAGTCGTGGTCCTAGTACTGCCGCCTGACACGATTCCACCCAGCACTGCGTCATCAACTTCCTCAAGAAGTTGCTCCACCGAATGATGTTGTCTTGCCGGAGCGGGCAGAACTCCTACCTGCTTCGTGTAGGTGTTGTTTCTCATTGGCGAAATAGACCTAGAGGACGGCTCGTTCTCCCAGTTGTCCACACTCTGCAGATCGTCCTGGTCAGAGTCCTCAACCTCCTCGTCTAATGTATCCCCTTGATGTCCAGCAGAAGCAGACAACTTTGTGCGGCTCGAAGGTGTTTGAGTTGTACTACCATTTACCGCTTCGTCAGAGAGCAAAGCACGACTGCCGCTCGTGCTCTTGCAACTCATGGCATTTACGACGTATGCTTCGTCTTGAGCTCGGTTCTGTCGTGGAAAGCAGGTATCACTCGAAGTCGCAGCTCCGATTTCTACTTCTGCGTCGTTCCTTGGTGTCCGTGTGGAGGACTTGATGCTAACCAGATCAACACCACTTGTCGTGTGCGCTGATTCCTTCTCAAGCTCCTCAACAGGAGCGGTACGAGGTGTACTAGTTGTAGCGCCAACAGAAAGAGTTGTTGTAGTAACGGGGGGAGCTGGCTGAAATGGCTTTTGGCTTTGCGTCATTCCGCTATCAGGAAAAGCACTTTCAGGCACTCGTCTAGTGCTAGAAGTATTCTCAGTCGTAGTAGTAACCAGTGTTGATGTAGTGACGTTCGAAAGTGGACGAGAGGCAGCTTCTGGATTACAACCTTCGACGTTAGTAGAACACGTCGTCTCTATGGACGCTGCTGCCTTTCCGTTTACCGCAGTAGGTCCTCTCACGGCTTTTTCTATTGCAGCATTGTCATCCCTATTAAGTTTTCCGGGTTCGACTTTCATCTTCTGCTCTACTAGAGCAGTGCCACCCTGGTCGTGACTTTGTAGCTGCGACTTGTTCCTGGTGGAAAGACCATCTTGTTCTACTTGGTCCTGGTTAGAAGAAGAAATCTTCGTAGTAACTTTATTACTGATTTTGTTTTCATCTCCACCACGAGGCTCTTCAATTTTCACCTGTTCTTCATTTACCCGATGTTGTAGAAGTTCAGCTTCACTACGCTTGTTGATGTTGTTGTGGGAAGTTCTAATTTGGCGACTGGACGCTTTCGCTACCGTGCCAAAACTTGTTTCCGTGTGTCGGACAGAAGCAGAACTAGGATCATCCGTAGGACAACTTACAGTTACAACATGTTGCTGGAGGGTCGTGGTTGAAGATGCAGCATTAATATAACCTTCCTCAGGCTCAGCTCGAGGCGATAACGACGTTGACGACGCGAGCAGTCCAAGGGTCGCTTGTGATACGAGAGCCGGCGTTTTTGTTGTAGGTCCTGACGTTCTGGGTAGTTGTGGCACAACAGGAACCGTAGAGAATGGAACCCGAATAGACACGCGGCTAGCAATCAGAGTCTCCAAAACTCCCGACAACGGCTGTACTAGTTTCCCTCTTCTAATATTCGGCTGTTCTTTGTTCCTAGTACTACTCGTTGTAGTAGTTGTTGTACTAGTCGCACTAGTAGAACTACAAGTTGTTTTAGAAGTATTTGTATTGATCGTCGAGTTCGAGGATGAAGCTGTTGTAGCTGAGAGGCCTTCGACCACGGTAGTCGAAGACGCTGGCGCGGCAGAGCTCTCCTTGTAGGTACCCGCGTCACTAGGCTGATTAGTCTGATGACCATCATGTCGTGTTGCATTCGCACAAATAAATGCCTTAGTTGTATTCAACTGCGGTAGCACCTGTACGTGGCGACTGTCCTCTTCCCGATCAGTATAATCCTGCTCATCCTTCAAACTATAATTCGGCGTCCTCCAATCTGTCAGACCAAGAGCACTGATTGCATCGTCTATCGTGCTCAAAACCTCAGAAAGGGTTGCTTGGTCTTTGTCAGAACTGGTATTGGGTGACGTGGACGAAGGAGCTGTCAAAGGGCGTGCTTCACCAGGTTCTGAGTTGCGTCCTCCACCAGCTACAGACTTTTCTGAGTCACGTCCTGAAGGAGGTTGCGGTTCTGAGTAACGTCCTCCACCCTTCTCTGTGGACGACCCACCTAGGAGTCCAGAGGGCGCAAATGCTGCGTTCTCATGGCTCCACGGCGCAGGTGGAGGCAAAGGCACACCCGAGAATTTGCTAACGGCTCCCGCCGCTCCCTTTTGCGAAACGCGTTTGCTTTCACCTGCTGTTGTCGAAGGAGAAGCCGCCGGCGGAGGCACTGGCTGTCGGCTTTGATGCGGACGAGAGACTATAACTGGTGCCACACAAGAACCTTTGATGTTTGAATCAAGAACAGGCGCATTATTTGCAGTTCCAGTACTTCTCCCAGACTCACTCAGAGGCATTTCCGCGGCTGCTCCAGTTGCATTGCCTGCTGAGGCTCCGCTAGGCCTCTTCTCACGTTGAGAGTCATCATCTGCTTGTCCGGCCATTGGAATCCTTGCCTTTACGTCATCCATCGCCTTTACGTCATCGTCGTCCTCTATCGTTTTTTCATCCACCACATCATTGTCTTCTTCCACCGTCTTCTCATCGTCGTCCTGTATCGTCTTTTCATCATCCTCGTGATCGACCTTCACGGGAATAATTTTCGTGATGTTCCTCATTGCGGTACAACTAGTGGTTGTGCCCGAAGCGGTTTCCACAGTCGCAGGCGCAGAACATTTGACTGGTCGTGGAACAGGCACAGATGATTTTGTTCTGACACCAGACACTGGACGGATAAAATGATTATCACTAGGCTTGCTGGGCGCGACTACTGGTCTCTGACTCTGCTCTGTTTGTTCAACAGATTTGCTAGTACGGGTAGCGTCGTCCTCCCGCGCACCCCGCCCCAGCGTTGAAGATGTAGTCGGTCCGCTTTCACTAGTAGAGCCCGCCACAGTGCAGATGCCTTGCCGTGGTCTAGCATCGGCGTTTGTATCTTTGCGTGCGTATTTGGCGGGTGGAGGCATCTTAGGGCCAGCCTTGCTGACAGTCCAAGCTGCGTGAGGAGATGGCATCATTATATTTGAAGATGATGCTGATGTTCCCTTTCCTATGCTATCATGTTCATGCTCGGATGCAGCTATTTTTACTTCAGCAGGATTAAACGGAGTATAGAAGTTGTGTTGCTTTGCGGCTGGAGCAGATCCGGGAATTCCACCGAGCGTGACCGTATTGCGAGAGGAAAAGCGCAAATGGTGTTGCGAGGACGCGTTAGCACGCTTTTCGGGTGGCGGACCTCGGTGCATCGAGTTCCCCCGCATGTTCTTTTGCTCGATTCCTACTTCCTGTTTCCCGCCTGGAAAACCTCCAAATAAGCCATGCTTATTACTGGCACCAGCATGATCTGACGTCATCATATTGCTATTCATGTTATTGCTCGAAGATGATGTAGTGGTATCAGCAATGCCGCTTTTGTTCTGGGAATTCCATGACCCAGTCTTCGACGATTGAGATGCGCCTTTACCTACTGTTCGTGGTACCGACATGCTCCGGTTCCCGTTATTTTTCTGTGCCGTCGAAGCAGACCACAACGAGTTGTTGTTAGGCCCATCTAAAGTCAAAAAACGAACGTTGCTGCCCTTCCTCTTGTGCTTTTTCCTGGTGTTCATCTGGTTGCGGGACTGGGAACGAGAGCCCTTGTTGTTTCGCTGATCCAACTCCACTGGCAGTTGTTGTACTCTATTTGCCGCTTGCTGATGTAGTTGCTCACGTTGCGTTTGCTCACTGGCATTTTTCACTTTACTTTCGTAAGCAAGAAACTGGAAGTCATTAAGAGACTTGGAATTTAAAAAAACATTACACGACGAAGCTCCAGACGCCGAGAATGACGCGGCGCTGGAATTTACAACATTAGACGACGAAGCTCCAGACGCCGAGAGTGACGCGCCTCCTGCTGTGTAGTTACATGCATTTGACGCAAGAGCATGGCCTTTCTTATGCTCTACAACTTGTCCACCCTCCTGGCTCCCTTTTTTACTAGTCGCACCCTTCGCTCCTCCTTTATTCGATGTGGCCACTGTTTTACCCTTGGCGATGCTAGTGCCTGGTTTGCCAAAGCGGGCTGGCGCGTGCTGAAGATGCTGGTTGAAGAGTCCTGAAGAGAGGTCCTTGCCCTTGCCCAGGGCTCCAGATTTCTTGTGCTCAGACCAGGGCATCTTCATGACAAAATTAACAGTAGGACGCGAAAGCAAGCGGAATGAATGAGTCGGCGCCGCCACTGCTCAACGGAAGAAGCGAAGCAAAGCGAGCCTTTTGTTGAGCTATTGAGATGACGAGAGCAACAACACCACCGCCAATGTCGAATGGCACAAGTCAAGCATCGCGAAGCCCCGGCAACAGGAGCACGACAGGGAAGTAAGCAACTGCAAACATAATTATGAATTCATCTTCAACATCTTCACTCGAGACATCATTCTTAGGAAACTTCTTAGTAGTAAGTCGATTTGTGTCGCGAGCACAGTGAAATAAGTAATTAAAAGTTGTAGACAAACCAATGCGCTTATACACGACCGAAACCACACGAACGAATGACAAGTCAAACATGACAGCACTCACCCTTACATTAAACATCTACCCCACAACACTTCCCTGTCACGCGGATCAAGAGGGAAGGCCTAAAGAAGACGTACATGTGCTAGTCGGAAGTGTATGCAGAGAAACAGGAGATGAAGGTCTCGTGTTGATGATGATGACGATCATGATGATGATTGTACCTACATTTTATGTTAGAGGTGTTAGATAAACGTAAAATCCACCGTAGGTTAGAATGACGATAGTGTTCTTCCATCAGAAGGAGTATGTTCCTACAATAAATTAGGTGGTCACGGATCTTCACGTACAGCTACAAATAAAAGGCTTTTTAGGCTAGAAATTATGATCATATAAAATAAAGGAAATTCCTTTTGCTCACAGAGGGTACGTTGACAAGAACACTTTTTTGTACACGGAAATCCTAGTAGAGAAGAGTTTGGCTAGTGCGGACGCACGCAATGCCAGCGCACAAAACAACATTCATGACAAGATGTTGAACATGTTCGCTAAAAGTTGTGAACTAAAACTACAAGCCACACAACATGAATGGCTTATCAAGCTCAGTCACCCGCAGCCGAACATTCCCCGAATGGTTTCCTGTCAACACGCTTATGCCGAAAGAGGCCAGGAGAAAAAGCGACGCGAAAGCCGGGATCAACGCGCCAGACAAATTAGAAGCGAATCGGGTTTACAGGGCATGCTACTAAAGCGAAAAGCCTCAGAAGTGGGCAGTTTATCGAGCATTCATACTACTAAGGGCATCCATACTACTACAGAGAATGAGAATGCTAATCGAGTTCGACCGAACAAGAGACTTTATTATGATGTTGTGATTGTAGACTATTACTCGATGAAGGAGGAGCACCAGGTTAAACTTTAGTTACTACAACTCAGTGAAGAGCTGTAAAAACAAATGGTGGTTCTTGGTCAACATAAGTGTAGGAAACAGTTATTGCTTCTTCCACAGCACGCGCGTCGCCTAGGATTGCAACGGTAGAGGCAAAGTAGCGAATCCAGTCTTTCCGTCGGTACATGGTCGGATTTGTAGTGTAGAACATGTTCCTAAAAGGGTCTAATCGTGTATCAGCGCAAACGCTTCCGCTACGACCGGATTGCTGCTGACTGGTAGGCTGCTCTTCTAGAGGACCCATTATATGCTGGTCGCACCACTCTAGGAAGGAGTTCTTTGACGTACTCGAAGTTGTACTGCTTGACGTACCAGGCCCATGATCACTGGTAGTTCTCAACATGTGACTGTTAGCCTCAACAGCCTCGCCACTTTCTCGACTACTACTGCTACTACGAGTCCCGGCCTCCGCATACTCGATACTAGTCGGGGCACTCGAATACAATGCTCCGTTTTCGTCTTCTGAAGAACGCTGATATTTCAAAGCCCGCAGCCAACTTGTCCGGTTGTTGTCGCAGGTGCCGTGCTCTCGAAAAGGCGGATTCCAGAATTCAGCGGGAAAGTCAGCTTCTACCGGATCCTCCGCAAAATACAAGGCCAAACTCGTCGGCGGCGGTTCATTATGCTGCAGCGAGGTGAGCAACTCGTAGTAGGGCGGACCGTAAAAAAGCTTGTGACGCAGATGCACCAGATCTGCTTTTTGCTGGCGCAACAGAGACACAGCATCTCGCAATCGAAACCACACTAGCTCAGGAGGGCGCGCGATCACCTCCCAGTCGTCCTCGAGGAAGAGAATGTGGTCCGCGCTACTCTGCATCGCACACGATGCGAAGGCCTTGCCCGTTCGCACAATTTGAATTATGATGATGACGAAGATACCACGAAATGGTCCTACTCCTAATATTCGTTACGGTATATTATATATAAATCAGGAGGGATAGTGAGGACTAGCTACGACTCACGAAGCTATCCATGGCTTTTGTAAATGGTTTTCTGACCAAGAACTTCAACTTAGAAAAAAAATCTTAATCAAGTCAAATCGAATTTGGATACTAGATCGGTGAGTCACTTACCTAGATGTAAGTAGATAGTGTCTTTTCTCATACATGTAGCTTGTCCTCGATATCTTGATGTGCGTTTCTGGCCATGCGTAAGCGTCGAAACCCAACTCTTGGAGCCCATATTTTCGCATAATGCCACTGCGCCAACAACCTTCCCCGGACTGTTGTTCCGAAGGTTCACCTTCGGAAGGAGGTACAGGATCCTCAAGAAAAGTTAGGAATTTCTCCTTCGCCAGAAAAAGGAGGCCTGTCTGCTCGTACGTGTTCAGCGCATGCTCAAAACTACGAGCTCCGTTTCCGTAGACAATACAAAGAGACAATGAAAGCTCCTCTCGCAATTGGCCGAGAGCGTTTGCGTGCTCTGCTAGAGTCGGAGGTGGTACTAGTTGTATAGTGCTGGAAGTGCTGGAAGTAGAACTGGAACTTGTAGGACTGGAACTTGTAGTTGTAATCGGAGATGATGATGTTGCACAATGCTGGTCCGTGGGCGTTGAAGAGTCCTCTCCCTGCTGTTGAATAACGGGTCTCGTGGCGACCGCATGGTCTTTGTCAACACAGCTTTTGGTTTCCACCTCTTCTCGTGCGTTTGCATTCATGTTGATCTCCGCAACCTGCATCCTAAAGCTCTCGTACACCGCTGCCTCGCGTGCCGTCGGCGTGTCTGAGCCGTCCTCCCACATGAGCCGTTGCCATGCGATCAGCTTCCGGAACATCCGTTTCAGCATCAAAGTGAAACGCGGAACGTCGAAGACAAATGGCAAAAACTCCTGCTCCGCGGCTTGTTCGGATCCAACTACATCTGCAGCACTTACATTCTCCATCATGCTGGACGCTAATTCGCTACTCTCCACATCGCCAGGAGTCGTACCAATGGAATTGGAATTCCAATTATTCTCTGCACCACTTCTTGATTCATCTCGTAGTCCTCGTTCATCTTCACCACTAGGCACAGCTTGTGCTTCTAAGCGTCCTTCCGCCTTTTCCTGATTCTGCTCAGCATCCGCGTTCGGCAACACTGCTTGCCCATTCTCCTCTGAGAAAAAGCGATCCCAGACCTCGCGACAATCTAAGGTGCGCGAACCTAGGGCTTCGGTGTACTCGATCACGCCTTGTGCGAAGCGACGCCAAAATTGCATCCAGTAATCCAGGTCCACGTAATTGCGTTCTCCCAAGTCGTGTGCCTACTGTTGGTTACAAAGATACATAGACTGTTTTACTAAATGCAGCGAATGTTGGTATACAAGTGATGCAACGAAAAATTAATCGATCCTAAAAGAACGTGAGGAATTCATTTCACGACTAGCTACATGATCATAATATGATCATATATTTATAAGGTCAATAATGAGAATACTTCAAATATGCTCCCGACGACGGTTGCAATATTGAGAGCACCAATGGGACAGGTTGAGGCCACATCCTCGAACTCCTCTAGAGCGTCAGGCCTGAAATTTTCCAAAAATATCTGTTGGGCATCCGCGAAGTGAAACGGCGCTACTTTTCTCAGACTCCTCCAACACTCGTAACCGACCGAATGCAGAGGTTAGAAACAGAACAAGCCAGCGACTTGTCATCCACCGCCAGAAATTGGTTTTTCAACATCAGCCAAGATTACTACTCATTAAAGTTGTGAATCTAGTTTTGCCTTTCAGTTACAGGCAATGCATTCTGAGTTGTCTCGACTACTTACGCGGAGAAATGATTACAATCTCGTCTTGCTTAGACCCACCGAGAAAGTTAGTAGTCCTCGCGTTCTCGTATGAACCGGTCACTTTAAGTGCATAAACAAAGTTCGGCCAATAGATCCGGTCCCTATCGCAGCGGCAGAACTCTATAACCTGCCTTTTCACTTCTGGAGTTATCCTCTTCAAGGGGTTTGATGAGATGTCGGATAGACTCGTCTCATCGTACTCGTTCGCTTTCCCATGCTCTGCAGAAGCCTGATTCCCCTGCTCATTTTCGTTCGGCAAAGAAGCCGGATCAGCAAGAATGGCGGAGATTGCAAGACACAATTGGACGACGTGAAAACGCCTCAACGTTGAAAACGAACCCACCTTTGCCATACTTCTTGATTGTGATTTGCAACATTGAGAGTAGGCGGTGAAGATTGATGCAAGATTTGCAGACACTGCTACTCAGCGACCTTGAAACCTGTGTTTCCTTTCTTGTACAGCGAGATCTACCTCAACACTTGCAGTATGAAGGAACAGTATGAAGCAATGCAACACCTGAAGCTGATCCCAGTTTGGAACACACAAGATGGGATTCTTTTAGATGCCGAAAGTTTGTGTCCTCTGCTTTGGATTCGCTGAATCTACGACACTTCTTGTTCTTCATGTATTCTATGGAGGTGACAAAATCTCAATGTCAACCCATGTCGCTTATGGTAACAAGTATTCATTATGTCATACTGCGCAAAAATTCAGTCAACACACTAGTGTATGTTTCTTTCTGTGTACAGGAATCTATAGCACTCGGTTGAAAAAGAAGTCAGTCGTCAAGAAGAAGTTGCGATGTGTCCCCAATGGCTGCTTGCTTGCGAGTTGCGACGTGCAGGCAGAGCCTAGCCTTGTGCGTCGCAGGAGCGCCCGCGAAAGAGGAGGTCGTGGAACAGCTCTTATCACGACCTCAACTACCCTGCAACCATGGCAACGATGTACAACAGGAATGCGCCTGCCATGCCAGCCATTATCATCTTCAATTTCATATTTCTCCACTGAATCGCCCTCCGCAAATCGACGGACTGTAGTATTTTTATGAACGAAGAACAAGTACAAGTAGTACAAGACAAGTCCTTTCTCGTGACAGATTGATACTTAGACACTAGTACGTGGCCACCTAAAACTGATACTTAGACAATAGTACCTGCTTGAGAAATTGATCCGCCTGGCGAGACATGTTGTCCGTTCGCTGCTCTAAATTTTCCAAGTTATGGTGGGTTTCTAATATCCGCCTCACATTGTCTTGCATATTTTCCTTTAGCTCCTCCACTTTCCCCTGAGAGTTTAATCATCAGGAATCGCCGGATGTCAACGAATAAAGAGTGACACTGGAGATTTTGCATATGAAAGTAGCTTGAATGATTTTCAACTGCAATTATCAAGTTGCAAAAACACAGACGAATCCACGTGCTACTGAGACTACATAAGTACATAATTAGTATGCGCTACCTGGACTTCAAACGTTTTGTCTCGGTCAGCTAGCTGATATCGTTTTATTATCTCCCGTATTGGCTTCTTCAGCGGTTTTGTGAGCGAAAGACTGCTCAAATGATGTAGCGAGTCTCCCTGAGGGTAATGTGTGTTAGGCAAAAAATGGAACACTCAGATGCATCAAACTCGAAATAACGACAGGACATCCGACTTTTAGGTGGCGCATTGCCAGGTCCTGTTATCCATTTGTTTCCATCTGACCATTCGTCAATGCACTATGGTCGTAAAATACAACGTCAAGTACTAGTACCTGTGTCATGTGTACTCGCTCTAGCACCTCGCCCAAGCATGCATAAGCTAACCTTTCGGGATACGCCGAATCTCTTATGCCGATTGAGTAAAGGCAGTGTGATGACAAGTCGCGTCCAGCCATGACAAACATATTTCCCTGACATGGATACCTATTTTTGAAATGTGCAAGATCGATTATTTTTGAGGAAAATCATGATCATAGAAAGGCAACAAAAACAAGATACACGACACTAGCACTACTTACATGACATATAAAACTGGGTAGACGTGAAGTAGCTGCAGTTGACCGAGGGGTAAAGGTTTGACCATGCTGGTGATTCATCTTCAAGCCGTATACAGGAACATTTCAACTTCTGTAGATTCAAGCCTAAATAAAAAGAGTACTCTAAAGTTGTCCTTGTCCTAAAATCCGGATTCGTGATTCCCCTTTGGGCCTGGCATGCCTGCAGGAATTGCCGTTCGAACTGCTGTGTCTCTTAGCGCTAGTTTTTCACTACGGTTTAGGTTGATTGAGGCGCCCTTTTTCGCCTCGGTTTTCCCTGTACTAAACCCACCTCTCAGCATAGTTAGTCTATTCGATAAACTGAAATGAGCGAGCAACTACTGAAAATATTAAGGGAGATACTGAAAGAAGAGGAACGAATGTAGTCAAGACTCTCATATTTCAGTCAGTAACTCGGTTATTTCGAGTGAAAAACTAGCCTTAATTTTCCTGCGACGCCATCTTCGAGTCCACGAAGATGCTTGCTAGCAACGCGCCATCGGTCACGCGTGCCAGACCCACAAACACTATGCGTTCTTCGACGGAAACGATTGCCATTCTTACTTGTTGAGGATAAAAAGATGAGCAGGGTCTAAAGATGATGAATCAGATACAGATTCTGAATCACATGATCTTATTTTTACGTCGGAAGCCTGAATCCGAAATAAACTTCTCACGTACTATACTGAGTTGTACGCTCAAAAATACAAATATACCATGTTATTTTTGAATACAGAAGAACTTGCTATAATCATGTGCTCAAGGAAAAGTCTCTCCCTAAGGCAAATCTAACATCACCCACTTTCTTCGTTGTACTACAATTTTTCACTTCACCAAACATCTTTCTTGGTCGTCGAAAAACGCTTATCATGAGTTAAAACTTTTTTCAACTTTTTTCAAACCAGGTGGGTGAGGAATGCCGGACTCTGGAAAAAAACAGATTCGGGGAAATTTTCAAGCAACCATGCAATACAATACAATTTATCTCGCACAAATTTCAGTGCAGACTGCCACAAAGTAGTTACTCATCAATCTATCATAATAAAGATCACTCGCTCCGCGGATTCAACAAGAGTACCTTCTATGCCTTTTTATGCAATTTATCCTTATGCAATATATCCTATTGAGTCAACACTCACACTACTTCTTGTCCTCGTGTGACAGTATACGAAAATTAGAAGGACTACTTTCTCTTTTCCTCTCAGCTTATGCTGAACACCTGTGACATGTCTGAAGGAACTTGTTAATCATGTCGCGCCGTTCATGCACCTTCTCGAGGGGTGCCGTAAGTGCGGTTTTTTTGTGATCTTAAGGTCTGGGATGCATCATGATGTAAAGGTGGAGGGCGTTGTTTTTCAGCGTTCTTCTACCATATTCTTTTAAGTATTTATTCACATGATCTTCTATGTTCTTCGTTTATTGCGTTGTGGTACCTTGATCGTTTGCTGTGTGAAACTATAAAAAAAAAGTCGTTCTTCTCTCTTCCCAAGAAGCAACCGCGCGTACGAAGTCCGCGATCATTCCATTTTTCTGCTCATCAGATTCTGCAAGTATTCATCGTTTCCAATGGCGCCGAACTTGTGTCTATCTGTTGTTTCGTCCCGCAGAGCAGCTCAGGCAGAACCAGAAAAACATCTTGATCTTCTTGGTCGTCATTGTTTTTCTATCATCATGTCGTGGTATACTTCTTACATCGATGTATAATTCTCCTCGTCTTCGCAACTAGTAGTGTTCATTCTTTGCTGGTGTTGATACATCAGGTGTATTCGTTAGGGGCCAACGTTCTAGGATATAGCTGGAGCAGCGTCAGTGACGAAATACCACAACCACTCACCCGTCCATCTCGGCGTCGTCGTCCTGGGCGCCTCTTATGTACAGAACGTTGTTGCACCGGATCAGCATCTGCAGAAATTTGGGGAAGAAAAAATGAGAAAAAAGTTACAGACGGGATTTCAGCAAGAAAGAATGCAACATGAGAATTCTTTAACCAATCCATCTTCTACCTAACCATTTTGTTCATCATCTCGGTAAAAAAGTAGATAACTACACATGTACTAGCAGTCCATCGTCATCCCACTAGAAAAAAAAACAAAACTGTATAAACAATACTGTCTAAAATAAACTCATCCTTCTTGTTACAAAAAAAAACCTTAACAGTAGGTACCTCTCCGATCTTGTCCTTGAATTTGCCATTGACGTACTCCTCACTCTCGTAAAGATGAAGGTTCATAAAAGCGTCAGTGCTCTTCAACATACCCTGGTATTCCATTCCCCACTTCAGCTTGACAATGACCTTGAGTTTTTTATTTCAAATTTCTTCATAGATTTTGAATCTATTTTCATACTTAGTTGTAGTATTGAAGAATCAAAAATTTGAATTTTTGTGTATACAATCAATCAATCAATCAATAAGTCAATCAATCAGATCGCCTCCACAGGGCACCGACCTCCCTGCAGAAAAAAACGTTTTCATCCGACTTATGCTGGAACTTCTAGAGGAGCATGCTTGAGGACACAACTTCGGAGCCTGGTAGTACCTTCTTGCCGCAGAGGTCGTTGAGGACCGGCTTCGGATTTTCGGGAGCAGCCGACATGTTTGGATAAGTACGAGGGTACGCAGAGAGATGAAAAGCAATGAATCAGATGTGCCTAGTACCGTACGATAATAAATCAGAAACAGAAGAGCAAGATACTGATAGTTGACTCACCTACAACTTACCTCTACCATAGAATTCAGTACAAGTGAGACAATCAACCTACTACAGGAGCCTGGACCAAGTGCAAGAAGACAGTTGAGATTGCAGGAACTAATGTCGACTAGAACACGAACGAGATTCATAATGCCATTGCACCACGTCACGTTATTTTCAGTTTCAAAACATGCAATACCGTAAGCTTTAAAGCTTCGGATTGATGGCATAAACTGCCACCAACTAATTAGCGCGGAAAGCGCTAAGACGATCGATCACCCGACCTCAATTTAACCAAGATTGAACAAGTGAAATCGTAATTTTAAAGAATATACTTAAATATGATGTTTTCCGCCCAGTCAATGGCAAAAGAGAAGATTCATCAAGTTTTGTAACCACGACCAGGAGTCGCACACTTGTCGTTTGAACAGAGCCTGAAAACAGATCAGCAGATAAGATCCTGAGTGATCAATATGGAAAGATTCTCATCGCTTTAATTCCATGCAAAGTGCAGATTTACATTCGGACATTGCACAGGAGTGCTTTGCTGGGTAAATACCGAGACATCAGGCGATTCCTCTCGAAGGATCGTATTTTTGGAGAGATTTTCATTGGATCAGACGGTCTACTAGTACTGGCGGAACAGACAGTCTACAATGAATTGGCTCGGCAGCAGGAGTACTACTAGACCTGCTGTTCTCATCGGATGGCGATTTAATTTCGTCGACAAATCTGAAACAGGATACTCGCATGATGAAATTCTATGCGTTCCTGCCTTTTTTTTGCATCTCCAGATGAGCCAGGGTAACAGCAATTGAGTAAGAGCAATTCAGTCTTTACAAAGGAATCAGTCTCAGAGTAGTAATCGCAAAACACATCCTAGAAACATCAGTCTACTGTGCTTCACAGCCCTCCTACGCCGCAACATGGTGGACGATGAGCGTCCTTCTACTAAATAGAGCAGCCAGAATCAGACAGAGATAAGTATCCGAAGCTATCACGACACAGTGACGCGAGTACTTACATCAGGAGTAAGCAGAGAAACCAAAGAGACAGCTTAATCAGACCTTAATCAGGCACGAGAAGTATCTTCTCGAGGATAGGGATTCAGAAGTAGCTTAATCAGACAGGTGAAGTAATCAGGAGACAGAAACATGAATATTGCCATCGCGTGGAAACAAGCAAAGTGTATCTGCTAGCCGTGAAGGCTGCGTTGATAGCATGAACTTCTTCTATTACAATTACAACGCATAAATTGCCATTGTCTTTGAAAATAATTCCTAGCCAATAATCTGTACAAAAATTCGGAGGCCGTGACCCCACTAGGTAGATTCATGAAAGAAACTAAATGTGGCAGTAGCCATGCAACAAAGTTCGAGTCCTCTCTAAGAATGGACGATGCATTCTATAGGCAGAGTATGCAAGTTAGTACGGACCTGAGTGGAGTCCTAGTCTACCTGATCAGAGTCCTAGTCTTCGTCCTCTCTCACCTTCATAGCCGCAATTCGTTTCTGCGTCTTCTCCTTCTGGCGGAAGAGGTTGATCTGGTACGCCTTCAGATTTTCCTTTCTCTGCTCGTGGCCTTTGAGAATGTGGTTGATCACATCCATCACCTTCCCTACCATCATAATCACCAAGGTTATTAGAAAGGACGATCCACTTCCAACTTTCACGACGACGTGGAGTGCAATTTACTTGTTACTTATGAATGAATGTAGTACCCACTCCACCAGGGTATGACTCACTTACTTATGAATGATGTACAACTGTGAGTAAAGAAGTTGTCTGTGGTGGTCGTAGTCCCTGATCGTACAACAAAAATTATGGAACCATAAATTGAGATCCACATCCACTGACTGGACTTCGTAGAAGAGGGCATCGAGGGATTCGAGAATCATATTGCAGTGAATCTCGATCACTGTCGTCACTTGCTCTAATGTCACGATGGCTTTTTGGAGCACGAGAAAGACATTAGAGGGTATTCGATACACTGAAATAAGCAAGTAAGTACTTGAAATGAGCGAGATACTCAAAGAAGAGGAATGTAGTCACGGCTCTGTTATTTCAGTCAGTAACTCGCTAATTTTCAGGTTTCAGGAAGATGTTCTGAAGTGGTCCTGTTACGTCTCAGACTCTGGTTGTCTCAGTAGACTCTTGGCTCAAATGATACAGATTTACTTATCATCCAACACCATTAGGTTAGGTTGTAGGTTAGGTCATGGATCCTGCACAATGAGCCCCTCCTTCACTCCCAGGCAACATCTATACTAATCGTTTTCGTTGCTCTTCAACCAGTCATCATGATCATCATATAGCCGTAATATCCTGCGCAGTTGCAGTATGTCGGATTTTCTTGAGGCAGTAGCAAAAAAGTTCGAGGTCTACTTCCGCCTCCTCATCCGCGTCGTCCACTAAGAGGGCTTTTACTTCCTTGATGTTTCGCGCAGTGTAGTTGAGCTGCTTCAGCTTCCCGCGAAACCTGAAGTTAAAATGTGGGCAAGTACATATTGATGAAATGCGAGTAGCCGTAGCCGATAACAGAATATCTATATTTTATTAACTACATGCGCAACCGCAATGTGAAATTCGTCAATTCTAGCATGTTGTTTCAAATTCAATAGACCACAACTTGCTCATAATATTCTAGTTTTTCCATCAGCATTCCTAACCTGCCCTAAAGAAATGTGAGTACCTTGCTCCTATTCTGGTTTTTCCGTTGACTACAGTCCAAAAGTCTGGGAAGTAGAAGACTCGTCCGTCGTCTGAAAGCGTCTGAAATAAGGCTTTGAGTTCTTCGAACGCCCTCTTCTGTGCCGCGTCTTTGAGTCCTTCCTGCTCTACCTCGGGATCTTAGAAGAGCAAGAAGATATGCATTGACTTTGTTTGTCTAGGAGATGCTATCGGCCAAGTAGTCTCCCCTTGTTAAATACTAGGAGATGCTGGCGTTGGCCCTGGTCATCTTGCTGACATTTCCAGTGAATGAATGAATGAATGTCCCTACCATGAGGTGGCGCAGTGAGTTTTTATGTCGCTCACCTTAATATTCTTTCGCAATGACGAAGACGTTCTCGACAATGACTGCGATGACCAGGTTCATAACCACGAAGATTGAGGTGGCGAAGTAAAAAAAGATGAAAAATTTGAACCACCAAACCTTGAACTCCAATGGTCGCACCACTTCATCCCCGTTTTAGCGGTAGTCTCTCCTCTCTCATCTTCATAGCAATCTGTGAATAAGATGAACCTCACTCAAGTCGGAGTGGGACTTCTCTGTGAACAATGCTCTACCTCTACCAAGAAATGTTTTATATTTCAATCATTTTGTTGTAAGAAAACTTCGAAGTCATGAAAACACTTCTATTTGGCAGAGTAGAAGCGAAAACCGCGTTACAACACTAGATGCCTGAAAACCCATTCTTAACAACTGTCCAGCGTAGTGATCTGGAAGAGTGTGAACATACTCCGCATCACAGACCCGAAATACTTCTGCGCCAATTCGTCCTGCTCAAAACTACGTCCAATGAATTGCGTCGCCGTCACTCCGAAGAGGAATAACAGGAGTTAGAGCTGCCATAGCCATTCTAGCATCGATCTTGCATGATCCTGCGGTTCATCGAGTGTGATGCGCTTTCAGTCCTTGTATCCGTTGACTTCCCATCAAGAAATCCAGTAACGAAATCCCTTGTAACGAAAAACTACTACTTAGTAGTAGTAGTAAAGTAGTAGTAGTAGTGTGCCCATTCGTGGGGTATTGAAGACAACTTCTCACATGTATTTATTTTTAGTTGTACTTCTTCGTAAATGAACGAAATGACGCAGAGCGACCAGAAGAGCGGACTCATGGAGTAAATCATTCCCTTTACGAGGAACCACATTTCCCGGTAAGCCGGATCTAGCCGCAAAGCCTGCACTAGACGATACAGACGTACGATACGCAAAAGCGTAAACTTTCGGATCTCCTTGATTAGAATGTGCTGTTACTCCTCATTTCTATGAAGATGGGTAACAGGTTAACTTCTCATTTCTATGATGGGTAACATGTTAACTTCTCATTTCTATGAAGGTGGGTAACAGGTTAACTTCTCTTTTCTATGCAGATGGGTAACAGCTATAAGGTTAAGGGACTTAATGAGCGCAGCTGTTACTTCTCATTTCTATGATGGCAGGTAACAGGTATCGATGTATAAGGTTAAGGGACTTTTCAGGTATAACTAGAAAAAAATGATCAAAAAAACTGTAACCTCATCTCTTAACCTTATACCGTATAAGGCTAAGGGACTTTTAGCGCATGTTGACTCCATTACATTATTCTTGTGTTGGGCACGATTGATACAGTGCGAATTGTCGTGTAGCATGATGCCGTTGCCGTGTAGCACGTACACTAAATAGCACATATTTATCCGTTGTATCACGACAAGGTGTACAACAGAGGCCTTAACTTGACATCGATTCCTGCAGGCGCCAATACCCACGTAACTAGGACGCCGGTAAAAAACACTAGAATCGCGTCGACGAAATTGGTGACGCTCTCGAACATCCACCCCCATCCGTAGGCGCGGACACGCGCGGCCAGTTCTAAAAGAAACGTAAGCGTGAAAAGGTTTTCGCATACCCAGAGTAAGATCGCGATTGGTCCTGGCTTTAGAGATAATCACTACCTTCTCACCACATGATAGGGCAAAAATTCTAAGAACCCAGACAGGAGGTCAACGTGAAACATGAGACCATGGAATAAAAAAAGTCTTCCTACCTACAGCGTACCTACACTGTATTGTGTAACAGGAGCCTTAATGATTCGTCTACCGTCACTGCCTGAAATACGATCGTCAGACAGTTCAACATGATCAGCAAACCCATGTACTTGTCCCAATCCGGATGCTGCACAAGCTTCAGCGACCACAGAGTTGAAGGACTCTAGCGTAGGGGAGTTGAAGGACACTAGCGGAGGGGAATGGAAGGAGAAGGACCCTACTTCTACATAAAAGGAGGTGAAGAACTCTACTAAAAAATCTAGCGAGCAAGAAATCAAGACGAGGTTGAACCTCGATTGTGCTTGGTGCTTAGCCCTGTAGCTTGTAAGTACTTAGAGTTAGCAAATCGCGAAGCAGTGGTGGACAACGAGTTTCATTTTCTTGATTGGCGATGGCATATTTTTGCATGAGATAGACATATTCTGCATGAAATAGACACTCATTCTTGTTCAACATTCTTAATCCCCACCTGTTCATACAGGGTAAAGATGCTCCTCTTCGTAATCCTCGAGCCGCATTTTCTCGTACAGCCAAAGGTTGTCGTCTCTCTTCTTCATGAAGGCCTCCCACGGATGCTTCCACCACAATTTTCCCTGTTTATTTTTGGGGGCCTTTGAAAAAAACGAGGTTTGAAGGAGGCTTGCTGTGAGAACGGAGGTTCCTGTTTGGAAGAATGGAGGTTTGAAGGAGGCTTGCTGTGAGAAAGGAGGTTCGTGTTTGAAAAAAAGGAGGTTTGAAGGAGGCTTGCTGTGAGAAAGGAGGTTCGTGTTTGAAAAAAAGGAGGTTTGAAGGAGGCTTGCTGTGAGAAAGGACAAGGAGGTTCCTGTTAGTTTGCTGTGAGAAATGAGGCTTCCAACACAATTTTCAATGCCAGGAAGCTCGACGAGGCTTGCAAAATATAAGATTAAGTCAATCGTTTGAGGCCTTCCATATCCATGTCACGACCTAACAATTACATCCGTCTTACATTAGACTTATTACAGAGCAATTTATAAGGTTTCACAGCTCGCATGGCATGGAGTGCATGGATCACATGGAGTAGCATGGAGCTAAAGGAGGAGCTTCTTGCGCCCCTCAAAGCTCTGCGCTCCATGCACTCCATGCTACTCCATGCACCATGCGTGCTATAAACTACTCTGTTATTACCCTCATTGCTCTATTCCTTTCTCTTCTCCGTTTCTGCACCTCGGTTTCATGAATATCGCCTTCCTCGGGGAACACCTCCCCTGGGTCATCGAAATAGCTAGTCCATGCCATCTGCGCAAGCCCCTTCTGCACCAAGGATCTCTCAGCCATTCTCCGCTCATAGCCAGCCTGCGGCGACTCTCCCGCTCTGAAATAAAAAAAGTCGTGATGAAGATGATCAAACATTTTAGGCGATATAAATATAAAGAGTCTAACGATTATGATCAAACATAGATATGATAAGAACTCACAATGAGTCCGTATTCTCAATATTAATGATCGGGTCAAGCTTGTTGATGCTGTTTTTTCTTGAAGCTCTCCTTTTATTTTTGTCTTTCTAGAACATAACCTACCCAAATTCAGTGCACTTCCGTGTTTCTATGCATCATTCACGAAAATCCAGTACCTGTAGGCCTGAACCATACGACCCCGCTCATCGAACATCCACGCGTTTCCGAGTTCGTCAAACGTAACAGCGTTCCCAAGCTCGTCATACTGAAAAAATCGTCCTTCCTGATGCGTTATGAACGGTCAAACTTCTCATCGTACTCGGGCTAGCCTGTGTGCTGGGAAGCTTAATATATAAACGTGCTTGTGCGTGGGAAGGAAATAGCAGAAACTACTAGATGATTTCAAGCGATTCTCCTACTTCTCTGCAAGTCGGCTGTCCTGACCTCGCTAATACTAGGATCAAGATAGTTTTCAAAGTTTGATATATCATAACGTAGAAGCCATCTGCTAGGTCTGCCGAATCCAATTCGCTTTCTTGCTCCTCCAGTTCTCGTTGTCTCTGTGCTTCTTCCGCAGCCTTTCTTGATGACATGAATCGGTCCACCTACTACTTTCCTTTCTGAGACTCGATTTAAATTTGTTGCGATTGTATTACGTGTGCAAGTAGGTGAACGAACAAGGTATCAAAGAAGGCGATATCCGAAACCAAAACGAATATAATGTGAATCGACTAGACGGTGACTAATCAAAGATTAAGAGCTAGTCCTGCCCCTGCACTAGAACAAATAAAAATATAACCTGAGAACGAGCACATATTTTTTTTGGGGGGTTACAGGAGAAAGCAAGAGGTTCATGCTCCTGACTTCAACTTGAGAGCTGTCTTCGGTACTGTCTAAGTATTAGACCAAAAATTGCTGGAGACGCAGCCGCTACCTTCCAGTGCTATAGGTAGATGAACTTGATGAACAAGAACGGATCAAGCACTAGGTACAACTACAGCCGTCCTCTATTAAGTAGTACAAAGACGTAACTTCAGCTTCGAGGCGCAACCTTTTTCGCTGTTCCTCGAAGGTTTCGAAGCCATGGCTTGGCACATCCTCTGCATACACCGCCTTCGCCTGCTTCTTCAACATTTTCTCCTTCTCTTTGTCTGCCGGTGCCGACAATTATAGAATCTGTAAGATAAAAGATATTATAGAGGAAATTCTATACTTCGATATTACGGGTGGAGCCAAGCTAACTAGGAAGAAAAAGTAAGGGTAGGCAAAAAGTATATAAGTACAGAATTATAGTAATGGCCAAGCTAAGTAGGATCCGCCGCGTGTCTTCAACATTTTCTCCTTCTCTTTGTCTGCCGGTGCCGACAATTATAGAATCTGCAAGATAAAAGATATTATAGAGGAAATTCTTTACTTCGATATTCAATCATCGTAACTTTGTGGTCTTGGGGCCGGCGCTTTCCTCGATGACAACGACATCGGGCCCGATGTCGCCCTCAGCCGGGTCTGCCATGTCTGCTGTTGCGAAGTACTAGAACTCCTTCTAGAAGATGTTCTTCGCAGCAATCGCGATGATGTTCTTCACAGCAATGGCGATGGCCTTCTCATTTGATTACAGTGGTAGAACTAGAAGTCGAAGATTCCCATTCATACACGTCTGCAGAAATGTCACTAGAAGCAATGATAGGATAGGATAGGATAGGATGCCTCCACTTCACCACCACACAAAGGGACTGCTCCGCTTCAGCAACATGCTTGTATAATTTCTAGTTGTTGTGCGACTCTTGAGTGACAGTGACTGACACGTCTCCACTTCGGGTACTAGTCGACGGTTGTTCATCAATTTCTTGTTCAGCCACTATAATCTTCTTTTCTTGTAGTTCAACAGCCGGGTTCCTTCTTGATACAACCCTGGGCAGCCTCACTCAACTCCTCTGAGGAATCTGTCATCTGTGTCTGGCGGGACAAGTCATCAAATGGCGAAAACCGTTTCTGATGCTCTTCAGTCATTCTCCAAGACATGAATGAAACAGCTACCGAATCCGACAGAAAGTTGTTGGATGCTTCTCTTCTCCTGAGAAACTATGGATCATTTCGAGTTATTTTGAGAAAATACAGTCCATTATCGAAAGGATTAAAATTTTGACAATTCTTGAGTTGTTAGCGACTCCAGGACCAAAATCTATCATCTGTGTCTGGCGGTACAATGCACCACTAAAACTCGATAATCCCCTATATGGAAGCAACTTAAGTAACAAAGGAGGAAGGAGAAGCACATGCACAATGATCTCATTGGCCTTAGAATTCAAGAAACTTATTTCACTTAAAAGAAAGAAACTGATTGCATCTGTGCAGAGGAGTACTCCGCTCGCTCTGCTGCCGGGAGGTCATTTTTTGATTCTTCTTGTGTTCAGATTCCTAAGGTGGTGTAGATTGGAAAGACAACAGAAAGTATTATATTTTATTCTCTACTGATCGGATCAAGCTTGTTGATGCAATACAATACAATACAATTAATCTCGCTTTTTTTTTGTAGTGCCATGCTTATCCGAAAGGGAAGAGCTTGCATGTTTATCCGCGAAGCTGCCGGCGACGGACGGGGCTATTCCCCTATAGTACACGCTAAAATTTTTTGATCCGTCGATTTTAAGATGATCAAATTTAGGAGCTAAGGCAGGCTACTGCCATGCGGAGAGCCGTCCGCCTCACTACATACGCGCCACGACAATCTGGGCTGCGGAGAGCCGTCCGCCTAAAACACTTAAATATTTAATCCAAATTTTTGCCCCACTACGCGCGAAACTCGATGTTGGGTAAAAGTAAAAGGATGTAGCGATAAGTAAAAACAAGCGTGTTATAATCGTATTGGTGGGAGAATACTAAGTTGCTAAATCTTCTTAAGATTTTCATCATCCTCTTTTTTTGCTCTCTGCACTACGCTCCATCCTCTTCTTCATTCATCACCCTCTTCTTGCGGTCTGCTCCTCCCACGCACATGCGGCACAGCCAATAAAAGAAAAAGCAAACGAAAAACAAAAAGCAAAAAAAGTGGAGGGCTGACTCCGACCAAAGGGGCTACCTTATGCCTGATAGCCACAACTCTGCTAAGAGCGGGCGGGAGAAAAAAAAATCGGTAAGGGAGAGCGATGGGACGCTCTCCCCCTTTTAAGCAAGCTGCTTGACTATGCTGAAGCTACTGACCATCTGGCCAAAAATTTTAAACATTCCACTTGCACCCTCAAAGGGTCCTACCTCATGATTGCAGTTCGTTGCTTAAAAATCGAAAATCAACTCCAGGCGATGTCTTCGCACTCAGTTATATATTCGCTCACACGAGTAACCCATTCACTATACGGTAAAACTCTCAAAAAGTATACCTTACCAACTCTCATCAACTAAAATTTTTGAAATCCCTCAAGAGAACCCACAACAGAAAAGGCAGCTCAATAGTCCCAATCGGTTTCCATAAAGGCGACCGGCGGACCATCTGAAAACAAGGCGCGCCTCCAGGTAGGTAGAGGCACAACCCTGAGAGCAGATTTCTCTCATAACAGATTTCTTCAGTGCGGACTGCCGAAAGCGAGCGAGTTCCGATAAGTCAGAACCTACCTGCGTATTTTCCGCGTGGATACCGGCATAGGGGGGAGTTCTTAATCTCCTTAACAACTACGCTACTGCCCCTACGATTTTAAAATGCTGAACCCTAGGAGTAAAGGCAGGAGAAATTACACACCTAAGTTCAGTGCAGACTGCCTTAAAAATAGTCGTTATATATTTTTTCTACAACATTATCTCGTTCTTCTACTCAAAGAAACAGCTCCGAGAGCCTAGAGAGTCTGCGAGTCCCTCCGCAAAAACATCCTAGTACCCAGACCATTCTTGAGTTCTCGTTTGGCTTTTTTTACTCTCTCCTGGTGACTCTCTCAAAAGTTGTAGCTAGGTTTCATCTCTCAGAAGGGACGCAAACTCTCACCAAAGGCTCGCCATGCACAGAAAAACAATGACTGCTTGTTCAGAGATCCACTGAAGTAGGAATTTCAAGCCACATTCCATCCCGATTTCAGGGGTCTCGGTCAGGCTCGGATGCTATGTGCAACGTCGACGGAGCCTGCAAGAATAGAATCAATTTTAAGGAAGCAATGCAATCAAAATTTATCGTGGGTCAATATGAAATCGGAGGTTAGTGTCAAATCCGGGACATCTACTGCATGGCAGGGAAGAGCACAGACAGACTTTGTATTACGACAAGAAGAAAGTGCGGGTCTTTGAAACGACCAGAAGCTCAAAAATACTTCCGTTTTTTCATGTCGAGGCCGTCGGGCGAAACTATGTATAAGACAATCCTTATGTATCCTAAGGATAGGACAGAGGGGACTCCATCTCATATCCATATGACAGATGATCTCGCATTATGACAGGGTTATGACAAAGCAGAGCCTTTTGACGGATCGCCAAGGTTGTCGTGAGTGTAAATTCGATTCAGTGAGTGTCGTGATAAGTTTTAAAAATTAAAGTTATTTCATTTCAACCTGTAGTCACAATCATTCATTTTCTTGAGGAGGTTCGTCGCAACATGGTTATTTTCTGAAGGTACTAGTTTGTTGAGTGGCTTGGTGGAGCGGCTCAGTGGTATCAATTGAGATGTTGGTATTCCTCCATCCATGTGGAAGATGCTGGTATTCCTTCTTGTAACTAAGTAATGACAAACACAACGCTGGAGGTGATGAGGTATTGAAAAACATTTTCTGGTATCCATTGCAATGACGAACACGAGAGGTATTGTTCAAAAAGATCAGGATAGGTGAGGTTACAGTACATTTCGTCGATATTGTCTTAGTTATGTCAACAAATAGAGCATCAGTCAAATACAGCGGTTTCGCCTTCGAATCTGTTCCTGAACTTAATACTGTCAATTATTCAAGAGTCTTGATGTACCTCGCAAGGAGAGCAAAAATGTTGTCGAAAATAAATGGATTTAGCTTAGGTGTTGTCGAAAATAATTGTTTCTATACTTCAGATTTCTTCAGATTCCATTCTTGAGAAAATAAACCTCGTAAATAGTTTGGTTGTAAGCTGTTGTCGAAAATAAATTTTTTGGTAGATAGTAAGTTTGCTAAACGTTGTAAACAAGAAAATATCAATTAAGTAGGTCATCTTCAATCACATGCCGTTGTCAAAAAGGAGGTATCAAGTAGACTATCAACAGAGTGGAGATTAGTGGTAGTAGTAGTGTCATCATGACCTATCTGTTTTTCCATACTCTATCTGGGATGCTCATGATCTATCTGTTTTCCCATATTTGGTAAAAAATGTCTCTGAGTTGTGTCTACTTCTTAGGTACCTGTCTCTGATGTACTCTTTCGCTTAGATACTTATCTGCTTCGGATGTCAGTTCTTACTACAACTTGCTCGTCAAGGAGGGGGAGTACTACTATTAATGCTACTACTGCTAGTGCTATCATAATCTTGATTGAAGTGTAGTTAATGAAGCTTCGAACAAGCGGAGAGAAAAGTGCGAAGAACATATACAGCCTCGACCTACACCTACGCATCAGTAGAATACCGTTAGGCATCCATGTCCATCATACTACTGTCAGAGTCTCAAAGTAAGTGGTTAGGTAAATGTCTCAGTGTCCTCGTCCAAAAGATCTAAGTCGTGTCTGTCCAATATAGTCTTCAACAGATTAAGTATTTGCGTTTCAAATCGTTGAAGTGTATGTGGGACGAAAAAAAACTGCTGCGTGTGAACAAGGTCTCAACTCATCTAGTATCAACATCAAGGTGAGAGCAGTAGTGGTAGTTAGAATTCATCTATCAAGGAGAGACCAGTACTAGTGGTAGGAGGAAACCCATTCATGGGGTACAGTCCAAAAAGAACAAGGAGGGAAGACGAAGAGCATCTACATGGTTAGGCTAGGTTAGAAGGCGGGATCCTTCACATTGGGCTCCTCCTGACTCCTAGCTCACCTCCGAGGATGAGAATCTACTACGACCACTACTTCTAACTATTTCGGTGCATGCTAGCCGCGTGATGCATGCTGGTGCTAATTCTACTAGTACGACAACTCACTTCTCTACTCCAGGAAATGAAAATTTCTTCAAACTTCCACACCTTTCTAAGAAAACTTCTCTTCTCCAGGACATGGAAATTTCTTCAAACTTCCACATCCTAGAAGCGACACCCTAAACTAACATGTTCAATATTTTTCCTTTAAGAGTGAGACGCCCTAAACTACGGCGTCAGTGTCTGCCAGATCAACGAAGCTCTCCGCCCCATCACCTCCTGCGGTCTCGCTTAGCCCTGAAAGGTCCGAGAGACGCCCGACGTCTGTTCCTGCTTCCGAATTAGTATCATTGTCCCCCGTCGGGTCTTAGAGCCTGTGGACGACGGAACTAGAAGAAGTGAGAAACGACTGCTCGTGGAAATGCTGACTGGTGCTCGTGGAGTTGTAGTAGAGGCAGTAGCGCACTACGGACGAGTGAGTCTTCTTCTATACTAGTTAGTTCTTGTTGTACTTTGTCGCGTAGTATAGTAGTAGTACAGTACGCAGCATAATAAATATAGGTTCTAATCTATCCTAGTTATATAGTTATAGTTGTTCTTCAATCATGCGTCGTTCTTCTTGCCCTTGCACTTGAGGCCTGTGATTGATTTTTAGCGCTCATCCTTTGCACTTTCTTATATATGTGGCATTGAATTCAATCAAGGGCCTTAAGTTTCGTCCCAATACAGCGCGTCACACGTCAACCATTTCTTAGAGTTTGAAGAAAAAACCTTCGAGGATGTTGGGTGAACCTGAGGAAACAATGAGCAAAATACAAATTAAGTCTCTAACTACTATGAACCATACCCAGTTTCAAAAGAGCGGTTAAAATAAAGTGCAGGATGACTAATACTACAAAGAAAGTGCTGTACCCCTATCCCGTACGAATATTAGAGGAAGAGCAAGCCAGCTCATTATATTTATAAATATTACTAGCAGTTGTAGTAGCAGTGGTAATAATTAGTTATCATGTGATTCTAGACTCGTTTAGATTTAGTAGCGCGACTCCCACCTCAGCCCTGCGCACTAAGCACTGGATTGTCTACTCGTGTACGCAGTTCCACTCTGTCTGAGTCAGTGTTGTACTACTGCTCTGTAGTTTGAGCTGTAGACATTCACGCCCAACTTCTGCTGCAAAACTTCTAGGCTGATTACACAGACACTAAAAAATGTGACAGTCGATATTGTTCATCATATTTATTAACTAGTCGGTAGTCGATTATCCCGGGACTAGTCGTAGTCTACTGCAATACAATAAATCAAAATCTTTGTGCATAGTCCATCTGCCAGGCTAAAAACATAAAAATAAGCCATAAAGCCGTTCCCACTGTTGACAAAAAGTTGGACGGATATGCGCCAGCGGTCGTTGTCGGATTGCATCTTCACGCGTTAGAAATTTCCAGCAATAATGAAGTATACCGAGGACACTTCAAAGTCTATATTTCTAAATAGGGTGGGCCTGTGCAGGCGACTTTCCTGTCAAAAGTCTACTTCTGCTGCTGCGCGCTTATCCTCTTATTCCTTCTATAGTGTGGTGGATGTTTGTTCCCAGCAATAATTGACATTCCTCCTGGAGTCACTCATGACAGCTCGCTTTTCATATCTATGCTCCGTATATGATGAAACATAGCTAAATGATGATGAGGGGACTAGACTGTAGATCGTTGAGTTGACTAACCCCTGCACTATAACTTTTAATCTTAAACCAAGACGAATTTGGGGAGGTGGAAGATAGGGAGGGCTTTGGAGGACCTGTCATGTTTTGATTGGTAACTAAACCAATGAAGTAGAGGGATAACCAAATAAATCACAGTGCAGCTTTGTTTGGTTGTTTGTTTGTGTTGATGCGCTCCTGGCAACGCATACGACCTCGCAAGATTTCTTTTTTGTTTCGTGTGTTTTGTGCTCTGGTCGCCCTTGCGGCTTCCTATGTTACAGCTAGCCTTGTTGGTCGCGCGTTGCGTTCTCGTCGCCGTCAGCTCTGGCGTGTCAGACCATGCCTGCGGCAGCCGGCATGTGTGGGCACCGGCTGACGTGGGTAGCGGTGTCGCGCGGTCAGGCTGCCTGATGGCCGTCCTTGCTTTCTTGGTCGCTCCCTTTCAGCCCCAGGCTCTCGGGGCGGATCTGCTTGACGTTCGTCCTTTCATGCTTCGTTCGTCGTTCTTCATGCTTTCGTCCTGTCGTCGTTCTCTTTGTCATCACGTGCTTACTTGTTTCCCCCTTGTTCTGTCTTCACCACCACGCACCAAGCCAAGCCCCGCCCTATCGCAGCAGGCGGCGATGGTTTTACCACAGCGGCCGCCGCTCCTATCCCTCTGCTTCATTCCTGGAGATGTGGCGGCCGCACTCGCAAGAACACAGCGCCGACTTCTTTGGCCGCAAGGTCGCGGGGGTACGGGATCAGCGGCTTTGGATTAGCCACAGCCGCCCCCATCTTTGGACTCGCCGGGATCCCGTCGCCCGCGCCTGCTTTGCTCAGAGCGTCGAGAGGCCCTAAATCCCCTCTGTGGCATATATTATAGCTCGACGAGGAGGCGCCCCCCCTCCTGCATCATGTGCACGCTGGAGCATCCGTGGCCTTCCTGCGTGCGCTGTTACCTCTGGCAAGGCGGTCGGCCCTGCCGCGTGTGTGGCTTCACACTGGATGGCCCCCTCCGGTCTGGATCCATCCGACCCCCCGGCGCTTGTCAGTCTAACTACTAGTTACCAGAGGGAGCCTGCTCGCAGGCGCGATCTGCCCGCGCGACCATCGACACCGCCTCGCCTGTGTGCCTATCCTCGAAAACCGCCAGCCCTGCCAGGGCGGGCGCGGGGGCGCAGCCTCGCTGTACGGTCCCCAGCTGCCCCAATGAATACCAGGCAAGGAAGCAGCGCAATACTTGAAGCCTTTGGGTGGGCTATGTCCTCTGCGCTGCGGTGACCCTCCCCCAGTAGCACGCAAATCCATACGCTACGCAGCCCCAGTCTCGGCGAGTCAGTATGGAGAGAGCTGAGAGAGCGGGGAGGGCGGTCGCCTGGCCTCGACCTGCTGGCGCTTCAGGTGCGGTCGGTTTCCCTCCGAGCACCACGCGGCCAGCCCCTGGCCCTTGCGAATTTGCCCAGGTGGCGACCCCTGTGTTTAAGTTTATGCATCACCCGACCCAGCTACAAAGCAGACGAGCGCCGCCCGGTTATGGCCAAGGCTTTTGACCCACACCATGGACCACGTGGGCGCGGTGCCGTCAGCTCCTCAGAGGGCTCCCCGGGGTCCCGTCGCCGTCTCCTTCTCCCCGCACTGTCAGGCGCAGCGCGGTCCCTATGTTTTTCTCCCCTGGGTGTGGGGCGGCGGCCGGCCTGTGGGCCACCTCCCTGCCAGTCGAGTCCCTTCCAAGATTCGAACCAGAGACCCTCCGAAGCGGAGCGCAAGCACTTGCCGCCCACGAGTCAGTATATATAACTGACGCACGGCGCGGACCTCTCGGGCGCGGCTGTAAGAAACCGCGGCAAGCTGCCGCGCAGCAGCCTCTCTCTATGGTGTCAGGCGGAGGCCGCCCCGCCGTCTTCGATGCTAAAAACATGCTAAATTTTGCAGCAGAAAAAGGAAAAGCAGCCCCCCCAAATGCCCGCCATGCCATCCAGAAGGCGGGGCCCGTGCCCTGGGTCCCAGGACCCTCATCCGCCGAGCACCGGATCACAACCACCCCAAACACCTACACACCACCACCCGCAACAAAGCAAACCCAAACACACGCCTGCGACAGCTAAGAAAGGCATCCGCAACAGGGGCAGCCAGCCGGAGGCCTGTCTAAAACCCCCAAACACCCGAAGACCCCAACGCCATGCAATCCGTGCACACCGCGCACCCCCTTCACCGAACCGACCCCATGCCCTAGACCGCTCTCAGCCGCGGAGCGGCTATCAGAGGAGCACACACCCAGTCCGCCACGGATCAGCAGACAGCCCGCGCAAGGCCCGGGAGCTGGCACGGGACCAGGCGCGTGGCCTCCTCCACTCCGGGCGCCACTCCTCCCAAGATTGGACGCCAAGCCGGGGCCTCTGCCCCAGAGCCCGGCGCCGCGGGGTCGGTGTTGTGGTCTTGCATGTGGTTGCACGCATGCTAGGTCGATGCCAAGCCGAGACGCTGCCCCGGTCTTAGGCGATTTCGCGTTGACTCTTGACCCCCCCATTTTAGCACCTTTTTCTGTGTGCACGGCCACACGTTTGGCCACAAAATGAGCACCCCCGATATTAGCGCATTATACATTTAGCATGTTATTCAGCACAAAATTTAGCGCGTTATTTCGCGTGCCAGTTTAGCTTGATACTTAGCACAAAATCTAGCACGTAAGTATTTAGCAGCGAAATTTAGCATGCTTTTTGGCATGAAACTTAGCACCAAACTTTCTTAAATAACACCCAGACTTAGCATGCTTCTTTTTAGCATGAAAATTAGCGCAAATTTAGCAAAGGTTTAGCATCCAAAGAAACAAGAAGCACAGCCCTGCGTGGCGTGGGAAAAAGCGCCCCAGCAAGCACACGAAGATGGCCGCATCGACCGCGCCCCCGGGGACCCGCCAAGCCAACACGACACAAAGAGAGCCCACCCACCTCCGACGCGAGCCGTAGAGAAGACGGCAGCAGAAGGAGACAATTCACAAGACGCTGCCTCACTGCTGAACGGTGGCCCCCCGTGGTGCTGAAGAAGCCAAAAAAAGCGACAAAGGCCAAAAAAGAAGCACCTGTTTAGTACACCCGACAGCAGGGCCACCCTCCGCCTGGCAGGTGCGTCGCATCTTCGCGGCGAGCGAGTCGAAGCGCCCCCAAAAGGCCGCCGGCGGTCGACGCTGATCCCGAAGACCTTGGGGCGCAGGTCGTAGTGGATCTGCACGCCCCCAGCTGGGTGGCTGAGCCCTGGCACCTTGCCCGGCGATAGCACTTGCCCGGCGATAGTTGTGCGCCACTAGTCACGCAGAACGCGGCCGCGGCGTCAGTCTAGCGCCGCCGGGGGCTCTCGCTGGCCCGCCCGCGGGTCCATGTACTCGATCGATAGCGCGACGCCATCGACATACCCAAGCGCGCCAATTCCAAGACAGCGCGCACCGGTCTCAGATGAGAGCGGGCCGATGTAGTGCCCACACACCGCGGGGGCTGGCCGTTCCCTGCGGGGCACCTCGGTGCGAGTTCCTCCGCGAACCGCACAACCCTCGCCCGCCCCGACACGAAAGCCCCTAGCCACATTATAACCAATAGAGGAGCCCCTGCCTGTCGCTGGTTCCGCCCACCCCGGCTCTCTGTTCGCGCCCGCCGTCCCTGCACTGGCCCCGGCGAAGGGCCTGCGCTTGCCGGGTAAACGGCTGACGAGAAGGCCAGGCGAGACACGCCCGGGCGCCCCTGTGAGGTCCCAGAAGGCTGCCGCGCGTCTCTTGTGCCCGCGGAGGACCTCCCGGGCCTTGACTGCCATGGCAGCTGGTCGGGCGATGCCCTTGTCGGTGTGTCGCCGTAGTGTGCATTTTTATCAAAAACGCCACCAAACTACACAAAAAAAGGAAAAACCATAGCGCGAAGGCTTTTTCAGTAGTACGACGAGCTGTCTCAAATAAGGTCGCTGCATACGAGTGCAGCAATGCAATACAATATATACATCTCGCCCAAGAGTTCTTCGCAGACTGCCGCGCGCAGACTGCCGCTGGAGCCAGTCTATTTCTACTACGAGACTAAAAGTAGATCATATGTCGATATCTACCAACTCATAATCGTCTCGGAACTGCAAGTGGTACCCGTCTGTTACGCCGTCGATAAACTGCTCCTTGTTAGAGCTATATTACAAGAAATGAAAGATAGGCATCCACACTCAGGCCCGCATCTCGGCCACGTGATTGATGGCTGATTGTCTGGCTATGGCTTCTGTCACCAATATAATTCACCTGTGTTGTATGCTCTTTTTCTGGGTCGGCGTAGGACTGGATTTGGATTTGGTCGTGCTGGTGGATGTAATCTACAAACAATAATAACAAACTCCACTCGTAGCTCCCCACTGACTATCTAAGACTTGCGCCACCAGTTCTAGCATGCATGTGATAGGAGCAGTGGTGGTAGTAAGTGGAATAATCATCGCGAGACCCAAAAATGATTTCCTTACCCAAGTGGAGATGAATACTCAGCCGTAACTTTGAACGCCGCGCTCTGCTCTTTACCGTTGAAGAGAGACTCGAAATGCAAAATGAAAGCAAGAGAAAAAAAGACAGAAAATTCCCTTACAAATGCGAAAGCTCTGGCGTTGGCCTGCTTTTCATTTCATCATTACGGCGCTGGCTCAAGATAGTGACTTTGATTCCAAGAAGTGAAGGCTTTGGCGCTGCATTCCATTTTGTTTGAAAGTTTACGACTGTCGTTCCTTCTGAATGGATTCTGAACCCTGCGCAAAAATTGAGAAAATGAGCGAAGTTCCCCGACTCCGAAAAGAGCTACGACGAACATGAGGTCGAAGCGTAAAAAGTGCGGCAGTATAATCAATTTTGAATCAATCTTTCAAAGCTTCTCTCAAAATTTTGAAAGTTATGACACCAACTGCGAAAAAAAATTTGGAAGGTTCCGCCGTGAGTGTTATACGCTACGCCGCGAGCGCTGGACCCTGCCAGCCCTCTGACCCCGGGGGAAAAAACTCCCCCCATGGAGCCCTGCTAGCCCCATCGCCATGATATGAAGGCGGGCGCCCTTCCCCTGCTTGCTGCCCCTCTGCGTGTCCTCGAACAGAAACGCGAGAGCAAGCCAGGCCCCAGCCCCGTTCCCCCTTGCGCGCCCTTTGCTTCATTCGGCCCCCCATTTGGTTCAAACGCTTTGACATCTTTAAAACTGCAGAAGGCAAGTGCTTCGCGGAATTAGTCTCCAAAATTAGCCCAGGATTTTTCTCGTTGCACCACGCTAGCCTGACAAGACCCAATCCCTTCGGGACCGCTGGGGCCATCCCGATAGCTTGGCAGTGAACCCTCGGAGCGGGGCTCCGCTTCCAAGGATCGCGAAGTGTGGACCCTAAAAGCGCCTCCAGCGGAGCCCCAACCCTTGGGAGGCTCGGCTCGGAGGTGCTTTGGAGGGGTGTCAAAAAGGGGGGCAAAAAGACCCCACTTTGACACCCCAAAAAACCCAGGTCATTTGGCGACCATTTTGGACCAAAAAGGGTCGCCTTAAGGCACCCCCTAGCCCCCACTAGACGGGGCCGCTTCGGTCCTCGCAAAATGAGCCGGCAGCTTTTTTTCAAAAAAGGGGTGCAAAATGCGCCCAAAGTGACCCGGTACATTTTTGGCCAAAAAGTGCCGCTTTCGGCCACCCCTTGCGCTTGCCTGGCTCAGACCTCCGCGTCAGAGGTTGGCACCATGGACGGCGAGCCAGGTATCCTTGGCGGCTGCTCGACGCCGAACGCTTCCAGTCACGTGATGGCCGGGGTTTATGGCTGAGCGCCAGGCCTTTCACCTGGCTGCATTTTTCAAAAAAAATCTACGTGGTGCAACGAGGAAAGTCCTGGTCTAACAAAAGCAACGAATCCTATCACTGTGCACCTATCACATCAGCACCCACAAGCGCTGCTAAAATTCTGACAGAAATGCGGCGCGGCTAAGCCGCTTCGGGCGGCGATGCGCATGTGATGCGGTCGCAAGCTGGTGCGCAATCGTTAAGGCGGCCAGCGGGAACCACTTCAAGAAGGAGGCTGGCGGCAAGCAACCCAGCAAGAAGTTCCCGAGAAGCATCCAAAAAGTTAATGCTGAAGTGTTTTGGCCCCCTTATGTACCTCAGCCAAATGCCCCAACCTGAAAACTTCAGAGGTTCGAAGTTGTAAAGCTACAGCAAATAAGCTATTAAAGCCGCGACACAAATCTGCTGTAGGCTTCTACAATTTTAAAGAAAGGGCACGAAGGGGGTGGGGTCCTCTCCTTTGAGCATGAGCTACGCAGCGAGTGCCAGCCAGCCCTCGCCCACCCGTTGACCCCTCCGGGGAGATCCTCACCGCGGCGGGCACTGGCCGAGCCTTGAGCATAAGCAAGCGGGGGCGGGCGCCCTTTCTTGGTGTCCGCATATGGTCCTCAGCCTCCGCCGGTCAGAAATGAGAACAAAAAAAGAAGCCAGCCCCCGCGCCCCCCCTGACAATCAAAAATGGCGCGCACGTTGCTGGACAAGCAAACAAAAGGGGAGCACCCGTATTGGCATCCATGTCCCAGCGCGCAAAATAAGATAACAAGCCCGGAAAAGAGTCACAACAATGAAGCTCGCGACGCTCATGGTGCTGGTCATGAAGCCTACCGGCCTCGTAGGCTGGAGTCCCACTCCACTCCCACTCCTTTTCACCAAGAGGCCATTTTCTGCAGCCAAAAAAGCACCCCAAAAGACCCACCAACGGAAGACCACGCCGGGCGCCCGTCTTCCGGTGCCCATCCCGGGGACCCCAGAAAGGGTCCCCCATCATCAAGGACCCCCCTAAGCGGCCAAAAATCCCTCTTCTCTTGGTGCCTCCTGACTGCTTTGTCGACTGATTGACTGACTTGACTTCACGTCTAACACCCATAAAGTTAGCACCCCCTCGCGATCTCAAACGGACGATGGCCAAACAATGGTCAACATTATTGCACGGCAGCAGTTTCTTGGGCTCCTTTGGCTGCTCGCTTCTAATCTCCTGACATTTCCCCGACTGCGTCAGCCATTAGAGCTTCTGATCTCATGACGCCATGTCATGAGCCGTGTTGCCTCAGGTCATAAACTATCTGTGTCAGCCAGGGTAGCTATAATTCATTCACTCACCCATTTGCATATCGTAAGTTCTTTCCTTCCCTCCCAGCGAGAAGCCTGAAGCACAACGGCCAGGCACTTGGTTACCTATACTGCATATACAGCACGAAGGCAGCTCTAGATGAAATTTATAGCATACAAGCCCGGTGAGTATATATAACCGAGCAGCTTATCGGGCTTCGCTGGGCGCACGAAATGGGGCGCATGGAGTAGCTACACACTCCATGCACCCCATGCGTGAAAAATTTGCGAGGGCGCCTCTTTGATGTCCGAGTTTACACACTTCCAACCCAGCATCCCAAGGAGGCGCCTCAAATGCCGAACCCGCCAACCCCAGCCCCGACCGCTACGTCGCGACCCCTCAGCGCATTATTCAAGGCAGTGCCCCCAGGCATCTAGCCGGCCAAGGCATCAGCCTCAGCGCCGCCGCCTACACCTCTCAGCGCAGTGGCTGCCCGGCAAAGCTAGCTCCCGAAGCGTCTACCCAGCCCACCAACCAGCTGAGCCCCGACCGCTACAGCCCCCAGCGCACTCACTCGCACGCTGATGCCCTTAGCCTAACAGAGGGCCCAGCCAGCCAGCTTCAGCGCCGCCGGCGACGTCACGCCGCGGCACATCACCAGGCGCCCCCCGTGCCGCGTGGCACGCTTGCACTGCACTCCGTGCGTGGACAAGCTGCATGTGCTCCATGCGCGCCATGCTACTCCATGCACCCCGTGCGCCACGCGTGCTCTAGTCGATATACTGCAAGGCCTTTCAGAAAACACGTGCCGGCCTTTCAGCAAACTCGCAGGCACCTTCAGAAATATCTGCGTCAGTCTTTGTACCTACAGAAGGCAAGTGCTTTCGTAGTTGTTGCTTGAATGACCCAAGAGTAACTAGTTGTAAAGCTGCCTCTTGCATACTAAAACTTCGAAGTTCTTGCACTATTACCGACAGAGAGCCCAGTAGCTTATCAGTTACAGTTACAAGATTCACAGTAAGGCCATACCGAAAAGTTGCAGGATCACAATTGATACGAAACTAGAGACAATCAATACGAAGTAAACCACTTACCACACAAGCAGAGTAAGTCCGCGGATGGCGTTTTTTCTATCTTTCTAGGCAGACCATCCTGGAACTTTTTCTCTAAAGTGAAAAGGGTGCCAAAATGGTCCGCCGTAGGGAAACGTCATCCACAAGTTACAGAGGATACTACCGATCTATGGTGATGAGGTAACCCAGTGAAGAAGAGGCGTTAGAATTCTCTGCTTCCCATTCCTCCCTGGATAGAGAGAATGAACTTCAAGTGAATTACTTATTCAAATCTTCGAAGTTGATCTTTTCTATTGCTACAAGACAGAAACAGAGAGAGGCGAGGATCTTCTAGAGCAGTAGTGTTAGTAACGAGTTAAGCAGGAGATAAGTGCCAGAAGGACTAGATGTGAGGACGAGCGCTTGATAAGATTTGAGACGAGATGAGGAAGTCCTACCGTGAGTGACTGAATTTATCACAGTACAATCGGCGGTAGTGGTCATAAAGAGAAAGATGAAAGTAGTAGTGTTAATATATAAATATAACACTTCTTGCATATCAAGTAAGGCTGGCAAGGTTATATGATAAAGATCTTCTTCTTCTGTGGTGATGTACAATACTGTATTAATGAGGTCCTTAATCTTCTTCTTCTACTTGCAGCACGACGATGGGTTCGAAGGGGTTGATATTAGTCGTGAGCGGGGTCTTGAGTAGTTCGTCCATCGCGTCTTGCTCCGGCCGTCGGCTACTGGGTCCTCCGGCTGGGTTCTGCTTCGGGATTTTCTCAATAGGCATGCTTATAGGTGCAGTAGTACGAAGTAAGAATATACCCAATCATCGGGTAGTTGCAAAATTCGAATTACATCCCCCCGTGAGTCACGAACATGATCGGGTACTAGCTCGCCCTCTTCATTTCTACAAAGTGCCGTCTGTTGGAAAAGAGCCCAGGAGGGTTTCCTAGTCGTAGAAGGACGCTAGGATACTGTAGGAGTCGGCTTACCTGGACGAAAAGGGAAGGCTATTTATAAAAAAACTTCTAAAAATTACTGGTTTTTTACATCGACAAATCTTAACATGCCCCCCTGACCTGCGGCAAGCAGAGCGGTAATCGCAATCACGCGATCTGCAGGAACCCACGCCTGTTTCTCTCCCAGCACAAAGCTATCGAGGTAGCGCTGTGCCTCCACGAGTGACGATTGCTAGCGCTTAGAAGTAGACCAGACGGTGACGATTGATTGTAGCAAAGTGCTCTAGTCTGTCATAAAGCCCTTCGATCAAAAATGTGAAAGATGTGAAGAGACGAGATTTTTGAAGACTGATCGATTATCGATGTATATTAGTACTTAGCTATAGTGCAAGCACTTTTGCTAAGACCCTTAAGGAGTCTCCCTAAGGAGGCCTCCATAAGGAAATGGCATTCCTTACGGAATTTGTATTCTGCGGCCCTATCATAGCGAATCTATTATAAGCCTCCCTTAAGGGCAAAAAGAGGCCCTTAAGGGAGCTCCTTCGGGGGGCGCTCGTAATATACACGTTAGGCTAATGCCCTGCCAGCCCCTTCCTTAGGGGCTGCCTCAAACTTTTCAGAGGCCCTCCCTGAGAATTTAGATGAAGAGCACCAAAGGCCAAGCTGTGCGCTCTGCTAGCTGAGCTTGCCACGCATAGCAACCGCCAGCTCGCTAGCTTAGACATGGCCAAGGGCTCGTGACTCGCATACTTAGCCATAGCCAGCCCGCTAGCTTGCTTAGCCACAGATAAACATAGCCAGCCTGCTGGCTTAGCCATCGCCAGCTTGCTACTGGCCTAGCTAGCTGTAGCCTTAGCCAGCTTAACTGCTAGCTTATCCATGGCCAGCTTGCTGGCTTAACCATAGCCAGCGCCCTTGCTACCTAGCTTAAGTAACCATAGCCGGCGCCCTTGCTAGTTTAGTCGTCGCCAGCTCGCTAGCTTAGCCGCAGTCAGCGTGCTAGCCTAACCTTACCCATAGCCAGCTTACTAGCCTAGCCATCGCCAGCTGCCTAGCATAGCCGCCGCCAGCTGGCTAGCATAGCCAGAGCCAGCTTGCTAGCCTGGCCATCGCCATCTTGTTAGCAAGCTTAGCCACAAGACAGCGACAGCGAGCCAGCCTGCTAGCGTAGCCACGGCCAGCACCCACGCGTGCGCCAGCCTGTCTTAGCTCAGTCGTGGCCAGCTTGACTCATTCTAGCAAGCTCCAAGAAAGCTCTACTCTTTTGCTCGATTCTCATGGAGATCACGCGAATTTTTCTCGCGAATTTGCGCGACCCCGCGCATTTTTCTCGCAAAAAGCACGCGACTGCCAGACCGTGGCTGTGTAACATATAACGCGAACGCACGCTGCCCCTTTGGACAAATCCGCACGCGTCGCTAGCTTGGTGGCCCCGCGGCTGCCTTCGTTTGCCATGTCATCTGCCTCGTTGCTAACCTATGCCCAAGGCAGCAGGCCCTTGATGGAGCAGCCGCTTTCTGGGCACAGATATAGGTCGCATTTTGACTGTTCATAGGAGAACTAGAGAACTAAGTGGCCCCCTCGTCATTATACTTCCTAGACCTCAGGAGCGCCACTCAGCTCAGAGAGCGCAAGCAAGCAAACGTAGAACTTGCGGAGCAGAGAGCGCCGAACAAGGTTCGCGAGTCAGCATCCATCCACCTCAACAAAAAAAAAGACGAAAGAAGGAACGAACCAGAGCGCAGCCACGATTATCTCAGCTGGCCCCCCTCAAGCTGCTGCTGTGGCCCAACCAGCTAACACGTTAGCGCCAGCGAGTCTCCTGCGAGGCAAGTTGGCTGGCCTCAGCGAGCTAAGCAGCCGAGTTCTGAGCTCGCTGGGTATGGCAGGCTAACTGAAGCGAGAAAAAGGCAAGCGGCCCTTTCTAACAGAGGCGCGCTAGGGTGCGTGCCTGGGCTGTCGAGCTCGAGAGAGGCTGGCCGGTGATTGTCAGCTACGGGTTGCCACTAGTGCCGAGCAAGCTGGTGCTGGTCGGTGACCACCTAAGCTCGACGAAGCTCGCTGGCTATGGCTAGCGCAGCTCGCTGGGCATGCCTAGGCACTATGCCCGCAAGCTATAGCCGTGGCTAGCGAAGCTTTTGGGCTATGGAATGGCTAGGGAGGCTCCTTGGCTGCCTGTGGCTGGCTGCGAGTGCGACCCGCTAGGTATGGCTACGTAAGCTCGCTCTTGGCTATCGCTGGCCAAGCTCGTTGGCGATGGCTAGCGAAGCCCCACCCCTAGCTATTTTTGGGCTTGGCCGATGAAGCAAAGTCCACCGGGGTTATGGACATGGCCAGGACCGTTCCCTAAGACTGGCCGAGATCGTTGGCTGCGGGTGGCCACGCTTATCGGCTATGCATGGCCAGCCAAGCCCGTCGACAAGGGCTAACTGAGCCCGCTGGCGAGAGCTAGCTGAGCCCGCTGGCTAGAGCTAACTGAGCCCGCCGGCTATGGCTAGATAACCTCGTCGTCCTTGGCTGGCTAATCTGACTGGCCCTGTCTAGCTAGCCTGTACACTCTTTCAACTTGGACAAGCCGCCCACATTTCAGCACAAAAAATCCGGGAAAGAAAGTAGTGGTCAGCTTGTCCAAAATGGAGGCGACCAGTCCATATAAATAAATAATCGCATACTCCGAGAAGAAGGGCACACGCAAGGCGCTGGAAGACCAAGCAAGACGGTGACCTCAAGCACTTGGAGCCTAGGAAAAAGGCGCATCATTTTCAGAAACCCGTCGAAACGAAGGAAAAAGTGGCATCATCTTGCTTCACAAACATACGAGAAACATGAAAAAGGCAAAAGATGAAAAGAACTTCTTAGCGCATAAACTTAAACTTAATGGGAGTCCAGTGCGCGCAATACTATCTCTGTCTGCAACGACCCTAATATTTTTAGTAGTAATGCCACTGCTAATGCCTTAATCTCGCCTCTAACGAATGCCTTGTACTTGTCCCATCTCACCTGCTGCTCCTGCAACTCTTCTGCATCGGCTGCCGGCGTTCTAGTGACGTCCCCATCTTTGTTGGCACCCGCGTCCCAAACAAAACGGATTCCCCGTAACTCGGAGTCATAATCAGAAGCGGAGGCGGCCGCGCGTGCCGTAAGTTAGAAGAGAACGAGGAGAGTCGAATGTACTCGGTTCAATCAAGTTGACGAAGAGGAGGAGGAAGAGGGGGAGGGGGAGAAAAACTTGATCGAGCCTCGTATTGATTTGTGCGTCCTTGGTTCGTTTAAGTTGGCACTTCAGTGCAGCTGCAGAGTAGAATTGACGAAGACCAGGAAAGAACAAGAAAGATATAAGAAAGGAAGACGATAAGAAAAGACAAGATTTAGATAGGATAGCCAGATGAGGAGCAGCGCACTTACGTTAGCGCCCTAAGCTGTAGCTTACGAATCCTAGGAAACATAGGAAGCATCAAATAAACTTCTTATTCTTCACATTTCAAAAATAATGATGTTGATCTTAATGTTGCAGTTATTTAGTCTAGTAAATGAAACGGACAAACAAATTTCATCTGATATTTCCATTTGCATTGGGTATGTACTTGTTCGAAAGATTTAGGGCATACATGTCGCTCTTATGGAACCAACAGTGCCACCCAACGAACACCAAGGGAATAGCCCCTGGCCGTGGTGTTTATTTCGTATGAATCTCATTCGCGTTCCTTTTGCAGCATGTCACCCACTAATAAATTAACATATATCAACTACAAGGAACGCAGACGGCTAGGCATAGACCTACAGGCAGCCCACGCGGGTTGAATCTGAAACACAACGACACGCGAAACATCAAAAGCAGAGAGACCTACCGAACAAAAAGCGCCGCAGCGCGGGCGGGCTTGCTAGTGCCGTCATACCAAAGAAGAGCCCCGAGGAGCCCCCCGGCCCGCGTAAAAGAAGTACGCAAGTGCATCGATGGCCCGACACTTGCGCAGCGTCTTGGTTGGCCAACCAAAAACCAAGAACGCAACACCACGCCAGAGCACGCAGCCCCAAAAGCTAGCGCCCGACCTTCCCGCGGCTTTCTGCACCGTCCTCACCCTCAAAGCATACGCTCAGCGACAACAACACGCCCACAAAAGCAAAGCGCGCGAGGAGGGAGCGGCGGCACCCCTGCACCATGCCGCTGCTTGCTTGTATTCACTTCGAAAAGCCAGCGCAGCACCAGCCAGGGCATGCAGTTCCTAAAAGTTCAACCACTCGCGCCAGGAGTGGAGCCGAAAGCAAGAAACAAACACAACCGCCCAGGGAAAGAGCGAACCTGCCTGTTCCAGCGCCGCGGGTGCGGCCCCTGATACTCACCAGGCGGCGACGGGGCGCGCGGAGGCGCGTGGGGCGATGCCTTGCCGGGCCCCGGTGGCCCACCGGGCTCCACTCGTTGAACCAGCCACAACCAGTAGCGGCGCCGCAGAAGCGGCGACCAATACTTGCCCAAGGGCGGCGGGGTGCGGCGGTAGTCTTTCGACGCTTCACGCGGTAACTTGGCACCTTACTTAGGGCCCCCGTGTAGCATATCACCCATGCAAAGATGTGCATGAGGCTCTCGGGTAGAAGCAGTAGAAGCCCCTTCGGGGGTTTTCCGTTCGTAATTTCTGTATTGCTCGTCGAACTCCTTCCAATTGAAGCGGCTGTTTCTGATCCACGGTTTTGCCCTGGGGGTCGCGCCGGTCGTCTCTACACTGCCTTTCGCCGGGGAAATAATTAGACTCTTTTTTAGTCTCCAGAAGTAGTATTAGTGGTGATATACCCGTTTTGGAGATAAGTTCAGTAAGAGGGGAGGGAGGGTTAAGCCCAGCCAGTTCTTGTTACTCGAGTATACAAATAATACTAGTAGATCCATATACAGTATACTAGATGGCTATACAAATAGATGTCTATACAACTAGACGGCTGCACTAGATGCTTATACTAGATGGTTAGACTCGATGGCTATACTAGATGGCTTTATCTATACTAGATGAAGATGGCGTTTATCAGATGGCTCTAACTTATACTAGATCACTCTTCACTATTTTTGATCAGACTAGAGTCGTGTTGTTGTAGTCTCAAGCTGCGTGAGGTAGCAAAAGAGTCTTTTACTCAGGTCGCACAGGAGCAGAAGGTCTCGTGAACCTTGTGAATCTGCTTGCTAATCATGACGTGCCAAATCAAGAGAGCATCAAGTTGATGCGCGTTCGCACAGGAGACTAAACTAATAATCGTTATTAGCATCTAGCATTGGATAGGATAGAGCGGCTCGAAGTCACGGTAGCATGTGATATTCTTCAACACTCACACAGAGACTATAGTGTCGAATCATAGGAAATAAAAACTACCACCTGGTGACTTGCGTTGCGCCTTCATCTCAGTCCCCCTAAAAAACCGCTCTCCTTCTTGTGCGATTGAATAAAAATAGAAGCGAAAGATAGAAGAAAACTCACTCCACGACGTTTTGGTTTCCTTTTTCTTAAGATGTTCTTGAGTGATCATCTTGATGAATAAGGATGGGAAGAAATCCATCTAAAACAAAAAGAGATGGACGAACGCGGTCGCAGATTTGCTCTGATATTTCTACCATCTACACAGCTAGACTGATAGTCTGTCCATAATTTTCTTTTTGATTTGACTACCTGTCCTGTCTGACCAAGGATTTTGGTGTATACGTTGAAGTTGAACCCGACGAATGCCATGAGCGTCTCTGTCGGCTTGTGCGAGTTCGAGCGCGCGTTCATCAAACACTACTTAGAGGACGAGGATCATAATAATGGTACAAGGGCGAGGTGGGAATTCAAATTAGTAATGATACAAGGGCGAGGTGGGACTTCATAGTAGTAATGATACAAGGGCGAGGTGGGACTTCACATAATCAGTAATGATACAAGGGCGAGGTGGGACTTCATATTAGTAATAAAGATAGAAGGGAGAAACGTCCATGGTAATGATGGAACATGCCACGTCACGATACCTCTGTCCCGTCCTATCTAACGGCACTGAGGCCGTTCAGCCAGCCTGTAATAGCAGTGACAGAAGAGTAATAGATTACAACTGGAGGAAGTGTAGTCCCAATAGGGCGGTAGGGTGGAAGGTCTAGCTGACGATACAAGAGAGATCTACGACCCATGTTGTCTGTTCGCCCTTTCACTTACCTACTTTTTTACTTGAAAGCATTGAAAGTGAAAGAGCTTGAGCTTTTTGAGATGGTAGTCAGTGTAACAGATCACTCCCTACATCATGTGTGTAACACTGTCACTGGGACTCTCTCCCTACATCATGTGTGTAACACTGTCACTGGGACTCTGCTACCAGCCTTTCCAGCATAAATCTGGCATGCGACGCTCAACTTTGGGCCTACTCACCCTTCTAGTACCCACTCAAGGTGACCCTCTTATGAACAAGTTGAGGTAGAGGTTACCTATCTTTAGCCTTTTGTAATGCAATAGTCGTGCTGAAACTTCACTACATAATGAAATAGAAGCTCTGATGAAACTAGTATTATGGCAAGAACCAACTATGACACTTGGTTAATTGCTCGTACTACGAAACTAATCATATATATTAGATGTTACAACTGTCCATGGGCGGGCGGTTTCCACGCAGCAGCTTCTATGTTATCGTATCACAAGCAAAGTAGCCATAACGTAGAACGAGCACTCTGGAAAAAATTGCTCCTCACTACTGCTCTTGTATCGGTCGTGTATCAGCGAACGAATCTTGCCCAGCTTAACCGCTTTGTCACAGTCTTTAGCAGAGGAAGTAGTCAGTATCTCTAGTAGTTGATGTAGTCTAGGATAGGAATTGACTCGCCGTCCACAGGAGTAACTACCTGTATAGTACTTTACTCGAGCGACAAGGCGTCTGTTGAAGTACTCATCTCATAAAAATAAGATGAGTCGAGGACTTTCTAAGGTCAGTATTTCTATGGAGTGAAATTGTAGTGCGGACTTCCATCAAGTCTCTGAGGCATCATTAGTCATCTATTAACTACCATGCTTGCTTCATTAAGCATCATTATTCCTGGACTCATCTATTCTTGACTACCATGTTTGCTCTTCTCAACCTCAAGTTAGTCGTATATGAACACTTGTCGGGCTTTATTGTCTGAGAAGAAATGATCAGCCAGTAGCCTCTGTGGGACAACCATAACTGCGTATGATCAACTGCATCAATTAAAAGGTACTACGAACGTACTTGTACTAATTCGATACTATCAACGAACAGTTCGGTGTGGCAAGACACTTCTACGCAAAATAAAGACTTCCGCAACCAACCGTAATGTTTTGCTTGTATTCATCGTCCTCGTCCAAATCTTTCGGCGGCTGAAACATCTTGCCCGCGTAGCCCAGGTGCTTTTTTCCTGCGTCCTCTTGCTTTACCTTTCTTAGAAAAGCTAAGATGTAGTTGACCATCATCATGTTGCTACGAGTTATAGCGACTACTTCTACTGCTTAGCACTCTATTCAGTATTGATATCAAAACTATACTGGAAAAGGAAAAAGAATCACTTTGGTGGATTCGATCACTCCATTCCAATTGGTGGAAAAAGAATCACTTTGGTCTGACTATCCCAATGAAAAGAGCCCGACTTTAAATCGACTCTTTTCATTGGTGGAAAAAGAATCACTTTGCTCTGACTATCCCAATGAAAAGAGTCCGACTTTATGGACTCTTTTCATTGGTGGAAAAAGAATCACTTTGGTCTGACTATCCTAATGAAAAGAGTCCGACTTTATGCATGACATAAAGCGGTTTTTTATATCAATATTTATATGTTCCAGGGCGCGGGGCGACGGCCCCCCCGCTAGGGGGCCCTGAGTCATATATAGGTCCTTGAAACTCGTCCTTCCACTCATCATTTGGGATGAGGTGACTTTGAATACTCATACATCAACTCAGACTGCTCTACTTACGAATTTCCTGTAATATGCTAACTTATAGTATGCAATCCTCTGAAATAGAACTTTTTAAAAGGAGACCTTCCTGTTCATCTTCTTGTTCAACAACAAGAACAACAAGAAGAGAACAATTAAAATCATAGTCGCCATGCGTCAAAAGATACCTCCAGAACAGGTAAATGAATGAATGAATGAACAACCATTCATGAACAACAGAGGTGCAGCAGGTAGAAATGAATGAATGAATGAACAACAGGTGTAGAAGACAACACTTGTTCAACAAGAAGAGAACAACAGGTGCAGCAGGTACTAGAAGAGCCTTAAGTATAACCCAGTCAAGCCGAACTCATTCCTGGGCGATTTCTGCACTCTATTGGAGCTTTCTCCATCCCTGTAGGAATCCCGCAAGAACGTGCCCCACTGACTGTCTTCCTTGTATTGGGAAGATGCATGCGGTTGGGATATCTATAGAGATGGATTAGAGGAAGCCTCTTAACTCTTTCCAGAACGGCACTCGGGTCACCCTCATGCATCTTGAGCAGGTCTTCGGGAAAAAACAGAGAAGCCCAAAACTGTCTTTCTTAGAGAAAGCCGTGGCATTCAGAGTCTCCATGTAGAAGTTGAAACAGTCACGGATGTATTTTTTCTCTGAGCCCTCTAGGATCGTTAAAGTAACCAGAGGTCTGCTTGTAATCTCAAAACTGAAAGCGTTGCAGTTACTAGTACTGCTCTCGCTGGTCTCCATAATCGCTGTATCAATATGATACCTCGTCAAATTAGTGTAATTTCACTAAGCAGGTATATTAATAAGTGGGTTTCTAGTTCCCTAGTTCCCTACGCGGGTGATATTGGCAGAACAAGCTGTGTAAGTCGTACTCTAGTTCCTCCCCCACCTGGCTGCAGTGGTGTTTCCTCACGGGGGCTGCTTTCTAGCGGTAGTAGTAGTCGTGTGCCCATTCAGTGTAGAATTTGAATGTGCCTACTCTACTAGTGTTCCACTCGAAGCTGCCGCATTCATATAGTTAGCAAAAGTAGGAGTAAAGAAGACAACGTTGTAGTTCTTGTGTCACTATAATGATCATTATGCATGATCATGTTATTTCTTTGTGGCCCGTAAGCATTTGCTACTGGGATGAGAAATGCGATGTTGTCGATTATTTCAAGAGGGTATCCATTCTCCCTGGATGCTACCAACCGTGCGGCTACAATTAGAAGCGAGTACTTCCGGCTAAAAGGAAGAGGAACCCTCAATGAATCTACTTGATGATTGAAGAAGAACCTGACAAGAACTTCTAGCAGTAGGTAGCAGGAACAGAAAAAGTGGCCAAAGGGTTTAGGGTTAGGGTTGTTTATATGTTTTACTACGGTAACTACTCTACTATCCCAGGCGGCCCTTCGTACCTATCCCAGGCGGCCCTTCGTACCTATGACTAGAGCACGAGCCTTCTTGAGTCTAGCAGCAGAGAAAAGTAGCGCTACTACATCATATTGAGCACTACTGCAGGTACTTCATCTAAAGAAAGGCATTCAGCGAACTTGCCCGCATTTGACATCTTTTAACTTGCAGCATTTCTGTAGCAAGTTGTAAAATAGTTGTGGCCGTCTTTCATCATAAAAATTGGAATTGGAAGATGCATGTGAAAAGCCGATCATCTTCCAATCGGGAGTGCAAATACCTATAGCGGTATCAACATTATGCCTTAAGACACTGCGAACGGCTGACTTTCCGTCGCTTCTTTGGCCTTCCTTCGGGGCCTTCATTTTTCCTGGATGAAAAACGTTAACTCGGAGTATCGGAGCGATCGCGGCCCTCCTCTCTTCTATTAGAGTGAGTGAGTGAGTGAGTGAGTGAGTGAGTGAGTGAGTGAGTGAAGGATCCTGGTAGAAGGATCCTGAGAAAGATTGATCTTGGAGGAACAAGATAGAAGAATCGAAGGATCGATCTTGGTCTCCGTGATGTTACGTTTTCCTCCCCGTTATTTCGTTTGCCTTTCTCGAAGCGATCAACCTGTTAATAGAATGACAAGCAAAGCTAACGGCAAACTAAAGAACTAACCTAAAGAAATACAAATACAAGCATACGTCTACGAGTCAACGAGCCTTAATTTTGCCATGAACTCCTCGTCGATGTTCCACGTTGAAGTGACAAAACCCGTAAGAAATCGGTATTGACCTTAGAGTCGTGACAACTCCTAGTAGGGAGAGTAGTGCATTCATTCTTAACAAGAAGATTAGGTAATGTCATGTCACAATACCTCGTGATACGTCTTCACTAACGTTATAGAGGCCGTTCAGCCATCTTGTACCTTCTAGATGTCATCTGGTGACCAAATGATACGTTGGTGACCGAATGAAGAACTATCAAGTGAGTTAGGTCAAGGATATTCTTCTTAAGAAGAAGGGTAGGTTAGGTTAGGTAAGAGATGACTACAAGGCTACTCGAAAAACTGAAATAAGCGAGCAACTGCTGAAAATAAGCGAGATACTGAACAAGGAAGAGTAGCCCTGTCAAAGCTACCTCCCTTATTTCAGTCAGTGAGTAACTCGATTATTTTCAGTTTTCGAGTAGATCAGCGTGGTTAGGCTAAGTCAGGCAAGAACTAGTAAGTGATGACTACAACAATCTTAATTATTAAGCGGGTGAGGGGCCTCTCCAGGAGCCAGCGCAGTCGCCGGGAGGACATCTCCAATCCCAAGCGGGTTCGCTCGCAGGAAGGAGTCTAAAACTGCCTCTCGCTTTGTTAAGTCTTTCGGATTTTCTCTATGTGGCTTCGGCACCCGATGGCCCGCAGCCTGCAGTTTCTACTTAGACTCTATTATATCTTTATCATTTTGATGTAGTACTTAGCCTGGGCTAGTAGATGAATTAGACGTAGGTAAGCTCCGTAGTAGCTAGGTATTACTATTACTCAGCTAACTTTGGAGCTAGTCCGTTAGGCGTCGAGTAGTTGTATGCCTTCTAGAACAACCTAAGCAGATAGTGTTCTAGATGCATGGCCAGTAACAGTGAGTGGCACTATGTCTAATTAGGGGAGAGCTTGTCATCTATCATCATATCCACGTCCCTAACAATCCACGCTTGAACAAAATGACCGCTTCTAGCTTTAATCTATTATCTATCAAAGGCTTTCTGGTATTTAATCATATGCTTCGCATCCGTTTTTTAGGATAATGGGGCGGGGTAGCTCGACGAGCTGCCCCGTCGAATAGGATAGATTCGAACGAGATTTGGCTGAGCATCAAATTCGCAAAGAAAAGTTGCAGAGCACATTGACAAAAATATTTTTTCCTGTACAGTCGGAGGCTTGGAGAGCTATATATCTAATGTGGAAAAGCCTTATCCTTCGCAAGGATCTGCGTATCGATCTCCGGCCGTGTGAATTGTTCGGGCTATTAGAGACATTCTCATTCCCCCGATGTAAGTATAATTCATCTTGAAAAGACACATCTTTTTCGACCGTTTTTCTCCTTCTGAGAGAGAGAAAGATAGAGAGACACTGAGAACATAATTTCAGTTACTTTGGCGTCTTTTGAGAGCCGCCCAAGTTGTAACAACATGCTTGTTCCCCTTCCATCCCTGTAGAAATCATCCCTCAAGCAATATTTTACGCTTGTGACAAGACGAATTTTCGAAACTGAAGCCTTAAGGCCAGCTGGAAGCATGGAACGAAAATTTGGTAATCCAAGTATGGAACTTCATTCTGAGACTACTGAGACTCTCCGTGACCGTGTCCGCCGCGTCGTCTCCCTCTCTGTCCTCACCCTTCGCTTTCATGTTATGGACTTTGTCTATATTTTTTCTCCTCTCTATGGCTATGCAGGGGGCCATTGTCCTGGCCAGTTTTTCCCCTTGAAATGAGTGCCAGGACCTGCATGGCCCTTGAAATGAGTCCTCGAGAAACTGCAATAACCGAATAGGTACGCTAGGGAATAATCTATAAGTGGTCTCAGATACTAGTAAGTACTTATAATCTAAGTGGTCTCAGATACTAGTAAGTACGAATAATCTCAGATACTAGTACTTACTCGGTTCAGACTATTGGGAGAAAAAGCATCAAACATCCATACATCTTGTATCTGGGGTAGAAAATATCGAGAATGAGAGGCCGAAAGCCCATCTGCGGAGTGGTACTATCCCACATGGCACACATTAGAGACACAACAGGAGCATGGAAAAACCATATGATTCAGGTAAGTAAACTTGCTTCATCAACATCGTTGCATACAACTCGTCATCGAGGTAAACTCTGACTTCATTCATTCGAAAATCCTTCCACTTAAGTATTGGGAATGTCGATAGGGCAAGGTCGTTCCCCCTTAGCTTTCTTACTTTTTTTTTTTTAAGAACGGCACTTCCTAGTCTTTGTTCTCAATGAGTGGCGTCACACATTCAACATCATTGCATCCTCGTATAATTAATATACATAGTTCAACATCATTCAAATTTGAGGCAGTTATATTAGCTCTCTTCCCTGTTGAGGTAGATTCGCTAGCAGTGCACGCTATCTACTACTCCTTGCGAACTTACGGGGAGCCTGGTGCCGTTTCGTTTTCGATAAAGGTACCCCCTGAAACTGGCGCAGGCTGCCCATTTTGAAAATTGAAACACCACAAGAACCCAAGGCGCACACCTTCGGCCATTTTTTGCGGTTTTGTTTGTTGCTTTTGGTTGGATTCTAGTGTAGGAAACGGAAGAGGCCCAAGGCCTCCGCTGCAGGTTCTGGATCTTCTCAAGAGACCGTGGACCAGAGTCCCCCCCCCAGGAGAAACCGCAGGGAGACCTCTGGAGCCTCCGGAACTCCAGACCAACTTCTTTCCCGGCGGGTTCTATTGCTGTTGGGCACTCATTCCAGGGGCCAGAGCCCCCGCGGGCCAACTCCCGAGACCTTGGGCCAGAGTCTCCCAAGAGGAACCGGGGGGAGAACCCTGGAGCCCCCGAAACTCCAGGTCCAGACCAGCTCCCATTTTGGCGGTGGATTCTGGTGATGTTGGGCCCAACGCAACCGAACGCAACCCAACCCAGCCCGACGCAACGCAACCCCACTCAACCCAACCGGACTCAACGAACCTAACGCAACAGAATGCAACCCAACCCAACTCGGCCTGCCCTGACTTAAATAGCCTAGCCCAGCTCTCTCAAGTTCACCTCGCTCTATTTAAGTCACCCAATCCAACCTGAGCCCGACAGAAGTTAACCCAGCTGCTTCAGCTAACCCCAATCAACCTAACCCCGCTCAACTTGACGCCACACCGCCGCACCACCTGGCTCGACCTAACCAAACTCCAACACAACCGGGCACCCCGTTAGCCTAGTCGTGCCAATCGTTGCCAAAGATGGAACAACCTGGTGGAGCTGGAGCCTCGGAGTCAGCCCGCAATAAGATACACAAAAAAAGCCCCCATAATGTTGTAGAGCCCGTGTCCTCGACCCTACCGAAAGGCCACCCTGATGGCGCTTGCGCGCACTTCTTCGCGGATTCCCTGGGCGGAAGGTGTCAAAAATGGGAGCCAGAGCCCCCTTGCGGCTCTCTGCCTGTACCCTATAGGCGTTCCCCCCTCTGCCGACCCTAGCAAATAAGAGGAGGTCGCCAGGGGTAGAAAGCCGCCGAAGGCAGCCACAGTCTCGAAGCCTGGCCCCTTTTGCTGGGTTGTCCTCGTCCCCGAGGCGTGGCACCGGCTCCCACCTCCTCGCCGATGTGCAGCAAGGGCCAGCAGGTTGACGACCAAAAGCCAGGAGGGTCGGGGCAGCCAGGTGGCGACGGTTGCCCATGCCCGGCTGGGTTTTGTCGGGTATAAGCCATACACACGGCTAAGGGGGTCAAGCCTTGCCGCCTTCAGAGGCCTTCTACCCCCGGCACCCTGCCGCCGAGACGGGCCAACACAGAGGAAAATCTGTAGGGGACACGCAGACTGAGAGCCAGAATGGAGCGGAGGGGGACCCCTGGGCCACTTTTGAGGCCTTCCACCCGAGAGAGACTGAGCCCAAAGCGGTCCCTCCCTGGGACATATATGCAGCAAGGAGGGAGGCCCCCCCTGCGGATTGAGCGGCGGCGGCGTCCACGCGCCCTTTTTTTCGCGGTGGTGACATTCGCGGGCCCAATCATACAAGTCCCAAGGCTGCACGGTGCCCCCCCCTGCGGTATGGTCTGTGGTGGCGCGCGCGCTCTTTTCCGCGCTGATTTTCGCGGGCTCTAGTGGTGGAAGGCGTCAAAACTGGGCGCAGGCGTCCCCTTGCGCCTCCCTGCGTGTTCCTCAGGGGCCTCCTGGCCTCAGCTGATCCTCGCAGGCGGGGGGTCTCCGTGAAAAAAGGCCGCCCCGGCGGCCTTTTTCTCAAGAGCAAGCAAGCCGACGACCAAGGGCCAGGAGGGTACTAGCCGCACGGCCCATGGGGTCCAGCCCCTCGCCTTTTGCCGCCTTCAGAGTCCTTCCACCTCCGGCGCACTGCTGCGGCGGCGAGGCATAAATCGGAGGCCTGTAGGGCACGGGCAGGCACCTGGAAGGGGGCGCAGGCGGTTCCTTGAGCCCCTTTTCTTGAAGCCTTCCATTCATGTCGGAGGCCTGCAGGGAACTGCCAGGCAGCGAGCTGGAAGGGAGCGGAGGAGGTCCCTTGGCCCCCTTTTGAGGCCTTCCACCCCCGGCAGGCGCCTTCAAATGGGGTCCGGGGCTTCCGGTGCCCCTCGCCCCACGCTAGGGGGAGTACCGTAGCCCTGAGCCTTGGATCATATATATTTATAAGTAATTCAGACAACAAGACGAGAGATACTTGTTTGCCCTTCATCATGATGATGGAGACAGAAGAGTCGCCCATAAAGCAAAGTCGCGATGTAATTCGATCTCGAACGCCGCCATCACCCGTTTGCACCCTGTCCAGCCGTACAGACGCCTCTGCCCGTCGAGTGCTCTTGTTAGATGAATGGACATTTTTGGACAGAGCAGACAGAGCAACCAATATAAATGCACTAACTACGGACAAGGAGGAGGAGCAGGAGCAGGACCAACATCGAGGGGCTAGCTAATGAGAAGCTCGCTAAAACGAGCAACAGCACCTTTCTAGGACAAGAAGCTAGATACAACTAGCAAGGGCTTGGGGTTGAGCCGATTCTTCGTCCTGGTCAATAAGGGTGCATCGAGTCCTCTGTTCTTCAGGGACTAATACTAGTTGTACTGGAGAACTTCGAGAACTTCGAAGATATTTTGTATTCCCTTGAATTGTTGCATCCATAAGTAAAAGTTCGCTTGTCCTTGAACAACTCATACATTCATAAATATGTATCTGTAGGAATACACAAACGATGACTTTCGACTGTTGAAATATCTGTTGTAGGTGGAGAAAGTCTAACTAAAAAATTCTTAGACTGCACTTACATTTTCATGTCAAATAATGAGAACAACTACATATACTACATTATAATGATCTTTGTCTTTGTGAAGATTTTCATAATAGACTCGAGATTAGGCATCGGGCAATCGTGGTGCCATCCTTACGTGACATGCGGACAAGACCATGCAGATGTGACGTCGGCCACGTCGGCCGCACTTCGCGAAAGCCAACAACGTTGTCGAATCTCGTGCTAGCCACGGGGGGTTCTATAGCCTTGCTTAGACCAACAAGAGCTACTCCAAATATCTACTAGAACACGGGACTCATGAAGATAGGATTTAGCACAGGATACGCAAGGACTCGAAATCGATTCGGGAACTTCACACCACGACCTACCACCCACAGGGTAAACCCGTATGCGTACACACACCCACAGAAGCACTAAAACTGTACAGCATATCATATCCGCGCTGCATCACGTTAAATACTGTGTTCCATATTTTTGTGGTGTTTTTCTGGTTTACGATACTTGAGGAATATCTATCTTCCCTATGTATTCGGGTTTTTCCTTGCATACGGTACTTGTGGCGCCTTCATCCTCCCTATAGTAATAGAAAAAAAGTGATAGAGCAGAGCAGTAGCCTTAATAGCTCGAGCGCGAGTTTTCGTGCCTGGAGAAACTTGTCTACCCAGAAGGTTCCCTCGACCTCCTGTTGTATTTCGTCCAAAGCCATGGAGTCCTCTGTCCCAGGTTAGAAGTAGTTGGTAACTCATTGCTCATAGATTGCTTGATGGCTTTTGGGTTTCTTCTCAGTTTCTACTACTTCAAAACCGAATCACCGGCCCCTGTGTAAAGAAGTCAGATGGAAGATTGCCCGTGAGGCTGTTGTTCCCCCTAGAAGTTTCTACCTTTGAAACCAGACTGCTTGAGTTTTGGTTTTCTCCTTCTAGAATACATGGTCATGGCGCTTTGTTTACCCAAGTAACTTAAACACTTATAACAAATGACCTAACGAACAAAACTCCATAAAAAGTGACCGCCTCCCCCGGGGTTATCTTTTCCCTCTGAGCCGCATAAAACTCCCGCTCAGATCTCGTGTACCCACTATGAAGGCAGGGGTCGGCGTGTACTATTCACATACATCTATCGCCGACTGAAAGACGATAGATCCTCCTTATATGATGGTGATGATGATGAGCCTAGCGCGAGGCGTTGCTAATTTTAATGGTGTTGTCTTGTCTAGTGCAATATAGAGGAAACAAACTTTGGCACAACCGAGGGTGAACCGTTCTGATTGTAAATTTACTTCTTAGAATCTTTAACATACACATGTGGTCAATGCATAACTACAAATTATAACCGAGCAACTTATAAGGTTTCACGGCTCGCATGGCATGGAGTGCATGGATCCCATGGAGTAGCATGGACCTAAAGGGGGAGCTTCTTGCGCCCCTTAAAGCTCTGCGCTCCATGCACTCCATGCTACTCCATGCGTGCTATAAACTACTCTGAAATAAGAATAACTTACACTTTACTTGTTACAACTTGAGCTTCGCGAACATGAGGCCGTGGGCCGCCTATGAAAAATGGGAGAAAAAAGTCCATCCATACCCGAGCGGTTCCGCATTAGGAGGGACGAAAATGCGTCCGAGCCCCTCGGCGGTTTCAACAACCGGGACTTTCGAGGCTGTCATCTTTCATCTTAGAGCAGAGACTCGAGCTATCAAGAGATGTGATGAAGTAAAGTCGGTCCTACTTATATAAATATATAATGTATATACTCCGATTATACTTTGATATCGTCCTTGATGAAAAGGTGCTGGCAATAGTGCAGCTTACACGACAAGAAATCCTATGATTGGAATAAAATAAGCCCGCCAAAAGACAACTACTGCCTTAACTTTTCCGTCTGTTCGTGCCACTCAGTGAGTTCCTTACGATATTCAGCTTTCACACTGGCCCTCTGCTCCTCAGCTTTTTCTTAAAGTTCCTCAACAAAGCAACTCATTTCTTCAGCTCACTCCATGAGGATTCCCAAGAAGGAAACCGAGAAGAATCTTTCGAGTTGAACTATTGAACTATTGAACTAGTTCAATGAATTATAGAAACTGTTGAGAGCCGTCCTTAAACAAAGGAATGGATTATAAATATCAAGCCTTAAGTCTTTGCCTCTTTCCCATCGGTCCCCGTCAGTAGCTGGAGGCTCCGTGTCGCTTTGTCTCGTATCATTACTTAGCACAGCGCTCCAACAGGCATCTCGTTTTTTCTCAATCATGCTGCGCGTCAACTTAATATTGTTAGTTTAGGATAGAATAGGATAAGAAGCCCCGGCTTCGTTCTGTCTAGTATATTTGGAGAAGCAAAAGGTAAAAACCTTTTCTCAAGAGGTTACTACTCTCCCTCTATCATCTTGTGCTTTTCCTCGTGCTAGTTCTCCGTATTTTATCAGAAGTATGTAACTGCTTAGGAACACCGAAGTGGCTTTTTGGTTTTCTTCTTCCGCAAAAGTAAAGATGACAGAAGACTTCTCTAATATGACCTGAGCGACCTTGTGTTGAGGCCTCGGATCGCTTCGCCCGAAGATAGATCTTCACTCATAATATGCGTGTCCTGCACTGAATATTCGCGACTAAATAGTGAGCAGGTGGGCAGCACACTCCTCTCTGAGAAAGCATGACCATGTGATTGATACTCAATAAGAGAGAGTTAGAGGGGCTCTTCTTTTGGTTTTGTTATTTTTATCATCTTTTAAATAATACAAGTTGAAGGCTGGATCATGTATAAAACTGAGATGCTTTGTGGTGAACGCTTAACTTATCGGATCCCCCTCCCAGATCCTGTCCGCCGAGATATCAAGTTTTTTTTTCACGTACTTTACGACTCCGTCTTCATCTCCATCCTGCACGCTCCGTACATTAGAGCATCTTCTTGGAAGGTGGTTCATGGGTCACCACTAACTATAATCGAATTTACGTAACTCGTCGAATCTAAGTAGGCTAGGCTAGGCTATCGATCCTGCGGCGCATCGAGCTCCCCCGGCACCTACTCGAAAACGTGATATAACTAGATTAATTTTAGAAAGGCCAAAGCACTATGAAAAGCAAAAGGCCACGCTTTAGAATTTGGAAGCTGTGGACACTGTGACAACCCTGCCACTGAGTTGTGGACATTGTGGCAGGCGCTGTGATACGTCAGTCTGCTGCTTCTGACGGGTCTGATTCTCCTGCGTACTGAGGAGCCTGGCTTGTTATGACAGTGGCGCGTTTGGTTCTGCTTGTGCCTACTCTGGTTCTGCTGTAATGGTGTGGCTTTGCTTGTGACAGGTCTGGCATTGCTTGTGGCGCGTCCAGTTCTGCTTGTGACGGGTCCGGCTTTGCCTGTGACGACGACGGGCCCGGTGATTCTACTGGCTGTAAGCGGTCTGGTTCTGCCCGTGGGTGGCGCGTCGGTCTGGTTGTTGGGCTGACTGTGCGACTGTGACGGGGCACAGTGGCGAGGCAGCTTGCTCCTGGCTATGTAATCAGAAAAAGGCACACGGCCTCCGGCTCCCAAGCTATTCCTTCGAGCCACAACACCATCAGAATGCAACACCAAGGGCAACGCTTCCCCTACGTTCCTCAGGCTGTTCGAGTCCTGACGCCATCAAAACACACAAGCCGCGTCCACTGCTTTTCTCTTCGTTCTATTATATGCACATGCCCAGTACGCGGGCCCGTCAAGGGCCCGCTGGGGCAGAATTAAGCGCCAGCCTCTCCAGTCCATGGTCAGAGGGTGGAGCCTCTTGGGCGTCATCATGTCCACGAGAGGGCCAAGCTTGGGCATATCCGTGGACAGATGTGGAGGGCCTTGGGGATGTCGATGTCTTTGACTGGAATAGATCTGGGCGCCTCCATATCCAAAAGGTGGCGCGGAGGCTCTTGGGCATTATCATGGCCATGAGAAGGCCAACCTGGGACACATCCGTGAGCAGAAGCTGAGGATCTTGAGAGCGTCGACGCCTGTGCGAAGGATCCACGTGGGCAGCCCCATGTCTACAGGGTGGAGCCTCTTGGGCATCATCATGCCCATGAGAAAGCCGAACCTAGACACAACCACGCCGCGCGAAGCCTGAAGGCGTTGAGGATGGCGATGGCCCTCTTGAGCCTCCTCATGTCCATGAGAGGGCCAAACGTATACACGCCCGCGCCCGAAAGTTGAAAGCGTTGGGGGTGTCGATGCCTGTGAGAAAGATAAGCCGGATCGCTTCCGTGGCATGTCTGAAAGGTGGAGCCTCGCTCTTGAGCGTCATCATGTCCATGAGGACGCCAAACGTATACGCGCCCGCGCTCGAAAGTTGAAGGCGCTGCGCGGTCGATGCCCTGTGAGAAGGATAGATCTGGGCACTTCCGTCTCCATGTCAGAAGGGTGGAGCCTCTTATTAAAGCCCAACTTTCAATGGTCATTGGGGTTGGTCACTGAGATCGAAGAGGCGACCCCTTGAGACAACAGGGGAAAACGAAGGGAAAGAAGGGGGTCTCTTCCGTTCAGCATCAGTGACCATTGAGTGCTGAGCTTTAATCTTAGGCATCATCATGCACAAGCAAGAGAAGGCGGGCCAAGCCTATACGCGTCCGCGCTCGAAGGTTGAAGGCGTTGGGGATGTCGATGCCTGCGAGATGAATAGGCGTGAGCGCCTTCATGTCTGAAAGAAGGGCGGACCCTCTTAAGCATCACCATGCCCATGAGAAGGCCAAACCTATGCACGTCCGTGCCCGAAAGTTGAAAACGTTGAGAGCGTCAGCCGATGTCTGTGGGGCGGATAGATCTGAGCGCCTCGCCCCATGTCTGAAGGGTCTGGCTTCCTTCTGTCTTGGGTATCATCATGGCCACCAGAAGGCCAAAACGGTGAACGCCCGGGCCCGAAGGTTGAAGGCGTTGGGGGTGTCGATGCTTGCGAAGTGGATAGATCTGAGCCAAGCGCCTCCATGTCTGAAGGCAAGGCGGAGCCTCTTGGGCGTCATCCTGTCCATGAGAAGGCCAAGCTAGCCTATGTATACATATCCGCGCGCGGAGTTTGAAGGCGTTGGGGTTGGGCGGGATAAGCTGGAGACGTCGATCTCGATGCCTGTGAGATGGATAAGGCTGAGCACCTGCCTCCATGCTTTGCTTGCAGGGTGGAGCTGGAGCCCCTTGGGCATCATCATGCCCATGAGGAAGCCAAACTTGGGCACACCCGTGCACAGAAGTAGAGGACCCGGAGAGCGTCGACGCCAGGCGGCGGCCTGTGAGAAGGATAGATCTGGGCGCCTTCATGTCTGAAAGAAAGGCGGAGCCTCTTGACCTTGAGCATCATCATGCCCATGAATAGGCCAAACGTAGGCACGCCCGCGCCCGAAAGTTCGAGGCGTTGGGGATGTCGATGGCCGTGAGTGAGGAGCGAGGATAGATCTCGGCGCCTCCATGTCTGAAGGGTGAGGCCTCTTGAGTGTCACCATGTCCACAAGAGAGCCAAGCGTGGACACATCCGCGCACAGATGTGGAGGACCTTGAGGATGTCAATGCCTTTGAGAGTGATAGACGTGAGCCCTTCCATTTCTGAAGGGTGGACCCTGGCGAGCGTCATCACGTCCACACACCTCCGCGCTGGAAAGTTGAACGCGCTGAGGAGGGGCCGAGGGTCGACGTCGATGTCTGTGAGAATGATAGCGCTGAGCACCTCCACGTCTGAAGGGTGGACCCTGGTGACGGTGGGCGCCATCTACCACGCTCATGAGGGGGCCAAGCGTATATATCTCCGCGCTCGAAGGTTGAAGGCGTTGAGGATGTCGATGGCTGTGCGGGTGATAATGCTGAGCCCTTCCATGTCTGAAAAGTGGACCCCGGTAAGCGTCGCCACCATGTCCATGAGAAGGCGAAGCCTGTGGACCTCCGTGCTCGAAGGTTGAAGGCGTTGGGGATGTCGATGCCTGTGAGCCAGATAGATCCGAGCGCACACATCTCTGAAGAGTGGAGCCTCTTGGGCATCATCACGGCCATCAAAAGGCCAAACCTATCCACGCTCAAGCCCGAAAGTTGAAGGCGTTGGGGATGTCGATGCCTGTGACCCAGATAGATCGCGGCACCTTCATGTCTGAAGGGTGGAGCCTCTTGGGCATCGTCAGATCATGCCCATCAGAAAGCCAAATAACGCATACGCGTCCGCGCTCGAAGGTTGGGCGAAGGCGTTGGGGATGTCGATGACCGTGAGAGGGATAGATCTGGGCACCTCCATGGCTGAAGGGTGGAGCCTCTTGAGCGTCATCATGTCCACGAGGGGGCCAAGCTTGGACATATCCCCAGACTTTGTTTTTGCTCCTCTCCAGCATCGCCTGCGACTCGCATGGTTTACAATAGAGAGCCTCGCCGTTTTCAGATTTCTAAAATGCATGGCATAGATTGCACGCATGACAATGGATGGCACTACTTAGAAATAGCGTTCTTTTTCAGAGCGCCCTCCGGGCGCCATCGCCCGCGCCTCGTTACTGTGGTCGCGTTTCACCTTCCAACAGCTTCGGCGCATGCAACTTCGAGGCATTCGCATCCGGGCGCAGCATGCGCAGGCTACAGTCAGAACACCCCCCAAGCCCCACCTCCCCAACGCCGGCAACGCAGAGGACTACACGCGCCGCGGCCTGTGCACGCAAGAGAACTACCGCACTTGCCGCGTGCCTACTTCAACCCAGCCGGATACCCGTAAAGGCTAGACTGATAGCCAAGAGCCGCTGCCTTCCTGTTACTTATAACGCGGGCCCATAGCAAAACAATGCATATAAGTATCAAGATATTGCAAACACGCTGACACTGGTCGCAAGCATGGCAATGCCATCCCAAGAGGCAGCGGGGGGGCTTCGTGGCCTAATATCTTACTTATGCCGATGCGTCGACCATGCATTACGCACTTACTTAGAGGGCCCGGCTTCTATCTAACGGCGAACGTCTAGGCTAGTTTGCTGGCATCTCCAACGCGGCCAGGCGTCCGGCGCTCTGCGTCCTCCCTGCAGCCAGCTCGAACCGAAAGGGAGTCCACGCGCGGCCGCACCCTTACGAGAAACGACCCCCCTACCCGCAGGCAGGCAGAGCGCAACAACATAAGTAAGGCAACGGCCATCCTGTGGCCTTGTCAGACAGGGCGCTGCGTTCAAGCAGAGAAGTCCGCGCCCCCCCTTTCAAAGGGTCACACCTTCGCCCTTCCTGGCCATGCCATCCATGCAAGGAATTGCAAGCCATCATCCATCTTGTAATGCAAATGCTGCTAGCTTATTTTTAATGCCGCAGCACTTTTCTAGCGCAGGCAGTTGGGCCGCGGTAAGACGGTGCCCCCTGCAAGGCTCCTGAGGGTCTCCCAGCTGTTACGCAGCTGTCAGCCGGCCCCGCAGCTGTTTCACAACTGTTCCGTAGCTGTTGCGCAGCTTTCCCGCAGCTGTTCCGCAGGGTCCCTCCAAGGAAAAGCTAAACGAAGCAAGCGCCTGGCGTGCTCCGCGGCCGTTCGCTCCGCGGCTGTTCCATAGCTGTCCCGAAGCTGCGCCCTGGCTGCGTGTATCAGCTAAGAAGGCCGCCTGCGCTGCTCCTGTGTGCTCCTGGCTGATCAGTCATCAGTGGGGGGGCGTCCCGCAAGCTGTTCCGCAGCTGTTCCACGGAGTGTTCCGCGAGGGGTTCGGCGGCGCGCGACTCTTCTCTACCCCCGTAGTGACTGTCTCACGCCTCTAGCTGCGCTAAGCGGCAGCGGCAGCCCGGCGCGGCACCTTGTTCCCCTTGCCCCTTTCTGGACCCTCAGCGCAACCAAACGGGCCGCCCCGGTCTATTTCAGAGCGCTAAGGGCCCAGCTTGCTGGCTGCGCCCCGCCGTTTTTGCCTTGGGTTCTGCTCCGGCCGGCGCCTCTTTTCTCTCCGCTCCGTCCTGTCTCCCGCCGCCATCGCCGCCCCCTTGGGCACTTCCCGCACCCCTTCCGCTGTCTCGTTCTCCGCTCTCGTCTTCTCTTTCCTTCGCTCGTTCGTTCCTCGGCTGCCCTTGCCTCCTCCTCACCCTCGAAAAATAGCCGCCGGCGTCCCGCGGAGCGCGGCGCGCGTAGTACAAGTACTTAGCAATAAGTCATAAATATCTAATTTATAGTGAATTCTACAAGTTTTTAGTACTCATGTACGCAGTAAGGTGGATACTCACACAAGCTTGGCGCATTTTTTAGGTTAAAAGGAGTGGCCACGCAATAGAAGCAAAGGCTTGCACACTCGATCCATGATTTGGCGGCTTCGCATTCTTTCAAAAGGAAAACTGCAAGCCGCGATCACATTCGTGCGAGCGAAAAACTTTAGGTAATCCGACAAGCTAAGTAGTCACTACGACTGCAAAACTCATAATACTCGGAAAAAACGGCGTCTTGTGGGCTGCGACGCCTTTCTTGTAATGCGGTACCGGTCTTATAGGTCCCGGAGGTCCCGAAACTCCCTGTCCCGGGGCAGCGTCCGTGACTTCATCTTTGGGCCTCTCCTTCGGGAGTAGTGGTTTCTCACTTGCCACCGTCGGGTCTGCGTATAGAGATGTCATCACCCGCCTCAAGCCGGGATTAGCACTCACCCTAATCTATCTTGAGACCCATCTTGATGGAGCCGCTCTACCCTTATGGAGGGGCGCCAGGATCATCTGGCGATGGATTAGGGGAAGCCTTAACCGCAGGGCCCCCGACCTCGCCTGTGCCACCTGGGTGAAGGACGTGCACCTTCGCGATAAGAGGCAAATCGCCTTCCTTTAGATTCGGAAACGCACTAACCTGCCAATTTTGTCGTTCATTTTCAAAGACAACCTCAAATGGTTGCCCTGGTGGCGGAGTTTAGAACTTTACAGCTTATTATATTATATTCTCTATTTACAGTTCAAGAGTTTAGGATCTCGCAGCTTCATCTATAAAGTGGCCAAGTGCGAGGAGTGGCCGCCGTAGTAGTTGTAGTAGTGATAGTAGTAGTGAACCCATTTACGGGGTGCAGTCAGCTTATCTACGTCTTCTATGTTGATATGCCTAGCCTGCAAGAGACCTAACGCTCAAGGCCGACGCGCTGGAGTTTTAGACCGTAGTGCATTACTTTGTGCAGATACTATCGAACGCCGAGCATAGTAAGGATAGCGAAAACACCTCGCAAGCTTTCCGTGTGCGATGAATGATGTGACATTGTGACTATTGTGCTAAGAGTGAGCAAAGCTAGGCGCAGTCAGTCTGATCCTGAAACCATCCTCCCCCCGAAAGTAGGGCCGTCAGTTTGTGATATGCTCCGAAAGTCCCTAAAGTCTGCGCGTTCTTAGATTCATGAAGAATAAGGTCACGAATTTTATGGGCCTCACGGTGCTGCACTTTTCTGGGCCTTATGCTGATGAAAATGATGGGCATGAAGATGGCCAGGACGATCCTGGTCAAGATCAGGACAACAGAAGAAGAGCAACAAGGCGAACCAGATCAGTCAGATGATTGACAAACAACAGCCACGCGCATGCATCCTCATACTTTTCGCGTATCTATCAGCCGAAACATGTCGCGCCGGGTTCACATTTTAAGGATTCACAAAGCGAGCCAACTTTTCAGCCGCAGAGATTCTGTGTTCATAAAAAGCGGACTGACTTACTTCTGCACTTTTTTCAAAAATGTGTGGCACTTACCTTCCCAGGAAATTCCCAAACACCGGAATAACAAAATTATACTAAGCCGCAGTCGTATTTTAAAAAAGTTCGGACTCATCCAATGGCCACGCTCAGTTAAAACGTCCATTGTTTACGTTAGGCGCCGCCCTTCTTTCATAATCAAACTCCACGAAGTCAGCGCTCTCTACCTCTTCTGTCGGTCTCGCGTCGAAGACTCCAGCGCTGATCACATGGGTCATTAGAATGAGCTCACTTAGTGTATTAACGGGTATAGAGAGATGCCCTTGTCGTATAACAATATGAATATGCATCAATTGAAGTAGGACAAATCAATACCCACCATACCTTTACTTTTTTTCGACTTGTTAGCTTCTTGTCTAGTAGTAGTACACATGGTCAATAGACTTAGTGGCGTCGCCTCTTGAAGTAGCCTCTTTTCAACCGTGAGAAAAGTACCAGAACGATTGCCAAGAAAGCCTCTAAAAGGTAAATAGAAAAATAAGCTTGTTAATCTTAGATAGTCAAAAACACTGCTTCACAGTTGAAAGACAAGGAAATAATTTCAGAAGGATAAATCGATACGCTTCTTCATTCTTGGCAGGGGCTTTGTCCCCTGGTACAAATTGCCATCTCAATTATAATAGAAGATAAGGCAACTTCTGAACTTCTCGATTGCATTGCATGGATGGCATGCATGGCATGGATGGACCACCCCGAAAGCAATAAACTTTCCGCGGCGCCCAGTCCCACTGTGACCCCGCCCGGACACGAACACGGCCCACAGTCTCACTGTGACCCCGCCCCAGACACAAGCAAGGAGCAGCGCAAACGCCGTGGCCTGTGTGCGCAAGAGAACAGTGAGCAAGACGGTCGAGGCCCCAGTCGTGACTATATATAGGTATACTTATACTATAGGCTACGCCATAGTACACTACTAGCGCTACGTCTTAGGTTAAGCCTGAAGCCCCGACCTCTCACCAAACTGAAACGAAGCGCGGACAAGCTCCCGGCGCTCTGCATGCTCCAGCCGCACTGAGAAGGGGGCGGCTGAAGATGAAGAAGGCGGGCTGTGCAAAGACAAACGCAAGAAGCAAAACAGACGGCAACGCGGTGGCCCCCCTATGTCGCGCCCTGCGTCTTCGTCCCCGCGTCGCTTCCTTAAGAAGGTCGCACCCTGACCCCCTCGGCTCAGGCAATGCATGCCATGCCATGCCATCCATGCCACCCAGCATCCTTCTTACGAAGTGTTCTATACTAAATATCTGCTGCCCTCTTAAATGTCTCACCCTGTCCCCTAGAAGTATACACTATCACTCAGATAGAAGTGCGCTCGCCTGCGGGGAGGTGAGCACTCACGACTATTAGGAAGATTATCTAACTGGCATACATTAGTATCCTTGTATTGTTGTACACCCTTAACGTCACAAACGGCGCCTCAGAGGTACCTCGCCAAGGGTGCTGAATGCGAGTGTCCACCGAGGGCGCGTAGTACTTGTGTATTTGCTCCTTAGAGAGGTTAGGCTAGGTTAGCTTATGGACCCTTACGTAACTATTAGTGCCTTCAAGTAGAATAAAGTTTCTCAATTATAGTTATTGAATAAGATCAGGTCAGAAGTAGAAGATACAACAACCTATCCATTATGGCACCAGAAGGAGGTGAAAACTTTTGCTCTATGTAATGTGGTGCGAACGTATAAGAAATATTGATAATTCTAGTAGTCATGAATGATGACCCGTTCTACATCTATCTTAACTATTTACAAACTAGTAAAAAAATACAAATAGTATAAAAGGAGCAAGGGCGGGAAGATGATCGAAAGTATAAAATTAAGACAAAGTAAGGTGGATGTCAAGTAAAATCATCGCAGTCAAGTAAAATCCTCGCAGCTGTCAAACAACTGGCAAGCGTGCTAGAAGAGCCGAAAAGTACGAGATTGAATCTACTGTGCTACAACTACGGTGATAATAAGTCAATCAATGCGTCTCAAAATTTGACAAAAAACCGCGCTTGATCATCGGCAAGACATTTTCTGCGACGGTCAGAAATCGGTGATAATAAAATAATAAAAATCATCGCTACTAGCAAAGCTAGAGAGCAAGTCCAATATTTTTTTTAGAAGGAACAAGAGTTTTCTTAAGACTCTCTCTCGCCTCTCGAATGGCAGCGCCCACGGCCGCATCTGCCCGACGCGGAAGGACGCCTAAACTACTGGCTCCCCCTTTCTTGAGCGCCGTTCTACTCTATAGTTAGAAGTTTGTGGTAGAAATTCACTCATTCACTCAGAGGCAGACGCAGAAATAAATGTTGCCTATATATAATTAGAAGTTTGTGCTGGTAAAATGAAATGCATCTCAGACGAGTGCTACTAGACCAGTCATCTACGACATCTTCTGTTTTACGACATCTTCGGAGTGCAGCTCAATGAGACCCTAGTTGTAGAAGCTTCTACAAGGCAAATGTCACCTACATCTACATGCAAGACGAATCGATGTGACAAGATCCACAGAAGAGTGGAAACTTGTGAACTAACGGGAGAGGAATCGTGAAAAAACAATAAGGGCTGAAGCACGACTCGCCTATTGAGCTATAAACTGAATAGCACGCTGCTCAACAACTATCAAGCAGTCGCATTCCACGTGTGTGTATCCCTGTTGTTATGCTTATGCTTCAACGTCACCATCTAAGAGATGTCACTACGTAGAGGCCACCATGGACGAGCCAGCTTAGCTACTCTCTGACCAAGTCAGCTTATCTCTGACCAAGTCACCTTATCTCTGACCAAGTTAGCTACTCTCTGACCAAGTTAGCTTATCTCTGACCAAGTCAGCTTATCTCGGACTAAGTTAGCTTATCTCTGACTAAGTTAGCTTATCTCTGACTAAGGTCGCCTTCTTTGACTAAGTTAGCTACTCTTAGAGTTCTATGGTTTCCTCTTGTTTTCGTTCTCTACCCCCCTGTTTTGGAGATGCTGTTTGAGCAACATCCTGCTGTTCTAATATTTGACTATAAGCCTGGACGTACTTTCTAAAAATATTGATGCTTACACACGCACAGCATTACTTCAATAGTACAAAGTCTCGATTCTTCATCTTTTTTCTAAAGTATCTAATTCCGGTAGAGCCTGTAAGTAGAAAGAAACGAGTGAAAAAAGAATCATATAAATATCAGAAAAAAGACTACTTAACCCTAGTACTAGCAGCTGCTATTTCTAAACTACTAGCAGCTGCTATTTCTAGTCCTGGGACAGGTGGGGGATTGCATTTCCCAAGTAAGTAGTGGGAGTATGTAAGCTAAGTCTCATAATTCGCGGTCGATTCTGTCGATTCTTTGTGGACAACCGACTCTCCCAGTGTTCCCGCCGTCGCAGTCTTATTAGAGTTTTTTCTATCAAGTTCAACGAAGATGGATGCCTTATGTCACTCCTTACCTCGTCAGTGACCAGGATAGGGTAGGATAAGATAGGACACACACGGGAGAATAGGATCGCAGAGGATAGGATGGGATAGGATAGGAATGGACTCACCTTCCATAGGGTAAGTAAGCCTCTGTCCTCCGAAAATGGTCATATGCAGTCTTCTGGTTTATCTACTACACAGAATTAAGCAAGCGAATCGATTTGGGTAAGAGTGATCAAACGTGCGATCTAGGTATGAGTGAGCGCACGAATGAATGTGCCCACTCTGGGGGTATGTAGTCAGTTACACCTCTAGTAGTATGCCAAAAGTTAATATGCGAGTAAAGTGACCTAAGAGAGCTGTCGAACTTTTCTCGAACTTCCTTGCTTATCTTAACTTTTCGAGTACTTAGGTTGAACAAAAACACAATTTAGCCATCATAAGAGCAAGAGGTTGTTCTTGCGGCTCTGTGATTAGTTCCTGTGGCCCCTTGTTCTTGCTGTTGGTGACTCCTGCCGAGTCCTGATGTTTTTTTACAAAGAGTGCAGGAGAGAATATTGTTTGAATGTATCCCGCTCAGTTCTACAAATACACTCTTTGATCACTACGCCATCGACACTGGTGAGAATCTCGCTAGTGATGTGTTTTGCAGTGATATGTTCTCTCTAGTGATGTTCTCTCTGGTGATGTTCCTTCTGTCTAGTGATGTTCTGTCTAGTGATGTTCTCTCTACAGTGATTATCTACAACCTGTACATCAATTGATTTGTCATACATAGTACATGATCAATTGACTTATTGTCGTACACGGCCATGTGTAGATATAAAGTACGGCTTCAGTTCCAGCTCCTCCTTGTGAAGTGTCCGTTCCTGATGAACTCTCATCGGTACCGGACGAATGAAATTAGAACTTTCCGTTACCGTTTCTTGACATGTAATAGTACGGCTACGTGCAAGCGATTTAAGATCAATAACAAGAAGCATGTAATGGAGCAAGCGATTTAAGGTGAATAACAAGAAGTGTTATTTCATCCGTTGATCTTGATCTATCTTCTATTACCTAATATGATTGAAGTATCTCGCTCCGACCTCTTCCCGTATAGATTCACTCATTCAATCATGGGGCCTTCCCGTATATTTTTTTTTCGGTGCCTGGGTTTATATTCTCTGTCATTTGTCCCATGTGTGATCTACCTGCAAGACACACTAGCTTCTACTTCGATCAAGAGAGAAAGCCTTGCTTAAAGACCACAGCTATCACAGCGCTCCCCAAAGCGCTGTAAGAAAGCGGCCGCCTTGACAAAAATGTTGTCCTCCGAACCGCCTGTAGTCTTGGATGGTGTCCGGAAGTAGAGGACACCAAAGAAAAGAAGACCACCATAGGTAACTAGCGTGAGCAGGCACAGCAACCCTAAAGCGACAAGAGCGCGCCGCTTCGCATATGAACGAAGAGTAGTAGCAGTGGTAGCAGTAGTAGTAAACCCAGTCCAGGGGTGCAAGCGAAGGTGCTTATAAGTACGTGTTTTTGCTAAGGTCTTAGGATAAGTTAGGTCAGGCTCTTAGGGAAGCTAAAAAAGCGTGCTTTTCTTCCATCTTTCTATCACCAGTCATCAAAGATTCTTCAACCTGAGTAATATCCACCCTATAAATATATCCTTCTATTAGATCAGCGTACTCCAACATCCACATAAAAAAAGTGACAAAAATCAACATTCTCATTCGTAAGGATATGAGTTTTCGTTTGGTTCCTTCGTCCTCCTTGGTTCCATCGTCCTCCTCAATGTCCAGCGTTGTAGTCGTATCTCGATTCGTCCCCATTCCGAGCTTCCCCGCCCATGTTCCTATAATTCCAGAAGTACTATCCTCGTCAACATTGTTAGCGGTAGCCTAATTGTACTTGTACTTGGTTGTAGTTGATGTCCTAGTTCGTAGTTGGGTGACAGTGAGCGACTCGTACATCATGAAAAGTGCCTCTAGTACTCCCAAACATCTATCTATCATAGGATTAAAATCTATCAACAGCTTGACGAGTAGTGGTTGCTCTACTTTGTCTTTTGTATTTACGAATGTGGCCGTATGCAAAGAGGTGACAGGACTAGGTAAAGGCTATCAGACAGACGATCCTCTAGTTTACAGTTACAGATGAAGAAAAAACTGCATCTCATTCACTCATTCGCATTCTGAGTAGTACTTTTAGTCTACCGGCAGGATGATATTACAGCTCCAGCAGTGTATCCCCAGTCACCGTTCGAATAGTTTTTCCCTTGACTCAAAGAGGTACTGAGTATTCTTCTCTACTTCTCAGTTAACATACTAGGGAGATTCGTCTTTCACATTATAGTACTAAGTAGTAGAGACACTCTTTCAAATTCATACTGTATGAGTTAAGCTTTTCTATCCCATCGTCCCGAGTTGCACTTCTATTATGAACTACTGAACGAGTTGTACAATTCTAGAAGCCCTGGGGTACTAGAGCCGCCTTTGACATTCATACTAGAGAGAAGATACTACTAGTGACTTCAATGTATAATAGAACAGTTTATTCCCTATTTAGAGACGTCCTATATATAAATCAAGCAGCACCGTTCTTAACCTTTGCAGAAGCGGCACTACCTGGTAGTAGTATGCTCGAGCTCGACGTAACCGGTAATAGTTCCGCACTAGTGGTTCGTGACCCGCGCAGCAGAGATTAAAGGTTGGAAGTCATTAGTCACTGGTCTGTGTGAAGGCACGAGACCCCCTAGTACACAGCTCTCCCCTTGTTTTCCCTTAGTTTCTTTTCCCCTGTGCTCTCACAGGGAGTTGGCCAGCCTTAAAGAGAAGCACGATAGTTTCGGATGCGGTCTCCGAGTCGATCGAGCAGGCGCTGGCACCGACCCACGACGGCAGAGGTGCACGCTCTGCGGGAACCGGATAGCCACTCGACTGCTCTAAATTAGCGCGAACCGAGTAGCCACGTCTCTAAATAACGCGTGCAGACACTATGGACGACGGGGAGATGAACTGCTCTATCACTAGGACGTGGGCCACCATAGTAGTCGCTATGTACATGAACGTGGTCACTAGAGAGGTCACAATTGACGACGTCGAGTTCCCTAGGACAGCCTTCTTGTTGAGCTACCGTAGCTGCATGTTGTTCTTGTTCAAGAACCGAGACACATCACACCAGAAATGCATTATCGCCTTGAGCATCTTTTTAAGGCACAAATGATTCTTCATAGCTAGGAACTAATACACTAGCACACAAAATTGAGGAGTACACTACCTAGGGTAGACGACTTCTCTGACTTACTGGTTACTAACTAATTCAGACCACGTGAGATACTGGCTCCTAGCTAGTAGACGACTAACAGTAGAATACTTAGAGTGATTGATAGCGATAACTAAGCAGGTACTAGTCCTATCTTCACTGGTGCTAGTCCTATCTTCGGATTTAGAAGATAAAGAGGATACTGGAATGTTGGTTGTTACGGTTCGTGAAGTATACCTATAATGTAGGGACTAATGATGTTCATGTTGATGACAATCTAAACACGTCTTACTTTCAGTACACTACTGTAAATGGCTTGAGAGAGACTACTCTACATTGAGTAAACTACCAATGACACAGACTAGTGACATACATAGGAGGTAGTATAACGTGTTAGGAAGAGAGAGGAACTTTAGGCTATTAGTAGTAGTAAGGTGGCACTCATAATTGTTACATCGACTCCGCGGGGTGCGCTTCTGCTGTAACGCCTGCCGCACAAACTGGCGCTGCGACAACAGCAGGGATCTCTCCTCGTCGTGCTCGACCATCCCTCAGGCTCGCGGACGCGTGGCGATGGCCTTGATGATGATACACCCCCGACCTCTCCTGTCCCACCTGGGTGAACGACGTGCACCTTCGCGAGGAGCGAGACCTGAGATGTAGTCCCTCTTGCCGGACGAGAAATTCCTTCTTGATGCCCTGTTGTCTATTTTTAATTGTGTGACGAGACTAGAGCTCCTCTGCTTTGTGAAGGAGATGTCCTTTAATGTGCTGCGGCTGATCGTTCTTTCCAATCGTAGATCAGACGGGCCTTGTTTTAGGTAGTAGCTGTAGTAGTATTAGTAGTAGTAGTAGGAGGAGGAGGAGTAGTAGTAGTAGTAGTGTACCCATTCGTGGGGTATGGTAGAGTACCCATTCTCAGGGTATAGTAGTTTAATTAGGCAAGTCTACTTCTTCTTCTTAATTCTTCTAGAAGTATACTTTCGCAGTCGGACTCGAAGGTGGATAAAAATGCGGCTGTAGTAGTGCTAGTGCCTGGTTGCTGCACTGCTACTGCTAGTAGTAGATATAGGTAGCAGTAGTAGTGATTAACCCATTCACAGGGCTACCACCTTGTTCGTTTTCTACTTCCGCATACTTAGACCCACTGTTGTTGCACTCCATTCAACCGCGATTGTTCGATCGTTAGGATAGGAGCAGGACTTGCCTCTGTGCAGGCTGTCACAGTACTGCAGCTGCTTTTCTGCTTCCCCCGTCACAACAGCTCCCATGATTGAAAGCACTTCTTCCAGAAGGATTACTTAGACATGATATTGTTACATTTTCGAACGCGCAATTTAGCAAATATGCGACGAAGCAAAAGTGTTTGCGTCTTTGCGTCATCGAGCAAGCAACTCGACCTAAAAAGAATGCACAACTTTCATGATAAGACCAACTCGATAACTTTCATTCATGCGCCCCACCCAGGCCAACTTTTTTTTTTTGTATGCCGAGACCGCCGGAAGGGTGATCCCAGTTTTATCCAGTTCAACATTTTTTTTTGTATGCTAAGACCGCCGGAAGGGTGATCCCATAAGGAGAAGCTCTACTTACCTTACACAATGAATAGGCATGACTGTCGACGACGTGGGAGTCGTCTGATAAAAATGCGAATAATAACTGTAACGCGTCTGTTAAAGATGAAGGAGTTGTCACCGTGTGTACTCACTAGCAAACTCACTCTTGTTATTGCGTTACATAGAAAAGCAGTTTTTTAACCCAGTTGGACGCAATTTGAAGCCGTTCAAAACAAAAGGGGTAGGTGGGCTGACGTTCAGTAGGGTATACAAAAAGGTTGGCTTCTACGGGGAGTGACACTCCCCCCCTCTCAAAGTCACTCGGTGCCTTTTTACATAATTAGGTTAGGTTAGGTTGGGGTCCACCATCCGACGTGGCAGACTTCAACGGCTACTGAAAGTTTCGCTTTGCAGTTGATGATTATTATCATTTCTATTATGTTAAGTATGTTCCCGCGCGACCCTATCACCGTGATGGCCTCCTGATGACATATATTTTACGTCCTTATGCGACAACTGCACCTCCGATTTTTACGTAGCTTCACACGACACACCTACCCTCATCCGAGTGCTGATGACTCGGCAGATACATCAACTCTCAAGATAGTATGCATTCAAACTGCTTCCAACCCATGCTAAGACCCTGATCTTTGTGCTTGTTGAGGAAGTTGAGGCAGATACAACTCTCAAGATAGTGAAAATGTAGCTCTCGAGACAACATCTTCATCACTTTTAATATGGTGGACGCTCCCTCCTGTAGTGTCCATCTGTGCAGTTCCGACTGGAAAAAGGCCTCACGACAGAATAGGTCCAGACTCACCTTCCACAGGTTGAGCCTGTGCCGTCTCTATATCTTCTGTGCAGTTACGGGAAAAGGGCCTCACCTCATAATTACAACTAGCAGGCTCTGGTATATCTTTCGCGGTGTACGTTTGAAAAATGTGCATGCACATGCCATGATACGAAAAAAAAATATAAATATTTTTTCTAAGTATGTTGAACGCGATGTGTTCCTGTGCAATCCGAGTTCATCCGATTTCTCCCAACAGTCGTTAATTTTCCAGCGATGATTAACCGAGTCTGTCTCGTAGTGCTTGACTCTACCTCTGCATGTTTAGCACCTCAATTGCTGAGCGTGAGGAGGTATCTAACTAATCATAAATCCTTACACCAGTCCCTCTCGGTGGACTCATGGTCATGATGCACTGCACAATAAGTAAGAAATGTCCTAGTAAGGAGGAGAACATCATACACTTCGTGAAGCTGTCTGTTCTGTGGAAGATAGCTCGCCACATCATTGTCAACAAGATCATTGTCAATAATAAATTTGCTTCATGCAGCTGATAAAATGGCGCTCTCGATCGTATTGAGGAGCAGAAAATCACATAGGAGGTAACGTCCACACTAATGTCGTTCGTTGTAAGTAGTAAATCATATATGTAACGTCTACATCACATTCATTGCAAGTGAGCCTTCAAAATATCTCTGTCTAGCTCTAGTGCGTGGATACTTTCTTTGAGAATATATAAATCAAGGGCCCGCTGCGCTGGGCATAGGTTAACAACGAAGACGAACCAGGCAGAATGATCACTAAGATATAGAAAGACAAACGAAAAAAGTCGCCAAGTCTGCTCGCGGCCAAGGCTAGAAAGGCTGGGAAGCTGGCCCCCACTGTGGCGAGGCTAGTGAGGAGGCTACTGCCTTGGCCAACTTGCTTACTAGGGAGCCAATGGGCGCCAAGGCTGGCCCGTTGAGCATCATGAAGCCCATGAGAAGGCCACGCCTGGACATATGCACGCACAAAAGTTGGGCCCTTTTGAGTGTGATCATGTCCAGGGGAATTCTAGGGCAGAGCATATCCTCCATGGCAAAAGTTCGACACTGGCGTCCATCATGGGGCCCATGAGAAGGCCGCGCTTGTTCATATCAATCGATGCGCAGAAGTTGGGCGCCAACCTTCAAACACGGAGACGCATCAGCCTGGCCCCCTCATGGACATGATGACGCTCACCAAGGTCCACCCTCCAGACACGCAAGTGCTCACAGCTATCATTCTCACAGGCGTCGACATCTTCGACGCTTTCGGCTTTCATTTACGGAGATGCATAGGCGTGGCCTTCATCTCATGGACATGATGACGCTCTCCAGCCAAGGCCGGCCCACCCTTCAGACGTGCAAGGGCTCGAAACTATCCTCCTCACAAGCATCGACATCCTCAACGCCTTCGGCCTTCACTCACGGAGGCGCATACGCTTGGCCTTCTCATGGGCGTGATGATGCTCGCCAGGGTCCACCCTTGAGATAAATACGCAAGGGCTCACGGCTATCATTCTCACAGACATCGACGTCCTCAGTCAACACATTCAACTTTCAAGCCCAGAGATGCATACGCTTGGCCCTCTCATGGACGTGACGACGCTCACCAGGGTCCACCCTTCAGACGCAGACACGCAAAGGCTCAGGGCTACCACCCTCCCAAGCATCGACCCCCCCAACGCCTTCAACCTTCAAGCGCGGAGATGTGTGGCTCTGGCCTTCTTATGGACATGACGACGCCAATCAGGGTGCATGGGGACCGTGTCCGAGGTGTTCCAGGTCTTGCCGAGGCTGATCTTCCACAACAAAACGGTGGACACCGTGTTTGAGATTTTGCGGGTTCCCACGAAAGACCTGCCGCAGAGGCTGCTGGATGCGGAGATCGAGAGGGAGGGCCAGCTTTTAGCAGAAAGCCCGCATTTGAGTCGGCAGCATGTGACGGTTCGCGAAGTGTGGCCATGTCTATGAGGAATCTACGGAGAAGACCCGGGGGACGTCGATGCCTGTGGGGAGAGTAGGTCTGGGCCCCTCCATATCTGAGGGGCGGAGCCTCTTGGGCGCCATCATGTCCATGAGAAGGCCAAGCTCGGACACGCCCGCGCGCTCCTGTGGTCGATTGGTGTGCGCGGAAGGTAGTCGCGGGGAGAAAAAAGCTAACGTTTTCCCAAAAACTTCAGGGGTGTCGCTCAGATTCTCCTGTATTTGAATGGTGTGACCTCCCTGAAGTTTTTCAAAAAAAAAGCGCCAGGCGATAAGGGTAGGGGCGATCCGCTAGGGGTGGGCGCGTAGTGTGTTGGCGGGATCACGGTGGGGGCTGGCAATTTGGGCGACCACAAAGTACACCACTGGCAAAAAACTCCGGAAAATCTCTGGACTGTCAGGCAGAACACGCGGGAGGACTTTACTCCCTTGCGAGTCCTTGAAAATCCCGTAAGGGAGGTTCTACTATTAGCCAAAGGCCGTAGCAGCTCTTCCTTAAGGACCTTCCTTAAAGAAAATCTTTCCTCTTAAGGAAGGTCGTAGCACATTTTTGTAAAAAGAAACGCTTTAAGGAAGCAGCTTCCTTAAGGGAGGCACTTAAAGGAGTCCTTTAAGGATTTCAGAAAAAATCGCTAACCCTATAAATACTAATATTTGTTACGTTGATAACGTCGCCTTCTCGCCATAACTCACTTCTAAATTAGTTCTCTTAGCAGCGATCAATCACTTCTAGGCGCTTTCATCTTGATTGATTGCCATCCCGAGTAGTCCTCCTCTAATTCTTTCATATCCCCATATCCTATTAAAATAGAGTTGCTCTTCGGCGATTTTTTTATCTAGTAGCGCTACACAAGTATCCCACCTCTAGTACTGTATGTGATTCCAGCTAGAGAGCCCAGGCCTCAACAGCCCTTTTGCTTTTCTACAACATCGTCATCGCGTCTCACTCTAGTATTGACTTATACTGGACTCCTGTCGGCAAGACTATCTAAGACTGTCAGCGATTGTAAAAAACGGCCGATCTCCAGTATCAGAAGAACTCCATACATATGGGATGGAAAAAGTAGACTTCCTAGCTCTAGTTAAATCCTGGTGGTTGCCTGCAGCTTATTGTGTGTGACGTACTTCTTGGTCAGTTCATCGAAGAGGAACAACCTGTCGCCACGAGATCCACCTTGCTGTTTTGGCACCGTGTCTGAGGTGTCCTGGTGCCAAACCGGGACATCGTCCCCTGAGATGCCCACTTTGCGAAAGAATGCGAAAAATTGCTATATGAAAGTTCAGGAATGATCTTTATCCAAACTAATTACTATAAGTTGATAGTGCTAAAACATTACAAAAAGAAATTATTAACCTATATATAAATATTATTGGTTTAGGTATACTCTCGACGTCGAGATCCTTACCGATTGTAGTCTCTACCTTCTTCTCCTCAATCTGTAATCTCGAGGTCCTTGCCTGCAGCCTCCGGTCCCTTCCCCTGCAGCCCCAGCCCCAATACATACTCTCAGGCCGTTTTCTTGCGACAAATTGCTATAAGGCCCCCGGGCATACTTTCAGAAAAGAAGCCGGAAAAACTCCCGACGGGGGTAGGGACGCAGGTTGGGGATAGAAGTCTGCCGAAAGACATTTAACGACCCACGACACGAAACGCCACTAGCCTGGCAGACGAAAGACGTCGGCCTGACGATAGAAGAAAGGTAGACAGTCTGACGAAGAGCGTGCGTGAGCCTGACGAATGACGTCGGTCTTCCGAAAGGCTGACATCCCTCCAGCAGGCGGCGCCTCTCTGACCGACGAAAGACGAAGGGGAGAGGCTCAACAGTTGCACCCAGAGAGACCCAGCAGGCGCGGCCATGCGCTGCGCTTTCTTGGCCCGGCAAGGTCCCCCTGCCCTCGCTCTTGGCTGCCACCGCGGGCCGGCTATAAGCGTTGGGCCCTGCGGGTCCTTCTGCGTTTCTGGTGGTTCTCTTCCGGCTTTTTTGTTGGACTGCCGTGAAGGTCTTGCAAACTCTGAAGAACTTGCGTGGGCCCCTCAGTAGCTAGTCCAATAAAAACCGAAAGCAGCCCGCCCGTCTTCCCATGGGTCGACGCAGCTAAGTTTGCGAGTGCCCGCCGTAGGCAATTCATCGAGGTGCACTACCCAGCCCGCGGGCTGTCTCTAGCTGTAGCCCGTGGGCGAAGAGGTGCGAAACTTGGAGCCGGGCGAAGCTTGTGGAGGCGAGTATGTGAAAGCAACGAAATAAAATCAAAATGTAAGAATGAATTGTATAGTTTGACTATTCTGTTACAAGAGCGAAGTAAATCGAAATCAATGAGAGGTGTCGGCAACACACTACTCTAGGCTTCACGCTCGTAGTGAGTTGCCGAGGAGTACTAGGAGTGCAAAGAAATAGAAGTAGTTGTGGTAGTAATGGAAATAGGACTAGTAGGAGGATGAGCAGTAATAGCAGCGGCATAACATTTTTGTGCCAAGAAAAAACAGGAGCGACAGCTAAGCTTGAGAACTTCTTCCCGACATGCTGCTCCTCTAGTTGCACCCATCCGCCGTCTTCACTGTATTTCGATTTTCCGGCAGTGGCAGCAGCAGCAGCAGCTTCGAGCTGTTTGATTTTGGCGTCCTTCTCCTTGATTAGAGCCCAAAACATTTCGCTTTTCCCCTCATTTCTCCAGAATCCTAAAAAGGAAACTGCGAGAGATGACTCGTAAAAATATCATACATATTTAACCTTAAAGCCAGTTCCTTTTCCAAAGCCCTCTGCTCCTCCCTCGCATCTTCCACCTCCGCCTCGACTCTCCGCAACTCCGCCTCCCTGTCATTCCGTTCCTTGGCCCTCTGGCGACGCTCCCGGCTTCTCGCCTGCATTTGCGCATCCTCCTGCGCTCTGCTTTCTGCGTCAGTCTGCGCCTTTTTTGCCTCCTGAGCGGCAAGAGCAAGCACCCCTTAGAGTGAAGAGAACACGAAGTGAGAAACTCCCAACAGAATCTAGTCTCCGTCTGTCTTGTTCTTTGTCCAGAGACAGAGAGAGCAATGCAAAAGAAACACTCAGTGTAGTTCTAGACCGAGAGCCGACTTGAACGGAAATGGCCGTAAATACTCTAATAAAGTGAGAGACGATGTCGCTGATGATGGTCGTCGCAACGAACTGTATTATAGGTTCCTTCTTGACTGTTCACTAAAATTTACTGGCTATCTTGAAACATATCGTTCTCGAGCCATTCAGCCTACATAACTATCATAAACACATACAGACTTGGCTATACAATACGGAGTCACTCACACATCGAAACCTTCATCATGATCGACGTAATGCTCCTTCTCTTTCGTCATCCGCGTGATAATTTCCGCATTTTCCGTGATCTGGCGCGCCGCTTCCTCCTTCGCCTTCTTGAGCTGCTCTGCCTGCTCACGTTCGTCGTCGAGACTTTTGTAGACCTCGCCAGAAAACCCGGTGAGGTCTACCGGATCGAAAGTCTTGTACTCGCTTATGAAAGAGACCCGATAACGATAAGAAATAAAACCACAGGAAAAAAAACCACATAAAGGGTTAACCTACATGAACGAGACAGATCTGGTTTATCATTGTAGTTACTCCCTCAAATGTACCAGTATCTGTTTTAAAAACCATATCTACTCCTTTTAATACACCTTTGCTAAAAAACCATTACCAGTTCTACTTTTTGCTCTCCTGATCCTGTTGTAGTTTTCTATACACTTTAACTTTCTTCATAAGCGTTGTAAGAGCAGATTCCAACAAATCCCGAAACTTCTTTTTCTGCGCGCCGCCGGCCAGACTGGGAAACTCGACAGGAGCGCCAGCCTTAGAGCCACCCCTGCGTATTCCATTTTCAGAGATGCGATAGTATCTATTTGTTAGTAGCCAGGACCCTTACTTTATCTTCTTCTTCAAAATACTCCCTTCTTAAATGTAAAACAAATACAACAAGGGTTTCACATTACCAAATAAGCTTTGAAGCGGAGGACTCAGTGCTTAAACATGCTACAATTGGTGTTCCCGGCTAGTAAAAACAAAAAGAGATGATTTCATTTTTAGGGATGGAAAAGAGGTAGCCCTTAACGGTCGGTGATAATACGTGTGATGTAATCGCCACAATCCGCTCGGCAGGCACCCATCCTTGCTTTTCTCCCAGAAAGAAACTGTCCAAAAGCCTCTGCGCTCGTGGTAGCGGCGACGCCTTTTTGTCTTTCACCAATTCCCGGTATTTTGTCCTCCGCCTCGTCTGCTCGCCTTGCGGCAGCCGATTAAAAAGAAGACCCACCGTCACAAGGCATGGAGTGAGTGTTTTCAAACTTTTGCTTCTGTACTATTTCAAGGAAATGAAGATAACAAAACTACAAGGGGGAGGCGCACCCCACAAAATGCCATCCAAGTACAACTTGTTGCGCCGAGTCGCAACCACTTGCTCGCGCTGCTCAGAGGTTATCATATGTGCAACATTATATTTACACCACTAAGAAGGTGCTGCCCCAGTCCTCCTGAATCTAAGCAGGGTTTGTCTTACCATCCTGCAGTATCAACACGCAGGCTTTTCCTGAATCTATCAACAAGCCGGACTTGCCCTCCTGAAGAATCTTATAAATATATAACACGCAGAGTTTGTCCTGCCATAATTGCAGCATTTTCACCGTCCCAGACGAACTCCAGTGTTCTCAGATCTGCGAACTGCCCGCCCGCTGGTGATGCTCCGCCTTCCGTCGGACGCTTTTTCTTAAAGCGAAAGCTTGTTTGTTTGATTCCTGTTCCCTGCAATCAGCTATGAGTGGCCCTGTTCATCTTAAACAAACTACAAGAAACGCAAACGTCACGATTATCAAATGGAGTCCTTAAGCTTCATCAACTCCTCGTTAAACGTGTGCCAATCGAACTCCTGCAGGGACGTGATCCACGGCGGATTATGAACTTCAGTGGCCTCGTCGGCTCCGTTCTTGACGCTGGTGGATGCTTTTCTCTTTTTCGCTTTTTCTTAGTTTAGAACTGTAGCTGTACTATCATCGAGTAAAACCGAACATCAGGAGTGGCCTTTTCCACCTTGTTGCTGTGAGGTATGCAATTCATACAGTTTATATGACGAACAGTGCAGCGCAACTACCACCTCCAGCAAGAGACATTACACATTTTTACTACATATTAGAACTCTTATGAGATGATGAGTCTTGATCTTCATAAATCAAACTCCCGGCGAGCCAAGATTTTGTAGTAGACGTCATGGTTGAAACCAATCAGCGCCATCAGCGATTCCGTAGGCCTGTGCTTTGGTCCGCGTGCGTTCATTACCCCATAAATATTAGACGAGAGTAGAGGCGACTGATTGGTAGATTGAGTGATTGATTGACGTCCCTGGTAGGAGGTCGAAAGTCTGACTGACTACATTCCGATCAAGAAGATCTCTCACTCATTCGTGACGAACCACGTGACAGTCTCAGCTTCCTTGTAGATATTAATAGATATACTTCAATGTAGTAGGCCGGCGATGGTCTATCGTTTCTAGCGCAAGACTTTACTTGCCTCTTGTGTCCTGTTGAATGTTGCAAAGATGAAATTTAAGCTGTTAGGTAGGAGGTTGCAAAGATGAAGACTGTTAGGTAGGAGGCTGTGAATGCAGAAGATGCGGGAGGGCCGGGATATGAGGGACCAGCGTGAGGACTCGCCTCTTGTGTTCGAGTCAATGTTGCAAAGTTCATTTTTTTTTCCAACAGAGCAGACATCTATCGCTTCTAGCACTTACTTCTTAATGAGTACTTACACGACTGACTCGGCTGGTTCTAGCCTCAAGCACTTACAGCACTGACAATGACTCGGTCATAAAAAAAGCAGTCTCCGGAAAAAACTGCGCCTCCGCGATTTTAGTGTACGCGCCCAAAACTTTCTTGCGAAGCGCCTCCTCTTGCTCGGTGAAGCTGTCGGTCGTTGTAGTGCGTGGTGGCTGACTCTTTAGAGATATGCCTAGATGCTACGTCTCCAGTAGTAGGCGTCTTTGTTCAATGTACAAATAGGTTTCCCGAGGAGAATGGTCAAGGACATTTCCAAGTACATGGCCAGCCAAGGAGGTTCACTGAAAAACGGCAAGGAGACATGCTGTTGTAAAAGGAACTCTCATTAGGATGATGCTGAAAGTGGTGGGTGCTTGTTCCTGGATATCGATGTGCACAGTGCGAAGTAACGCATTCACATTCTAGCTACCTCGCTACCTCATATCATCCTACTCATTGCTCCTCTTGTTAAAAATCCTGACGCCGTAAAAAAAGCCGGCCAAGGAATGAGCTAGTTTGTCCAGGAATAGAATGCTCGAAGAACGGTATCGGATTTTAGGAGTAGCAAGCTGACCTCTCTAGCTCGTCTATGGATCTATGGCCCTCCTATTCGAAAAACTGAAATAAGCGAGTAACTGATCAGAATAAACGAGATACTGATTACAAGGAGGGGTAGCCTTGATGTTAAAACCGAGATACTGATGACAAGGAGGGGTAGCCTTGATGTTAAGCTACCTCCCTTATTTCAGTCAGTAACTCGGTTATTTTGAGTTTTCGAATACTTAAAGTAGCCGGAGAGATGCTCATAGAGAGGCCAACTTCCAGCCCTTAATGATTGCTGCCCAGATTGTCCACGATTTCTGTCACTTTCGCAGTGCTTTGCCTTGCTGCAATCTCTTTCAGCACTTCGGGCGGAATCGGCTTGGCTCTGAATCTATATTAGATAGAGGTAGTTGTCTTGATGAGTGATGTCTTACAATACAATTTATCTCGCACAAAGTTCAGTGCAGACTGCCACAAGGGCCCTAATTTGATTGCTTAATGAGTAAACTTCCTGCTGTCTATCAACGTTCGTGGTGATTCCTTGACTGGTCATCTATAGTCAAATTGATCCACTTCACATTTTTGGAACATATCATGAATCATTCTTCTTGGGAAGAGATAAAAGGTTTTGGTTTATCTTCCAGGGGTTTGATTGACTTTCACCCAGTGCTGAACATGCTGCAGTGTCATGGCTGAGGTAAAAACATGCTCGCACATGATTACAAAACTCGTCTAATAAAACACAGGAGCTCTACGTACACTCGGAAAAGATACTCGTCCACAGGAGGATAAGATAGGATAACATAGGATACCTAGGGCGCCTTTGCTGAGTAGGATAGGATACGATAGGATAGGATACGATAGATTAGGATAGAATGGGGCGCCTTTGCTGACTAGGACAGCATGGGATACGATAGAATAGGATACGATAGCATAGGATAGGATAGGATACGATAGCATAGGATAGGAAAGGATACAATAGGATGGAATGGGGCGCCTTTGCTGAGCCTTCACACAAGGTGCCGACAAAAGCGCGGCATAGCACGAGTCTCACATAGTCGCGCAAACACTATATTGGAGACTAAACAATATCCAGGACACATAGATTCTATCACATAGATTGATCATGGTCCTGAAACAAAAGAGCCTTAACCATCGGGAACCGGGATGCGAAAGGCGATATTGTCCACGAACTCCGTATCTATACCATTCGGTCGCGAGGGAACAAGACGGGCGACAAGGCCATTGATTCTCGGATCCGCAAGTTAGACGCTTTTCATTCATTTAGGTGCTCCGCCCAGGCCGACACGAAGCCTCTGGGCAGTATTCGATAACGATACATAACTCGGAATAAAAATAGAAGAACAATCTTGCCTATCTTGGAACGGTGACGCTAACTCTTCCACTTCGGAATGATATAGTTTTAGTGGAGCTCTAATCCGGTGGCCAAGTCAGACCCTACTAACTAGAGAAGAAGAAAATCTTCAATCGAGTACTTCTCTGTCTGTGAAAATTCACATTTATTTGGATGTGATATACAAATAGAGCCATGGGGTCTAGTACCGCAGAGCCTTTTCAATCAAGAGCGCACGTGGCCCGCCGATCAACTCCTTTATTAGGAAACGCACGAACTCCTTCTCTTTTTTAGTAGAAAAGATGCATTTCCGATTGATAGTTTCTAGTCCCCTCGAGAAAACCTGGCCTATATGCCCCATACGATCAAGCATACTGCTGCTGAGTTAATATCAGTCAGTGTCAAATAATGAACCACAATTACAGATGAGATACGAAGATTGTAGGAGGCAAGTAAGCCATAATTTGGGGTACCAGGGTGGAAAACATGCGCGCGTAATACCGGGTGTACATTAGACCGCTCCCCAGTTCATCTTCATCCCTGTGGAAAGCTCTCAAGCATATGCGTCAGCGTCTCCCTTGTAATGGCAGGCATATGCTTCAGGAACCCCTATGTATAGAGATGGACTAGGCGGGGACGCCATAAGTATACTGATTTGGGACTCGGTGCTCCCGTCGGCTCGTTTGCATGGTAAAAACCCTGCTTCTTCTATCTCTTCGATAGACCCTCCTCCTTCGATTTCTTCCGGAAGCACGTCACCCAAGCCAAGGGGCCGCTCGTCGATGAGCTCCAAAACCACTGCGTTCCTTGCGGAAAACAAAATTAGACAGTCGAGGGCCAAAGCCTAATTATTTCGAGTATGCAATTGTAAATATAACGAGGATCGCAAGCGAACGTCTTCACCTCAACATCATTAATATTACAAGTACTAGTAGTAGTAGCGAAACTAGGAGTACAGTAAGCGGAAGCCTTAAATAAGCATAGTTCTCGCCTTCGGGGCGAATAAGCGGGAGATTCGCGGCTCCAAATCTCCGCACAAGTTCCTTCGCGTCGGCTTGCTTTCTGACATAGGTCTCCGGGTGATTCGCCGCCACAAAGGGCAGCCTCCGTATGTAGGAATGGAAACTGCCTCGAGCACTGTTGATGCGGATCTTGTCCGGACCTAGCATTGCGATAGTGCAATGCAGTAACGAGGTTTACCGAGGATGCTTCAAAGTCAGCATTTCTCTGTACTTATATAGAGTAAGAAGAAGTTTCGCACAAAAGCTCAGTGCAGAGTGCCACAGGGGCGTCAGAAGAAAGAACCAAGATCAGCTAACATAGCACTCAGGAGCTTGCTTTAACCAGTAAACAACGTACGAATGATGTAGGATCACGACTAACCCTGTGCTTGACGTAAATGTAAGAGTATACCATCAGTCATCGTAATAGCGAAGCTATCCTCATGGGTAAAACGCGGATAAAAAATGTCCAGCATCAGTGGACGAAAACCCATGTCGAACTCGGTAGAATCCCGCACATTAGAGTCAGCCCCTCAGGATTAGGATTAGGATGTGATCCGCCATCCGCAGTGTTTAGCTGCATTCTCCAGCGGATTAACGCAGCCTCTGATGGACTACTAAAAACTCGCATTGCTTAATAGCAGTAAAACACTAAGCCCCTCAGATTTTTCAATCATCGTTTTCGTGGCATCTCAAAAATCGGGCACTATTTCTTCAAAGCTCTATCCAACAAAGCTCTCTAACCAACAAAGCTGTCACTAACCAGTAACCAGCTTCTTCTACTATAAGCTCCCACCTCTGCCTCAAAGTTTTACAGAGGTTTTCCTTTTCTCTACCTCTATCAGCAAATGCTCTCTTCTCAGACCCCCTCCATGTCGCATGTGCATGTCATGGCACCCTCTAATTCTAGGGCTGTAGAAGCTAAGAAAAACATATGATCCATAAACATTGCAGCGAGGGCAGCATGGTCATTGATTTCAAACACCGCTATCACACGCTGACAGCCTGTCCATCCATAGTAAAAGCCTTAGAGTCTTCTTCCATCATCATCAATATGTCTTAGGTGGTCACTCTTTACCACGGGCGAGACGAAACAGTTTCTTGAAGAATCCCGAAGGATGAATAGAGGCAGACAGACTTAATAAAACTTAGTCTTCTTCACGAGGGACGTAGTTCTCTATAGTTGAGCTAATGGCTGTCGATAATTTTAATTGCCGGTCTTCTTTGTTGCTGTGTAATCATCATCATCGTCACGTCTCGAGTACAAGTAGTCATCCTGAACTACCTACCAGTAGCTGAAGTAGTCGGTATCTCATTTACAAACATGAGCGGTAGTCACCACCAAAAGAATAGCCACCACCATAACGGACGCGCTTGCCTTTCTCGTTGGTAAATTCGTTCGATATGAGACACTGAGCGATCGTCTTCGTGGTGCTTGTCCCACCTTCTTAGACAGGTGAGGAAAGTATCGAGAAGATTGTTTTCCTTTATTTTGGGACATATTTCCGAGCCTTACATGCTAAGCCTTTTAGTTTTACTCTCGGCTGTTATTCGTGCTAAGAAGTATTTCCATGTGTTTGGTTGGTGCTGTCTGGTTGGACAATCTAAATTAATATTTATTAGTATTACTCTGTTAGTCCTCCACTTAGAAGTAGCACGACATCTTTTTGGAAACGTTTTCTTCTTTTCCTAAACTTCATCAAGATTCAAGATGATGAGGATGACCTGAAACACTGGAAGAAATATTAAGGCGTGCGCCCCTGATGTCATTATTCTGAATGACCGTAGGAACGAATTCTGAGATTGTTACCGGTTGCCCGAGACACTAGCAGAAAGAAATTACCCGCTAGGTAGATGAGAATCAGATGCCGTTACGATCCACGTGGTGCAAAAAGTGGCGTATTATTACTCTAGTAGTATTAGTAGTAGTAAACCCATTCTTGGGGTACAACTTGTGTTCTTGATGCTTGACGGTACTACTTCCACCCTTAACCTTCTGCACCAGGCAAGTCTACCCTTTTCAGACCGTGGAGGGTTGATTCTGGCCACTGCGGCCGAGCCTCTCGAAAACCAAACGACTCGTCAACATTAGCGCTATGCGAGAACTATCCGTGGCTGAGTGAGGCGCCTGTTTGTTTTTTCCCCTTCCTGCTACTACATATCTATATATTATATGTACTTACCCATTCCCTCAAAAGTCGAAACTAGCCTTAACGAAATTCGCGCACACGGGCTGCTCCCGTGGACATGTATCACCAGCAGAGGCGCCTCGATTAGACGCTACCAAGTATAGCACACGAAGATGTTAATAACAGCGACAAGTCAGCTGATTTCGTTTATATACCCTGACGCCTGCTTATGCTTTAGCTCTTCAGATAGAATGCTACTACCCCAGTGGGTAGAAGTTCATGATCTTGAAGCTTCACTTCTATTAGGGCAGAACCGGAAGTAGACGCCAACACTTCTACAACTAAGTACTTGATCTGTAGGTCGGTCCTAATGCTAGAGTTGTTCTTGGACTTCGTCTGAATTGTGTGTAGGGCTGCCCTAACTAAGAAAGAAGGAAACAGGGGAAGGAAGACGTAAACAAAACCAGAGTGAGCTCAAGAAAAATGCAGACTAGGCCAATACCAATCAAGATCTTCTTGTCGCTTCGAAGCATTCAAGCCGAATAAGAATAATTATGGAGCTGCTTCGCGCTTGTGAGTGGCCTTAACTTCAAGCGACTTTTGACGAGCAGTGAGCAGCTGGTCGACCCAGTAAGAACCAGCGACCTGCACATCCACGTCATCGAAGGCATTGTCGAGAGCAGCACTAATTCTGCTGTCTTAGAGCTCGATAAGCAATTCTTCCTTTCTTCAATTCATAATTTCTGCACTATCTATTCCAAGAAGAAAACTGCAGAGAAAGCTGACCTCTTGTGGATATGACATACAATGAGCCTTAACTGGTTGCGGATGGTAAAAGATGCTCGTCCTTTTTCAGTTCACTCTTCGTCTTCCCCAGTTTCTCCTTCACATTTGGCACAAAAACGCGTCCAAAATTACCGTCACCAATCTCGCACACCGCTAGTCGCTTATTATCGTTCCAGTCCTTCGCCTGTTCTTCCTCCGCTTTTGCCTCGTCAGCACGCCGGAACATTTTCAAATTAGAAGACGCACATTATAGTCATCATCGTCTCAAATGACAGACTCCTGTAGACCTATTTTGATCTTCTATCGATCAATGACAGACTCCTGTAGACCTATTTTAATCTTCTATCGATCAATGATAGACTGTAGACCTATCTTAATCTTCTATCGATCATCAACTTTTACTATCATCTTCTTCCAATTTGCTCGGTAAGTAGCATGAACTCTAGCAAAATCCCGAGACCTAATGTACTCTTCCACGAGACCGTCTCGTACGTCGTCGGCTAAGGCCCCCTCTTCCTTCAACACTTGCTCAGCCGATGCCGTCAAGCTCGCACGTTGCTTGAAAGACTCGGAAAAATATGAACAGTGGCGGACGTTCATTTCCCATCTAGCCAGAAGAACATTACCTCCACCAGTGACCCTTTGAGTAGCAGTACACTTCAAAGCGTCCGCTAGTGACCCTTGTTTGAGTAGTAGGTTAGGTGAGGTTGTGGATCCTTCACAACGAGCCCCACGGGCACATGCTCGCCTCCGTAGCGTACTACACTCTCTTTAAGGTAAGAGCTACTTAAAAGCGAGATACGTAAAGGCGTATCAATCCTCGCCTAGCGTACTTCTTAAAGGGGAGCTGCGAAGCTCTGCTAGATGCGATTTGAGTGAGTCAGTGTACCCACTCCACGACAGGTATGTCAGCTAGACTACGCACTACACTACCACAATGGTACCATAAAAAAGCAGAGTCTGCGATGCGTGGACTGATCGGTACCCAGTTGCGAGGAAAAGCTGGAGTTTCGAAAGCCGCGTACCTCCTATCAACGTTCTTCACTGCATACTTTTTAGAGCTAGTAGACTACATTCTTTAGATATGAGCTAGTTCATCCTCTTTAGATATGAGCTAGTTCTAGGAGTTGTCTCTAGATAAGCTAGAACTAGCTGGCTAGATTTAGTACTAGAATCCTAAGCATATCGAAGTTCTTGTGCTGGATAGTCAATAGTTAGGACCCCCCCAGCATGCGTGTTGGGGCATGCTGATGGGACCTAAAGCCTCAGCATGCCGGTAAGATCAGTGTCCGAGTTTATGCTAGTAAGATCAGTTAGGACACCCTCAGCATGCTGGTATCATGTGAGTATAATCTCTTGGGCAGCTATGCCCTGACATCAAAAAGATTGAGCCAAGGTCTTTTGTGTAGTTTTCATCCCCGTTGTTTTTCATCAAGCCATCATACTTGTTGATCATAGAAAAAGCAAGAACTTGTGGTCAGCTCATATAATATTATGTACAGAAAACTCTCGAACTTCCTAGATCGTATGTGCTCCTCTTATAGTATTAGTAGTGGCCAAATACGTTCATACCAAGTAGGAATGATAAACTGGCGACTTCATCTGACTTCTTGGGTTTTCCTTTTACAATATGGCTCCAAATAAATTTACTGTAAGTACTTAGTAGACTTACAAGCTCTTAGGATCAAAAAGCCATAACCTTTCTTGGGTCTTGAACACGCTTAGCAGGGTCCGCAGTTACTGCCGTCACGATCGGATGCAACGGAAATGAAAAGGGGCGGTGGGAAGATGGAATATAGATGAAAATTACAATTGTATCCGAGTAAATGAAGGGAGTTGGAAAGTAGATGAAAATAGCAACTACTTTGTCCTAAGAGTATATGTGGGGTGGATCAAGTTAGTCTCTTATCCACCAGGAGGGATCCCAAAAGCTGAATAAACCTAATAAATTAAGTTGAGAAGCATTCCGCAGATGCCTCATATCCTAGAGAGATGGCTGTTATGGAGGAAGAGATAAAAAACATAACCCTGATGTCGCTGTTTACATTTGCTTGGATGCTAGGGTCCTCAACTAGCGGCGTCCTTGATCCTCAAGAAGTCCCCTCACTCTGTATTCTCGAGTTAAGTACTTCATCAAAGTGCAGCAGAGTTACAATACAATACAATACAATACAATACAATACAATTAATCTCGCTTTTTTTTTTTTTGTATCGTGAGCGAGTTCCGATAAATCAAAACCTACCTGCGTATTTTGCAAGCGAGTTCCGATAAGTCAAAACCTGCCTACATATTTTCTCGCTTTTTTTTTTTGTAGTGCGAGCGAGTTCCGATAAGTCAGAACCTACCTGCGTATTTTCCGCGTGGATACCGGCACAAAGTTCAGTGCAGACTGCCTTAAGGGCGTCATAGAAAAAATTATGATAGATGAGTTAATACCTCCCTACACGAAATAGTACAAGAGAGATTAAGTAAAAATAAAATTGCATACTCTCTGGTTATATCAGATAGAACAATCCGGCACGTATTTAGTGTGTGCGGTAGATGTCCTCTCATGGCGTAGCAGGGTAGATGTCCTCTCACCATCGAAACTATTGTTATTTACATCAAATACTACGTACTTTACAAATACAATAATATCGGTGGAGCACGCCTATCTAGGAAACAAAAAAATTGAAAAGAATCATCTAAACCCATACTTATTACAAATACAATAATGCTAATAGATACACGGTCAGAACATAAGCGAAGGAGGTCTTTCCTGCCCGGATGAAACACGTGTGCTTTCGCGATAGCAGGGAGCTGTTTTCCCAGGGTCCCAAGGATAACGCTAGAGCCTCACTATCTGTGGCTGAGTTGTGATTTTGATTGGTTTCTTTCCTTTTTAACAGTACGACCAAGGGCGGATAGAGAAACTTCCAACCCTATTTTTATAGAAATCAAAGCACGAGACTCCGCACGGCGGTGCCGGTTGCATCATCTTCTTCGGTGCGTCCCCCTCTTTTAACGTGATGGCGATAGTACGCAATCTTCTTTACTTACGCCAGATAGTGAGTGTCTAACCGTAACAAAGGACTTCGGATTCGCGCTCAGCTCGTCCAGGCTTATGTATTGCTCCGCGTCGTTACTCTCCAAAGCCGAGTCATTAGAACGCTAAAAGATTTAGACTCTTGCTGGTAATGATAATTCATGACTCAAGAGGAGACGCAAGACAAATGGTCGACGATGGGTGTAATAGAACAAGGGACCATCGCCAAATAAGTGATCTAGATCTTATACATAATACGCAAGAAAAAGATCATACACTTCTATCTTCACCAGAAGAGATACGACTTAGAGAAACTGCTAAGCCCGTGGGGTTGAAATTAGACGAAGACTCAGACCACAAGGGCTGACTTTTTCCTTTATTGTTTTCGGTACCTCTTCTCAAAAAATAATGTGGTTGGCAGTATTCCCTCCTTAATGGGTGTTTCTTTTTCTTTCTTGTCCGCGTCCGAGGTAAACTGACTGAAAGGCGACGTCTCAACCTTACAAACAGCTCCGGTATTTTAGAACGCGTAAAAGACGCTCATCTTGATATGAATTTCAAGCATATGAATATACAGAAAATATTAGCTCTCCTAGTAGTCCCGTACCTCTCCTACCTAATGTAAAATAGTCTCAATCTCTTACACATGAAACACTGCCGACATAGTATCGGCAGTCTTTTACCTGATGTAAGTTCACAGCACTGCCTTCACGCAACAAGTCCTAAGTGCACACAACCCACTTGTTGGGTACAACATAGGCACCACTCTCCTTGTCCGCAGCTCCCTCCCGCACAGATCGTAAACCGCGCCCCAACGATTCGTAATCTGCTGACAAGTGCGCCCTTACCGCATCCGCTTCCGCTTCGGACACAACTGCTTCCTTTAGCGACAGAAGCAGAACAACTTCTAACTAAGCATGCAAGTAAATAATCGAACAAGTGCATCTGAGCAAGTAAATAATCGAGAGCAGGAAAGTAGTACTTATGTGAGCAGGAAAGTGGCGTATGACCAAGTAATAAATTGAGTGAGCACATAAGTGTGTGAGCAAGTAACTAAGCGGGCAGCTTCGTAAAGTCATTTCATCATCATAGGATCAGTCGCATTGTAGGTCCTACACAATCGGGTGAGGTAGGTCCTAACCGGTAAGTCTCACGTCTACCCGAAGGTAAGCAAAGGGACGAAAAATTTCGAAATCGAATCTAAATCCATGGGATGGAGACTTCCAAAAGGCTCCGGTAATCAGCACTTATGTCAACTCCACGTAGGATGATAAAAGCGTAGCCGTAATGGAGTTTCGCTAGCAGCTGGTGCTTCTGCTTGACCAGTAACAACAGTTGGTGGGTTAGCAGGCGCCTTTTGAGTACTTCGCGCTTGAGTACTGCTGCCGAGTACGTTGGAACTAGATCCTGTTTGAATTCGAGAATTCTAGCTGGTTTCTGATGTTGAATTCACGAACCTACTCTGAGGCCACACAGTGACTCTGAGGTCACATAAAAATCCATATTATTTCGAAAATTTTTTACTGTCTATCATGAGAATGCGTCATGAGTTGTAGGCATATTGAATTTGTATTTTGTCTCTTTGAAGATGCGAGGAATCTATTCAGCTGTCTGCCTACGAATTTTGTCGCATTAAAAATATCATTATATCCTGAATCATTATACCACTTCCTCCTCCTGCGCCCGTAGTACTGGCAGCGGCCGCCCTGGCAGTTGGTGCGCCCGTACTGGCATCCGAAGAACCGCAGGAACTTTCCCTACACACCTCGACGAGAGACGCCACTGCATTAGACCGGTCCCTAGTTCAACATCCCTGTCGAGAAAAGATCCCTCAAGATGAGAAATATGCCTCAGCGTCTCCCTTGATGTATTTGGGTGCATAGAGGCACTTGAGGACTCTTCCCTACATTGACAATATATCAACTATAGATTAGCAGTACAATATAATATTGTACTGCTAATCAATAGTTGAAGATGCAGACACTAATATTACTAGTTCTTGGATCCTCCCACCTATCGAAGAAGACATGGACGATTAGGGAGAGCCTTAACTGCACCTTCGTTGCCCCACCACGCCAACATGCGCCTCAATGGCTCCTCTCCTGCGCCTGCGGCAAACGGCGCACTGGACTGACTGTACATCGCGGAAAAACATATTACGGCAACAATTAGAAGAAGATATGTCATCTTGTAAAGCATATCACTAAAACAATTAAGTACTTAGAGAGGGATTTATCATCTACTAATCTATCTTGACAATCTTAGTTGATCTTAATCTTTCACAACATCTTTTATAATGCACCATAATCTGATAATTTTGACTCTACACATCAATCTTTCAAATTGTATTACTTAATAAGTTGAACTTTTAGTAAAGCATACTGCAACGTCTAGTAGAAGATATTTATTTAGAGAACCCTTTAGAGAACTTGGATTCTTTTCTAATCATTTTTGTAGCAAATTGCAGTGTAGCCAGCCATAAAAACACGAGAACTGTGAGGCCGCAGAGAGCCCCAGTCCTTCGGTAAAATACACTCGATCCTTCTTCGAAGATTTTTCTCCACGGACGAGTCCACCAGCTGCTCTCGGCATGCTTAGAAAATTGTAACATCTTCTAAAGAAATCTTGATCTATTTTAGTTTTGTCTCTGTAAAAATCGAGCATGTCTTTCTCTGGTCGTGCTTCTGGAAAGGAAAGTTACGAGCCGCGGAATAGCAATTTACGCTTCTTCATGCAAAAATTGTATGCGTAGCCGGCAACTGGTCTGATACAAAGATATGTCAGCCATGGCGCCTCTTGTGATGTAGCTATTTCTGTCTGCTTAGAAGGCCACTCAGTGAAGTTCTAGACCGATGATTGTCCTTTCCTGTACAACATAGACATGACTTTTTTCACAAATAAAAGTCATAACTTTTGCAAGAGCCGCTCTCTTCCGAAGTGCATCGCGTGCTTTTTCGATCGATCGGTCACGCTGTGAGTTAGAGCTGTAATCGATCCTGATACTACGTACATGTTAATTGGGGGTCCTATTGATGGCTACGTACAAGATGAAAGTGGTCCTATCAACCGACATGTGTTTGTGGTGAAGCCAGCCTAACTAGAAAAAAAAATATCAACAGACATGGATATATGTTCCAGGGCGCGGGGCGGCGGCCCCCTTTTTCAGGCGTCTGCCAGGGGTGGAAGGCCTCAAAAGGGGGCCCAGTGACCTCCCCCCCCGTTCCCTTCCAGCTGCCTGGCTGTTCCCTAGGAGCCTCCGATGATGGTGGGAGGCTTCAAAAGGGGCCCACGGGACCGCCTGCGCCCCCGTCCACATGCCTCCCTGTGCCCTAAGTGCATCCGTTAGGCTTCCCCGCCGCAGCAGTGCGCCGGCAGCGGAAGGCCTCCGAAGGCGGCAAAAGGCGAGGGGCTGGACCCCCTGAGCCGTGCCGCCTGTACCCTACGGGGGCCCTTGGTCATCGGATTGCTTGCGCTTGTCACCGTGGCCGCCTTCGGCAGCCTTTTACCCCGGAGACCTCCCGCCTGCGAGGGTCAGCAGAGGCCAGGCGGCCCCTTCGGAACACGCTGAGAGGCCCAAGGGGGGGCCCGCTCCAAGTTTTGACGCCTTCCACCACTAGAATCCGCGGAAAAGCGCGCGCGCGCGCCACCACAGACCATACCACAGGGGGGGCGTACCGGGCCGCCTTGAATCATCTATAATTGATGGATATGGCATTTAATGTTGTTCCCCTTCTGATGTTGACTCTAAAAAACAGGGAAAAAAAGGCAAATCAATGCATGTCCTCTATGCATATGTATACTTATGCAGGGGTCCTCTATATGTAGTGGCTTGCTCAATTAGCATTCTTTGCAGATCGTTACCCATAACGGATAGAAGTGGTGAGGCTTCCTCCATCTCCAAATCCCGATCCTCACGCTGGTCCTCCATATCTCGGTCCTCCCGCATCTTCGCCATTGACAATCCGTCACCTCCTACTTCAAATTGAAAGCTGGAGCGGCACACTCAACAGTTTTCATGAGTGTAGTATTCGCGTATGTGTAGATGAGCCAATCGATTCCGTCATCCATGTTGTTCTTGCTGCTTAGTAATGCGACATGTTGATGCGTAGCCAATGGTATATCAGTCCGCACTATCTACTACTGGCATAGAAAGAGAAAAAAGTCACCATCTGTTACATGTGACCATTTTCAAAAGTTAGCATTTATCATGATTTGTGAGCATCCATCAGATGGCGTTGTTGACTCTTCAACTATACCACAGCCAGTTCATTCCGACAGTTACTCTAACCGATCCTTTTAGTGCGTATTTCGTAAACACTCAAATGTGGTACGCCATTGTGAAACTAGCATTCTTCGGTTTTTACTTCGTCTCATTTCTGTTTTCCTGTCAACTCTTTTCATCGACGTCCTCTGTACATTGACTTTCCTTTTTCTGGGTACAGGGATTCAGGGGACACAAAGGGGGGTGTACTTTTCTATTAGAGGTAGGAAGCGATACCGACGTAAGTAGAAGTTAATAAACAGCCAATCTACAACTTACTTTGGTCAAACTAACTTTTTCCCTAGTCGATTCGGTCGCATCTTTCACTTTCTGAGCTGCTCAAACTTCTCTTAGTTCTCACCGAAACAGACTTCATCACTTCAGGACTACAGCCTTCATCCCTTGGAAAACACTGATCACCAGGATCACCTCGAGACAGACTTCCGAAGTCTGACTTCACCCCTGTAGGACGACAAAGTTGATTTTTTCATCCCGTAAGAAAGCTCGTCTACGCGAACGGTCATCAATGTGCGTGCGAAACAAATACCTATTCATTGTAATTCTTGTACTCATTATGTGTACCTGTGCTCGTGTTGAATGCGAAATATCTATTTAAGTATCCATAATGTTTTTGTGCATAGACTACAAAGGAATAAAGGTAGCTGTAAAAAACTCCCAAACTTTCAGTCTATTTTTTGACGACCGAGAGAAGTGCCGCTTGTTTCCCTCCGGAGGGCCTGGACCAGACTTATTCTTACCGCACCAGCGACGACGCAGCCGAAGAAAATAGGCAGAAAAAAGCCCAAACTATGTTGACTAGCATTTGTATTTTGATGCAAGGATTCCTCGTGAAGACCTCCATGCGCGCTCGCTTCTCCTCTGACGTTCAATCCTATGTCCTGAGAGATCTGAATCTGGTTCAAAGACTGCTTCGTGTCCTTCTCGTGAAGATGCGATCTCCCTTTGCTCCTGAGATCGTCTAGTTGGTGCGAAACAAAGACGCCCTGTAGATAGTTTCCGGCCGCATTGCCGATGCTCCACAACGTCATCATATTCGCCAAAACCTTGCCCTTCGGTTCGCTGCTCGAAGTCGTAAGAAAAGCACCGAAGTATACCGTGAATGCGTTATTGCACGCCACGACGCAGCCCCAAACCGCAGTCAGAACACAATGCAATGTATGAAAATCAAGATGAGGGAGAAAAGTCTTCTTTCATGTAGAAGCAGGTCTATGAAATCAAAAACATTCAGTATCTTGGCAGTGAAAACAACGAGACATATTTTCTTCGCAAGTAGATGAATAGCAGGCGCTGCCAATTTCTGAGTTGTTTGACTACTCCCCCCATGCTAATATTCTCAAAATTCTTCATATAAGTACTTTTCTCAAAATTTCATTTACTTCGTTGTTCTAGAAGAAACTATAAATATTATGCGGCCATATAAGGTCATCAGCAGCACTGGCACATAGTCCAGGAACACCGCCTCCCGTAGTCCAGGAGTACCCGGGTCCTCTTTCTGTAGTGGCAAAACCCCAAGGCTTCCCAAACGCGGCAAATTATCATACAATAACAAAACGAGACCGAAGCCGAAGGAGAGAACTGTTTGCGCGATCATTGACCGCTCTACGTTCTTTACCAATTTCGAAGACCCTGCCGAAGTCCGACCACTTCCTGCTAGCGTGCCGTCACCTCTGCCATCCTCATTTGATGTGGAGCAACTGCTCTTTTTGTCATCTCTTGAAGAAGCCGCTCTCCTTCGCGAACCAGCACTGTCATCGCCACCACTGCTTATCGTGTTTGATGTCACGTCGGTTCTCGATGAAGAAATAGATGTTGACGTAGGAGTACCTTTCGTGTCCTCAGTTTCAACAGTGCTTGTTGAAGATAATGTTGCCTTGCTGCTAGAGTTAGTGTCCTCCTCTACTTGAGCTGAGAAGTATACAACTACTACATTCGACAAGACCGGCCCCAGAGTGCCTCCTAGCTGCACGAGGGAGTTGATTTGGAGCCACATGCTCGCACTGACTCTCTTCAATATTAGAGGTTGCGGCGTTGTTTTCTTCAGATCATTCTTGACTCCTTTCCCACTGGAAAGAAGGTCAAGAATGGTGGTGAAGGGGTCAATTTGATAGCCCTTAAGAATAATACTGGCAGCAACACCGACTGAACGGGATAGAGAAAAAAGTTGGTCACCATCGTATTCAGCATCAGAATCCGTCGTATGCGCTGCTCCTCTGTAGAAAGACCACCAGGTCGCAGGAATTTGGTTTTTTCCGACAAGTAGTTTGCGACGCGCGAAGAGAGGGAGAGCGAATTTAAGACCTCTTCTCCTACATCTTAGACTCAGGCCTTAAATCGATATTTCATGTCTTCCCGAGAATCTCCCAAAGAAGAATCCTGCTTAATCTACTCAGGCGGAAAAAGCAGAACAATTCCACCTGCGGACATGAATCATCCTGAGGACGCCCTTCTACTTGCCGTAAGTGTCCCTGTTCGTGGTGGTCCTCTCAGTGCTTCTGCTCTTGTCCTCCTCACTGGTACAACTACTTTGCGTACTCGACGTTTCCCCAGCATGGCTTTCCTCTGCACCGTGTGCCTGACTATGAGGAGGATGTGTTCTACTCTTGTCCTCCTCACTGGAGGATTCTTTTCCGGATGAAGGAGCTTCATCCAACTCTCTCGCACTTCTACTACCGGAAGTTGCTGAGCGCGTGAACCATATCATCATGGGCAGCTTGCCCACAACTCCGGTTGCGTGGAAGAGCGCCAAGGCCAGCCAGAAGGACACGCCCTGAAAGGGCAACCACGGCGCCAACATTGCCAGCGCTGTGCTTGAAATGCTTCGAGTGATTTTCACCACCGACGTATCGCAGGCTTGTAAAAGCAGCATATCGGATTCAGACAGGCCGAGCTCCCCCGGGACAGCAGAGAGCACTAGGTTACCACAGGCGCCTAGACTCGTACCAACTAGGTGCAAAATGACCACTCCTGCAGCTGGGGAACTGCTTGCAGCAAGTAACCGGGTAAGGAACGGGGTAAGGGACCATGCATCTCCTGCTCCCGTATCCTCGTAGTGCTTCTTAGCGTTTCTAGGAGGTATACTAGAAGACTTCTAATGAATGCTTATAAAATCTAAAGCAACTACCTTTCATCTGCCACCTTCTGGTTCACTGTCCACCACTATATCTCAACGCAGCACCGTCTTCAAGCTCTGAGAAAACGAAGACATTGGAGGTGGCGCCACCTCTCTTACCCTGTCCACGCGATAAGTAGTAGTAGCGTACCCAATCATGGGGTATAGAAGAAGTTAATTAGCAAGATAAAATGAGCATGACAGCACCTTAACTTTGTTAATGTAGCTGCTGAGTATGGGCTCCACATAAGTTAGGTCGATTGGATTCGACGCGACCAGAAGAAACAAGGCCACTAAAACGATGTCGAGGCTGAGAAAAAGCGCGAGCCCTCGGAATCTGCGACTGTGCTGGTGGTCTGTCGGCTTCGTTGTATTCATCAATATATCATTTGGAACTCCACCGGGAACTCCTTTTCCTTCTAACTTTTCGTTTGGGCTCGTCTTGCTCCTCGATGAGTTGGCGCTTCTCCTCGTCGACGCGATTTTCCCGACCCCAACGTCTAATGTTAGTCCTAACCAAGAAATTCTTCAGGATATACATTTACTTAGGATGTTGATGTTGTTCACCGGAGATGATTATATCAACTGGCAGTATGGATTAGATTAGATTAGATGGGCTCCTGCTTCAGCCCTGCGCTGCAAGCGCCGGATCTCCATATACTCTTTTCCATGTTTGTACTGAGTAAACAACACCATCAGGGTGAGCGGCCATAACAGTACGATGTCAATGAAATATCCGGACAGTTGCAGTATGAAAATCCGAAACAAGCTGCTCCAAGTCTGTGAATTTGCGAAAAGAGCCACGTGATTCCGCGACAGGAGTTCGAATTGGCAAGCACGCGTAAACACGCTTGTGCCAAAACGGAAGACAAAACTCCCATACACGAAACAGTAGACATCAAGTCGACAAAAGCGAGAACTGCGACTCATTTTTTGTCCTTGTGCCGCGTATGGTTGTGCGTATGGTTTAGGCTAAACAGGACTGTCTGGCGAACCCCTTCATAATAATAATAATTTTTTGTCCTTGTGCGTATGCTAGTCGTATTAAGGAACAAGTTGTTGTAGGTTGTTGACTTGATTTCTTGTTCTAACCATCTAGATCATCGGCTAGTTGTAAGCTCGCAGATGCATGGTCCCTTGAGAGATAGATAGGTTGGTAGATCTAGATACATAGGTCGTAGTAATCATTTACGATTTATCATTGACAAACAGGATGATTTATATGGTGCTACTAGTACCTTCATAAGAACTTTTGAAGCGATTCAATTTAGCGTTTTTTCAGACCCAAAGCCGACCTGAAGACGATGTTTATACCAAGCATGGAGAACTCGACTCAGCAAGATAAAAATTGTTCTTCTAAAACGATGGTGTGGAGGCGTATAAAAATGTATAGCGACTCTGGTGACGAGTCTGATACAATTAGTACAAGTACTGTCAAACCTAAAGATAATCCCGCGCAGTTTCAAAAACAAGACTTTCCCTAGTGCAGATACTTCCCGAACGGTCCTCAGGTTCGTGGACCTTCATTTTTCACCTAGTTAGATACCTCTCATGTTCTACCGATACCAATCACATACGCCAGCAGTGCTTGCTCGCACTTGTTTTTTGAGAACGGTCTGCTCAATGAATCTAGTCAGATAATACCACCAGGGATCTTGACAGCACCCTGACTCACACATCAAAGAAATTGTGATGCAACGATCTGAGAAGTGTAACATCCGCTACTTGCTCTGTGTGCGACTGCGTGCTTACTATTGGTACTCGCATGCGAACCGAGAACCACTCCGAGAGCAGGAACAGAAAATTTGATGCATTCCTAGGTTCTTCTGATGTAGTCGTAGTGGAGGAGGGGACTTTTCTCAGGACGTAGAAGTCGCAGAAGATCTTGGATTGTTTACAAGACTTTATCATGGGACACCAGGTGCGTCATGCAGTCCCAGGTGGTCAATGGTACTAAGAAACTACGCAGCATCCTCATCATCGTCTGGAGGTGACTTGTTTATGGTCGTCGGGTCAACGGGGTCGTTGCCGAACATCTCGTGCATTCGTCTCTCCATTTCTTCGTCTTCTTCATCCTGCTCCGGACGTGCTTCCCTAGCTTGTGAGGGATCGAAGTTTCTGCTTCTGAAAACTAGTTCCAGAAAGCGTTTATCACTAGCACCAGCCAGTGGCTGTCCCTTCTGATCTGAAGAAGAATCATTAGAGCTCCAAGCATTTCATTTCTTGCGCACATTTCTCCCAATCCTACGAAGGAAATAAGGCGAAATGGCTTGTACGAGTGAATTGCTTTGAGCCTTAATAGTAGTAGTAGTTGTGGTTGTCTTCGCTACTGCTTGGTCTTTGGAAATTGAGTTGTCCCTAGTACCATCCTGACCTTCTAGTGCGGCAGTCGTTGCTCCTGCTACAGCACCAGCCCCCGCTGTCGTTGCTGCATCCTCTTCCTTGTCTTCGGACTTGCGCTGCCAGGAAGAAGCACCTAGAAATTCCTGTAGGTGACTCTCCGTAAAAAGTCTACGCAGCTGCCACATGAAAACTTTGTCATTCTTCACGAAAAACTCCGCTTCTACACCACTCTCGCCCGTCTCGTCCGCGATCAGACGTTCAATAAAGTCGTCGACTGGTGCTGGAACTACTACTTTCGAAGGTGTTGGGATTCCATCGACTAAGATATTCTTGTTAATACCACCTGCTCCACCACTACTAGCACCTCCACCATCCGTCGCGGCCTTTACTGCGCTTCCCTCTAAAGAAGTTGGCGCTGCAGGCCGACTGCGAAGCGCATCCAACAGCGCACGATGGGACGCAGGACGCTTGCGGAGTGCGGTACCGAACCTCTCCTGGAAGCCGAGGTAGCTACCGCTGCCACTACTATACAAATTGCCGCCGGGTGCATTCGAAACGCCTCGCGGAAACAATTTACGATCCCTCACGCCGGGCAGCGTCGGGTCCTGTTGTAATCGAGTTGTTTATCCTCGGATGAACAAAGCGGTGCAAAATTCCTTCATAATGATCATGAAATCTCATGAAGTCTACGTCACACAGCAACACAAAAATCATCTTTCGGAGATTGATTATATTCACAAGTAACTGATGCAAACAAGTATCTGATGCAAGAAAGAACGCAAAGATATTTATTTCATTGATCTAGTATCAAAAGAGTCAAAACTAATCTAGTATCAAAACAGTCAAATGCAAAATTGTTTGTTTGTTTGTTTTGTTCTACTCATAATAATCATGATGTTCATGATGTCACATGGCAAAAAAACATCTATGTAAAGTTGTACATAGTTTGCTTGTCTTTTCCAGTTTGTCCAGAACTGTTCGGTGATAAGGTCATGGTGGAGCGCTTTCGCGAAGTTAGGGTCCACGCTGCTCAGGATCTGGAAAGCCATCTTCCTCATTGCCGCAACCTGCTGAGAAAGCTCCGTTTGCTTGGGCTTCTTTGTCGTCGGCAGCGCCAGCCGGTGGCAGCTGCGCTGCGGCTCGCTCGCCTGCGCACAACGGCGGCTGTCGTTTTCGAGCGCATGGAAAAAGATGATCACTTGGACACAGAACCACAGGTGGAATTCGGGAGAGTGAATTTGCACTTGAAACCGCTCTGCGTCGCAGGCAAAACCATTGGTCGGGAGACGCACGTGGAGCGGAACGTGCGGCTTTGCTCCGTCGCGGTACACACTGCTGGTACAGCTGCCCTCTAGAGGTTTTAGGTGCTTTTTCAGTAATTCTGACAAGTTCTTTGCGAATTCCGTCCACGATTTCGGCGGAAACAAGGCGTCCCTCGTATTGCCGGCGGAGCACGCAGCGGCCGCATTTTCTAATTCCGCCAACATCTGGTCTGCATTCAGTTTGGGCAAGACCACGTTCCACAGCAGATGGTGCACGTCGGAGTTAGACGTCAGGGATTCTGTGTAGCTGCTACGCGTGTCGGACACCCGCTTGCTGCTCACGAGCTGCATCAACTCGCGCAAGCTGCGAGGCTGCAGCTCCTTCACCAGAGCGGCTGATCGCTCGACGCGCCGCCGCTTGGCGCGATAAACCTCTGCCGGATCTTCTTCCTCTGCCTCTCCGTCTGCTTTGCCTCCTCCTGAGGCTGCAGCTGCTCCACGTTTCGCAACAGCACCTGTAGTACTAGTTACTTCGGCATCGCTGGACACCTTGCTGTCCGCGGCTTCTCCTGTCTTCCCCTCTTTAGAAGAAGCTTGTTCCTTACCGTCTGCTGTCTTACCATCTGCCGTCTTGCCATCTTCTTCTGCGGCTTCCTTCTTCCGCTTCGCTGCCGCAAGCGCCGCAGAGACCGCTTTGCGCTTTGACACTTCTGCGGACTGCAGCTTCTGCAAGTGGCTTTGCAAGGCGCGCATGTCCGGAAACTTCTGCAGAACGCTAGCACGCTTTTCGGCACTCAGACGGTTCAAGAACTCCTCTGCCGAAACCTTCGTCTTGTCCCACGACCTCGCGGTTTTTGCTTTATTTGTTCCTGTCTCTCCAGTGGTTGTAGTTGTATTACTAGCGTCTTTAGTTGTAGTAACTTTAGCACCAGTTGTAGTAGAACTTGAGGCTGCTGCATCTCCTACAGCATCGTCCTTTTTCTTGTCACCAGAACCTCCTGTTGTTTTAGTAGCAGTACTGTGCTCCGCCTCTTTCAGGCCCGAAACGGCAGAGGCAATGGCAGAAGCTGCCTTCGCAGCATCCATCACCACCTTTGGCTTAGCTGGAGGCTTCTGCGCCTTCTGCAAGGCCTCTTCAAATTGCTCCGCGAGTCTCTTATCCCGCAAACTTGGCCAGAGCTCTGAGTTAGAGACTCTAGTACCGTTTTTGCATTCTTCGGATCCTCCTTGACCTCTTGTTTCCCATTCGGAAACTACAGGGCAAGAATGGTAGTGGTCAAGATTCAAGAATGACAAAAATATGGAAACCCTTAACTGCGGAAGAGATTTCAGGTGCACGCGTCACTCGTTGTATATTCCTGATCATCTTGTTTTCTAGCTCCAACACTGACTCTAGCACGTTCAGCGCATCCGCTATATACTCCTGCGTCACGGTCTCGGCACACCGATCGTAAGATGAACTCTGATTATGATCAGCGACTGAGATAGATCTACTCCCTGAACATGTGGCTGACGCTATCATTCCCGTTTTAGTACTAGAAGTGCTTTTTTTGCTTGCGTGCGCCTTTGAGAGCAAACTACGACTTTGCTGGAGTCGTTCCACGTAGACCTTGATAAAGTTTGCGGCCGAAAGACTTGCCCGGTATTAGAGCTCTCCCCTATTCATCCCTGTGGAAATCCCTCAATTGTATTGGGCGTCAGTATCTCCCTTGTATTGGGGCGCATACTGTCTTTGAGGGATCCCTATAGACGGGATGGATTAGGGGAAGTCTTAACGGTAGTGCGGGTTGAATACTCCGGCTAAGTCCTTCGAGAAGGAGGCGTTGAGACTCCGCGCGTCGACGGGAGGATTGTTGTTGAACTGCGACCAGCCGAACGGCGCGTTTGCGTGAAGGTGGAACCGCCCAAAGGACTCCCCTGGGATCGGATACAATTCGCGCACTACTTTCTTAGAGCTCAAAACCATTCATCTCTTACGTACATTTCTTCAGAATCCTAAGGAGGACATGGTGAGAAATGCCTCACAGACATAGAAATGAATTGTATCAAGCCTTATCTTTCACTTGCTCCGCCAAGGCTTGTTCCGGTGTCACCTCTTCCTCCTTCTGAGCCTCTTCTGGCAATGCGCTGTCCAGAAGCTTGTTTTTGGCAGCCGCGGCCTTCGAAGTTGTATTAGTAGTTGACGTGTTCGTGGTCGACTCATTGGTACTATTTTGCTGTAGTTGTCCTGCAGCACCGCTTTCATCTTTATCCTTTGATGAGGCATCTTTCTTCATCGACGCGACAGCTTCTTCTTTCTTATCCTTGTCTTTTCCGGCAGTGGCTTCGCCAGACCCAGCAGATGTTTCACCTGTGGTCTTGCCTTCCTTGGCTTCCTTGGATGTACTGCGACTTCCTGTTGCCTCTTTCTCTTTCTGCTCTTTTTCCGCAGCTGCAGCCTTCTTTTTCTGTTCCGCCTCTAAGGCTAGCCTCTTTTTCTCTGCCGCGGCCTCTTCCTGCTTTCGTTTCTTCTCCGCGTCTTCGCGTTTTTTCGCTTCAAGTGCTTCAAAGTGCGCCACGAATTTCTGCTCGACCAAGCCACGTTCATCTTCGCGCAACGCAACAACGTTCACTCGCTTTGTGACCAGATCGATGCGTTTCATCACTAGCATCAATTCCGTATGGAACTCGTGAAAATTACCACGCACCCGCACAAGCTCAATCAACAGCTCAAAAAACATCGTCACCGTCAAAATGTACTGTTGTTTTGGTTGGTTGGTTGGTTTTACTCTACTTCTCAACATTGATAGAGATAATTTGCAAACTATCTTCTTCTACTCAACAGCATCACTTCAAGGCCGCTTTTACTCTACTTCTCAACTAAAGACTCTAAGTAATAGATACCACATTGTATTCTCTGGCCCAGCGTGGTTTTTGATCGCCTTTCGCGCTATCTGGCTCGCTTTCCCTCGACCCCTTCGGCGACTTCGCCCTCAATCGATGGCTTGCAATCGACCCCAAGGCATTGAGTGCTTCCACCTCTTGCATTGTGCAGGGCTCTAGACCGTACCGGGAGTAGTCTACCGCGTGAATCTGCTCTACTAAACTACCAGCAGCACTAGCATTTATGTTTGACGCCATAGCTGGATCTTGCTGTCCCCTGGACGCCTGCTCTCTGCGACTGAGAAAGAGCCCAAGCTCAACACAGCCTTCGCCAAAACTAGAGATGAAACTTTGTGTGTCTACCTCGTCTGATGAGAGGTGCAGCAGTCGCCGCAAAACGGGCGCGAGAGTCTCCGTGCTCACGTGCTCCCCCGCGATCTGCTCGACCCGAGGGTGCTCGCGACGACGGATCATCTGCAAGAATCGAGGATAAAAATTCCTATTTATATGTATTTAAATATTTCAAGTTTATTTCATCTATGGTGCAGCATGATATCTAAAGAAATTCGCGATATCTAAAGGAATCGAAAATTCCACAAGCTCTGCACGTAGTACAACCTCCTTCTCGACGTGTGCTGTATCAGTATAATCTAGAAGTAGTATCTCGCGACGACGGATCATCTGCAAGAATCGAGGATAAAAATTCCTATTTATATGTATACGTAAATATTTCAAGTTTATTTCATCTATGGTGCAGGAGCATGATATCTAAAGAAATTCGCGATATCTTTTAAAGTAATAAATACATAGTAGCGATATCGAAAGTAATCTAGTAGTACCTGTGCTTCCGTATCCGCATGGTCGTGAACTATTGTGGCCACAACCTTGACAAATTCCTCACCACATTTTCGCCTGTCGTTCTCAACGCCACTTTGGACGAGCAGCTTCAGCCGCTCTTGCAGCTGCTCATGATCCTCAACAACGCCCATTTTCTTGTTCTTTATATAGGTGCTTAGTTCGAGGTAGAAGTTCGTAAAAATAATGGTGTCTTTTTACAGGGAGGAAATGCTTGAAAACTGAACGAGGATCTTCATCGATATATTAAATGTCAATATTTTACAACATCATGTAGGGCGAAGTATCTAAAGAAAAAGAAGACATTCATTCTACGTGGTCTTGTAGCTGGAAAAACAATACAGTGGATACGATAAAAAATTTGCTACAGAAACAGCGACCAAGAAATAAGCCATTATAGGGTCGAAAAGCAATGCGTTACCAAAAAAGTAGGCATGCGTAGGGAACTCTTTGTTCTAGTCACCATGGATTCAATGCGTCACTTTTTAACAATATCTGTCACTACGTATTTCTCTGCTCCTCAACGCCAGTAGCTGCAACATGATGATATCAACGCTCGAGTAGGAGACTCAAGACTGGATACACCGCTTATCGTTCAAAAGATTCTGATTTCGTAGCCTCTGCTTGGCGTTGCGCGAGAAAGGCTTTCATCTTCAGCAGTCTGATCGACCAGAGTACTAGTTGTGGAGTAAAGTTTTCATTTCAAGATCACCTGGAGAATGCGCCAGATCCTGAGCGTCCAACTACACCAGCACGAAGACTGGAGCAGCCATCCTTTCTATAACAGAGCAACACCAAGATATTCAACTCTGCAATTGTTTCTCGAGCGTTAAAATTCGCTTTGAGGATGCAAGCACAAGAATCATGAGGGAACAACTACAAAGTAAGGGAATGAACATCATCCTGCGAGCCAGGGAACATCATCCTGCGAGCCAGGTCTCGCTGTTAAAGGAGAAGCAAGACTAGACACATCGTCAAGCATTCGATTGGCATGACAGGATCATCTGCAGCAGCATTTTTCTGACATCTATTCGATTTGATCAAATACCAACCTTCAATACTGAATTTTCCTCCATTGCAGTGATTCATTGAAGTATGATCGGATCAATAAATTAGCGACATTGAAAAATACAACTTTGAACTTTCGCCATAATTACTGTGGAATAGGAAGGTCTCCCGGGATCGACATTGCTTTTCAACGACAATTGCAGTGGTATGAAGATAAATTTGAGATTTACATGCTATACATGCAAATGGGAACAACAACTTCAACCTGGTTCTTTTGTTTCCATCCAAACTCAGTATCTATTAGGGTTACGTCTACCGGGTTACGTCACATGGGAATGCCTCCATCGATGATTAGGTAGATACTGCATATGCAAATCTTTCAGCTTTGCTGAGACTATGAAGGGTTCTAAGAATCTATTTTCCATCCCCTATAATATGCGATGATGTAATTTTTATGTAATACAGAATGCATGTTGGCTAATATGGACAAATTAGAGGTACAAAATAAATTTGAATTTGGTGTTTGAAGGGTCTTTGAGGAGGAAAGCTGCACATGTCGAGTGGAAACTGAGCTTCTGAGCTTACGACCTACCAGAACGGCCGGACCTCCATGTCGAAAAAAAGGAAGAAGCTGAGGTCGATAATTCCTTCGACTGACTTTTGACGCTCCCCTGACTTGCTGGCCGTGCCGATGATGTCGGTGCTGCAGCCGTCGGTGCAGCTGCTGGTGGCGCCGCTGCTGGTGGCGCCGCTGCTGGTGGCGGCGCAGCACTCTTTCCGCCACAGGAGGCACCGGTACAAGTGTCTTTGCCCGGTACACCACAACACCACACGAACAGAACGACCAGCAAAGAGTTAGAGAGTGCAACTAGGCATTCTTTCTGGTTACTAAGTGACTAGTCGTAGTCCTCAGTGTATATTTGATTTTAAAGCTCACTATAAAGTATGATAGCCCCCTGTCTTAAGCAAGTCCTTAAAAATATTATCACAAAAAGCGAACCCCAAGCCTAGAGACGTAGGATCATTCTACATTTGCCAATGAATAATGATCGGATCAAGCTTTTGATGTTTCTTGTTTTTAGCTCTCCTCTTATTCTTGTTTTTCAAAGTTAAGGGCGAGCAACATAAGAATGACTCCAACGATGGTCAGGGCTGAGATCCCGCCCATGATCCATGAACGCTTATACTCGTAGCTCTCCTGGTGCACCTCTGCCTTCTCCAGTTTCACTATGCCCTGACCCACGTATTCGTCTGTAGCATCTACATTCGCTTCGATGGTAAGCAATTGCCAGGATTAGAAAGGTCAAAGTAGTGAAAACTACTTGACTGTAGAGAAGGTACGAACTTGTAGTGTTTCACAAAACAACATTCTTAGGACCACTGGGTTCTATATTTTCGCACCATGTTTCTTCTTGAATGTTTGTCTTATACTTACTGGAGAAAGATAAATGTATGTTCCACGAATAACTAGTGCTTAGCCTGAAATATAAGTACGTAAAGCAAAGCATCTAAATGTTCTAACTCTTGTAAAAAGCCTTAGTCATGCTGCCGATCGACGAGGGCGGAGAGATAGAAGAACAGCTCGTTGAGCTCTAGTTAGAGGTATCGGGAATTCATCGCAGGGATCATCTGGGTCCCTTTTTTCGCTTGTCTTTCTCCTCCAGATGACTTTGGAGATGAATTCCCTGCACCCATAATCTAGGACATCTTCCTGTAATTTCAGTAGAGAATCGTGCTGGCCTCGTAGCGTTCGCACTGACTCCTGCAGCCCACGCTGATTGGCATCGTTGTCACTAACTTGGATTAGAACGAAACGTCTTGATTTGTTTCGTACATACGCCACACTACATGCATAAGTACCCCAAAACCAAAACCACGCTCTTGATCTTCACTCTTGAGTCTATACCAGGTAGGGGCCCAACAACGTATTTAAAATTAGCCTCAAGAGCCTGGTGTTACAGCGTGGTCCACCTGTAAAGCAACCTCTTCTACAGAGTCCACCTCTAAAAATGCCTCCCCCGCCTGTGAACCTCTATTGTATGGTTCTGGTATTTTTGGTATAGCCTGAATTTGATCCTAAGGGTTCTCTTCTTGTTTTCCCTTAGGATCGAACTCAGGTTACCAAATACCCGAACCATTCATCTATTTAAGTAACCTTATCTTTTTCCCGATCAACATAAAGTATTTTCAAACTTGCGCTGGAGCATCAATTGCATGGCGCCTGGGTCTCCATCCACCAATTCTGCGACCTCCTTTCGCAAAGCCTCTGGGTACAAAACGTGAACCTGCACCTTCATCTTGGCCTTATGCTCGAGCTCGAAACCACTCTGAGCAGCAAGCAGCTTTTTCACCTGATGGATGATGTGAAGCCTCTGTGAATTGTTCTTACATCAATTTGGATTTGCGTCTTCTAAGCTTAGTAGACTACTAAATTTGAACGACTCCGTCACAGCTCCCTATTCTTCCTTCAAAAAGAGAAAATACGTGTTCTTGAAACGCCGCGCTTGTGTGCGTGAGAATCGACTGGCAATAGGTCCGCTCATGCTTCGTGAGGCTCTGCGCACGACTCGACCCCACCTTCTCCAGGTCATCGATACACGCTTTTACTTTTGCGTTGTATCCCTTCGCCTGGTCAACCAACTTAGCAACGTCAGCTACAATCTTGTCTTCCGCCTGCTGCCCTATGGCCTGACGCATGTCCTGCGACAAGACATTTATATTGTGCGAAATCGTCGCAATGTCGGCTAGGTACCTAGTACACCGTTTTACAGAACAGGTATAGAAGTTGTGAAGAAGAGTAGAAGTTATCGCACTCGTAAGAGATGTGGGTTTAAGAAGGATTAGTTACTCCTTCCGACCATTCTCAAATTTGTTTCTGTCACCATCTGTATGCACCAAATCTTCTAGCAGACAACTCTTACTTCAAGCCGTTCGCCTAGAAGGGATAGAGGTGAAAACTATACAATCAATCTGAGTACAGTTTCGCATCCCTATCGATGTCGCTGAGGATTTTGATGATTTTCCCCGTCGACTCGGGTCCGGCAACTGAACCGTAGGACCCATCTCTAGGGCTCTTTTCCTTTAGCCCGCTTCCCGTTCGTAGACCCGTAAGGCGGTCCCGGCCCGCACTATTGGGAACTTTCCCACTTGTACGTCGCGTTGGTGACCCAGCAGGCATTTTGATGCATTTTCAGCTCCTCATGTTATTGATGACGATGCTAGTCGAGTTCGAACAAGAACAACTCTATATTTAATTTTCACTGATGCAAGAGGTATCGTCGTCATGCCAAATGATCAGAAGGGGGTACTTTACTTGGAATCGGTCGTAGATGGCTGGTTGGACAAGAAGGCTAGAAAGGGAAACGCTCTCTCCCAAACCGACAAGCGAGACACCGATATGATCACCGAAAACACAGATAATTGTTCGACATGTTGTAGGCGCATCAACAAGCCGTTAGGACGTTCGCTAACCGACGGATTGACACAGATGCGCAAAAGACCTGAATCCACAGGCGGTACAGAATATCGTGGCAGTAAAGTCATCGCATCCAACACACGAGAAGCAAGTCAGAGGTCCAGCCCATGGCATAGCACGGCAGCAGTTTCGACTGTACCCACTGGGTCTGGGTCTAGTCCTACACGTGGTCCTGATCATATAATATTGAGATATTTCCAATCTGCCGGAATCTTCAGGGTTAATGCTGCACTACTGCCAGTGCGCTCCTCTTGTGCGTACTGTAGGTTTCAGTATCTTAGAACCTAATTTGTGCTTGTGCAAAAGCATTAACGAGGCCAAACTCCGTAGATGACCCCTAAGTAACCCCTCGGATTCTACATAGCAGCTCCACCATCGCACATCGACTCCCCATCGCACATCGACTCCCCTGGTAAAAATTTAAGACTACCTACATCCTTGACACGTCGTGATCCTAACTAACTTGCTATTGATTCCCTTGTCTACGGCTTTACCTAGGATCAGGTTGATGGACTTCAAAAATAGATGTTTTTGTATTGCCGAGGAACATGCCGTACCTAAGTAGGAATATCTATCTGAATTGGAGAGTGCACTTTTCTGAACGCATCATGACCATAAGCGGCACTCCTGTGTATAAAAATGTAGTAAATCACATGAAACTCCAAACTGGTTTTTACATGTAAAAAGTATGTTGTAAATGAACTTTTAAGGTCTAAAAATGGTGAAAGATGTGAAGGCATCATGTTGTTGAAACAGTGTAGTTGTTCCGTCCGCAGACCCTATATAGAAGGACGCCAACAGCACCAGGCTGCTGGTGCAACGCCTTCTTAGTGCTCCTGCAGGCTTGTTCTTATGCACACGACGACTTTGCTTCAGGATCCGTCTAGAATCCGTCTCGCATTGCTCTGAATTGAATTACTTTGAATTTCAATTTTTACAACTTCTTGAGTGGAAAATTTGTGTCCGACAGGTTCGAAACACATTTCACAAACTTATAAGCTTACTTGGACTAGAATGAAAATATCAACAAGTACGGAAACTGCATGATATCTCAATATAATGCTGATGCATGCTATAACATAATGATACACTACCTAGACCAAGATTGTCTGCTCCACCTTTCTGAGCAGACACTACTGCGAGTCACTGCAATACATGTGAATCGCAGCAGAAAAACGGAACTTCTACGTTCTTTGGATTGTCCATCCGATTCACTTTTAGTGTGTAAAAAGAATAGGTCTCTTGGGTGATTGTTGAGATAGGAGATATTTCTTCAATGGCTATTATAGATAGTCTTAAATAGAATTGAATCTATTCGGCGAGCTGCCTAAGATTTCCCAGACGAGTTCTACCCGCTAGATAGTCTTAAAACTCATATTTATTTAGTACCAGCAACGGTACAACTTGTTGTAACAAAGAAAGTCGGTTCTTTTGAGAAAGAGACCGAATAAAAAAAAAACAGAACGAGCCATCGCCGAAAAGGAAGTCCCTCTTACTTGAAGCGGCCATCGCCGAAAAGGTGCACCGGAGTATGGTGAACAAAGTGCCAAATCATCAATCCGATGAGCCCCATCTGGCACTCGTCGACCTAAGGGAAGGATAGATTTGTGTGGTGGTGGTGGTGCAAAGATATGGTATAGAAGATTTTTAGGGTCAAAACATTATAATTATAAACAACGAGGAGCTCTAGCAAAAGTACAGATTCGAATAAATATGGACGGCATTTAAATGCTACTCAGACGGTGCCCTCGTTCCTTCCTGAATCAACGTCTCTGGCTACAACACTTCACCTCGTACCAGTAGTACCGGAGTACATGGCAACTTTTTGGTACAAGCATCACCAAAAACTCATCAATCAAAATCAGTCCTCCTTCTACGAAAAAAGTAGGAAAAGATCATAACCAGTTCAACTCGGGCACTACATGGCCAAGTAGTAATGATGTCCTTCAGCCTCTTGGTACCTTCTGAAAAGAAGAGCAAATAGACCGAACGATTGACTAGCAAGTATAAACAAATGCAGCCACGGTTCTCGTCCGCTGCCACGTCAACAACAACGAAAATAGAAAAAATACCTTGGTCGTCTCAATTAACTCCTTCTGAATCGCACAGGGCCATCCCCACACGCACATCACGCCGCTCTTCGGCTTGTGGTTAGCTGCGATCACGAAGCAAGCGTCATGCGGACCCAAACTGGTGGCAAACATACCCGCTCCCCAAGGCCACCATGTGTCCTTGATCGCCTTCGGCATGCAGCACCCAAGGCATCCGCCAGACCCATACTTCACGTTATCAAGGATCTCGATGCTGGAAGGGAGGATGATAATGTGTTTGTATGCATCATCCTTTTACCAACGAGCACAGTATAAAGTCTTGTCTTTACCACTGAGATTGTAATCAATGACGTTGTCATTGTGACGAGTGCAAAGTATCAATTGTAGATACCTCTGCTTCTAAGACAACAGTGCTCGTCATTTCCTTCTGTATGTAGTAGTTGATTGACCACGATGCGCAAATAGTAATTACGATTTGCAGATCTGCGTCGCTTGCTCCTCTGACGGATACGAAATTTTCGGGATTGGGTGTAGTTGCCAGTTGCTTGGGCTGCCCACGCAACCATAGTTGCAGTCTCCTGCCGCAAAAACGACGCCCTTACCCCACACTTCTCCCGAAGCAGTGGTTACTTGCAACTTCTTGTTGATATAGATCCAGCCACCGCCGCCCGGTCCCTGGGGGTTTCTTGTTAACAGATAGAATACATAGAAGTGGATTCAACAACAAGTGGAGTCAGGGACCGTGTTCACAGATAGAATACATAGAAGTGGATTCAACAACCAGTGGAGTAACAAAACTTATGAACACGACCATACTCGTCTCGTCCCTACTACTGTTCAGGACAAAAATAATAATCTTGTTCACCTTAGAGAGTCGAAAGTCTTATCTTACAAGAGATGAAAAAAAACCTTATTACAGGACAGACAGACGGGTTGCAGCTGGATGACATTTTTCAAAAATCAATAAACCTAATGATCCCTACAATTTGGAAATACCTTATCACTCAGAGTCTCCTTCGGCATGAAGTAGTTCGAGGCTTTGACACCCATACAGATATAGGTTTCGTCCGCGCCGTTCATGGAGAGTCCGATTTTCTGCCAGAACTCCGCACTCTTCGGCTCATATTTGATACCATAGACTGTCTTAATCCCCACCTGCTGCATATATGTTTAGAGGTAGGTTTTTGGTGTTATGCCCGTCTCCCGTTTGTTATGCCTGTCTCCCTTAGGAAAGCCATAACAAACGGGAGAAACGAACACCATTAACCTACCCTTAATATTTGTCGCAGTACTCCTGTGCCGACACCGGTAGTGGACCCAGGCAGTTCGGCAAGAAATCAATCACTGTAATCTTCAATTTCGGAAAGAAGTACCTCAAAGGATTATAAAACGTGAAGGGGAAATCACTGGAACTAATCTTCAATTTCGGAAAGAAGTACCTCAGTAGAGATAAATTGCATATCAAAGGTGACATGATTACTATACGAAACATGATTATCATGAATGTAAAGATGGTAAAAATACGGTCTTTACCAAAGAAAGAGATGCAAGCAAGAATTAAATGTCTCGTAAAACAGTCACGCTAGTGGTAATACTGTAATTCCGTGGCCCACTCTACTCCGATAAAACCGGCACCGCAAATAAGAATTTGTGCGGCCTTTTTGTTCAAGTCCGAAATCTTTTGATACTCTTCGAGAATGTGTCTCCTACGGCCCTCCAAATAGCGCTCATCAATATGCTTCCACTCAGAGACCTGTCGTCCGCACTCGTGCACGGTGGGAAACCTTGTTGTATCAATTGTATTTATATGTATTCTCAAGTAGTGGTATTGATTCTTGTTCAACAACCACCGAGGGAGCACATGTAAGAGACAAGTCAGTAAGGGATCTTTCTGTAGTAAAACCAGAAGTAGTATTGTGGTACACTAGTACGAAATATTGCTCTATCCTGGTACAACTTATAATTGCCGTACTATAATGAAAAACCCTGAAGCAACTAGTAAATTCTTACCACAAGCTTTCTCCCTTCGGATGCAGAAAGTTGAAGTTGCATCCTGAGCAGATGACGCAGTAGTCAAAGCCCAATTCCTCTGTTACGCCAGTGCACATCGGCTGCACTGTCGCGGTTAGTGTCTGTCCATACGAATTAGAGTGTCCTCATAGAAGTAACCCGACTCCCCATCATGGTACTTCCATCTTCTTGTTGCATCTTTTCCCTGCTTCCAACTATGCTGGGAACATTGTTCCCACAGTTTATGGGAACATCGTTCCCACAGTTTATGGGAACATTACTACCACAGTTGGAAAAATAGTGCCAATATTGCGATGTTGTTCATTCATTCATTCGAACCACGTAGCAATTACAAGTAACTGCCTGGTTCCGTTTTGACCCGAGTAGAGGGATGGACACGACTGAATGTTGTGACCATAATCAAACTGAGAACTTCACCCCAGATGAACTTGCAACCCATCTTCTTTTCTACGACGTCGGATAGGGTAAACGTCAGAGCGTCGAAGTGACATGGCTTCACGTAGGCACGCAGGATACCTGGGCATCATTCATTCATTCATTTACCTAGCAAGAGGTCGTGCACTACTCGGTAGTAGTATACATTGGTTGTACGTGCACTACTTACTGTGCGTCTCGAATGTTGTAGGATTAATATTCGTGAGAAGAACAATCTCACTGGTACTTCTTAGTTAGAACAAATTGAAATTCACTGGTACAACTTCGTAATTAGAACAAATTCATCAGTAGGCTTGGATTACCTGGTGTATATTCGAAAAATTCCTTCGCATCGACGACCGTAACTTCATAATGCTTGTTCAAATCCCTAGCAACCAGCAGGCCGGAAAATCCGCCACCGATAACGAGGACTCGTCGTTTCGGTGCAGGTGCCATCTTCGACGTCTAGGAGTCAGTGGGTGGTGGATGTCTCTCTAGTATCGTCCGAAGGAATACTTACAACTGTGACCTTAAAATATCGATGTGTAAATATTCTGCAATGAAGATACTCGGAAATATTCAATATTTCTACGTCTACTTAACCGTTCTTTTACAAGTGGCATCAAGGCATCGATGAAGATCAGACAGAGGTGAGGATAAGTGAAGGTAATTGAAAAGTAGATGTGTAGTACTATTTGGAGTCTGTCAATACAAAAGGATCAGGCCACACTTCAGTTAAAATGTCCTCTGTGAGCTCCAATCTTTTTACAACCAATTAGCATCTCAATATTACAAGAACCAATTAGCTTCGCAAGCTTCGCACCAAATACTCTATTTCAAAGAGCTCCGCAACAAATACTTAGAGACAGAGATCAACTGCCCTACCTAGACTACCCACTTAAAGAGTAAGAAAATGAGGCTTGTTCATAAGAAGAACGAGAAACTATCACGGGAGGTGACTTCCGCTCCAAGCTCCTCAAAAAAAAGAGAACTAGTTTGATCAGTCTGTTGGCCTGCGCCATTGACATGGACCTTTGCGCACTCTGTTCTTCCACTCAAACAAGATGTACGGGATGCATACTCTGCGAGCATCCTATTGGTATTGAGTGCGTAGGACTCCTCTCGGTTCTTGGTTTGGTGTTGCTCTCGTCACGAAACTCGTAAAACTCTCATCCGTTCGTGGTCCACAACACAAAGCTTGATCCTCGCAAAAACATTCAGTATAATTCACAGTACCAGCTTCGTCACTGTCACATTGTCAATTGATACTGATCGATGCATTTGGAAGCTCATCATGTTCCCTCCCTCTGCTTTGGCTCTTTCTTCTCAGAACACAGTGACTGAAAATTAGGCCATATAATAATATCTGAGACCGGACTGGATCTCATCTCACTCGCCAAAGGCCAAACTTTTCAAAAAACCCCAAACTTTTGCCCAAAGCCCAAACTTTTCCAAAAGCCCAAACTTTTTGCCAAAGCCCAAACTTTTGCAAAGCCTCAAACTGTTGCAAAAACTCCAAACTTTTTGCCAAAGCCCAAACTTTTTGCCAAAGCCCAAACTTTTGCAAAGCCCCAAACTTTTTGCCAAAGCCCAAACTTTTTGCTAAAGCTCAAACTCTTTCAAAGCCCCAAACTTTTTCCAAAAGCCCAAACCTTTTCCAAAGGCTCAAACGCTTCCCAAAGCCCAAACTTTTAGCCAAGCCCCAAACTTTTTCCAAGTGCCGAAACCTTTCCAAAGTCCCACACTTTGCCCAAAGGCTCAAAACTTTTCCAAGTCTTAAACATTACCCAAGCCCACAGCCACAGCCACAGCCACAGCCACAGCCACAGCCACAG